TCTATTTTCTATATTTCTAATATGTCATTAATATCACAACACTCATGCTTATATAGCCATAAAACAAGGAATACACAAAGGTGTAAAATCCAAGTGGATCTGATTCCTTCTACACTCTGTGCTAATGACGACTGCCAAGGAAATATACACATTTATTTTTGGTTAATGCAAGTCAAAAAGAAAAAGAGCGTTCATAAAAAAACACGTTTTTAAGTGAACATACATGTATAAAGGTGCCTAAAGTATGAAAATATTACATATTGTATATCGTATACGTAAATAACAACCAGAATCAACTCACCTGCCCGCCAAGATCAGCCGCTCAAACACCCGACCGACTGCCAATATCCAATTAACGTCTCACGCATGCTTATAATAGGAGCGTTATTATGTCTACTCCATACAGGGTATGCTGCTGGTTGCAGGGCTCGCTTCTTGGCAGTGCGATGTGTCCACCAGCGCGAGAACACTATTTCACCGAGTCCGTTCCATATCTATCAGATGACGTATCGCCAAGGTTGAGGGGTGGAAGTTGGATATTTGAAACCAGAGACCATCAAATATTCTATTTTATGGTCTCTGTTGAAACGCAGGTAAATTCACCTTCAAAACTGACGTCACTAACGTTTGTTTGAGCTGGTGTTTAATTAACTTTTTATTTATGAAAGTTTTATCACAGCAGAATCCATTAAGAATGCTTACAAAACACGTCGGACATGGCGTACACACAGGCCACGGTACTGCCAGTGCCCATGGCGAGCCAATCAGAAGGCATGCATAAATAATGGAGTCGGATTGGGTGGTAGTCACGGAAGGCACACGGTCCCGTTTTAATCACGACTTCGTTTATGAATGTTTCATGACATGGGGATTTCGATTGAAGATTTTCTTTGTCGTATAACCATTTTAAGCCGTGTTTACAGAGCTGACATGGCAAGATTGGCACCGGGTTGTGCCAATGTCAAAGGTCATGGCCACGGGGTTCCTTTTATGGCATGTAAGTGCTGCACACGACCACGGTGCTATGTCGGACCAATAGCCCAAATGTATTTTGGACTCTCTTTGAACACAAGGGCGCTTGGAGGTTTTTATATTTTCTATTTATATTTTATTGTTATTTCTATTTTATCTCTGAATGCATAAGCGACATTGCGGCACTTCTAAAATCTTCGCATACATGACATAGAGCAGTTTATTTTCACTTTACTTCCTTGAAAATCTCCTAGTTCCTCGCTGAACATATCCGGGGAATCAGAGAAAATGTTATTAATTTCCTCATTATTCACCCTGAGGACATTTCCCCAATCTTGTTTAAAGTGTGAAAGCTAGTCTCTACCAAATACATGCTGCTCAAGGCCTTACACAAGTAGAATCGGCATCCTCAGTGGTAGTTGCCCTAATGTCACTTCCACATCCACATGGACGAGGATCTGGATCCTAGTTGCGAAGTTGAGACACGTGGAGTTGTCGGTTGAGACACTTGGAGGAGACACGTGGAGTTGAGGGTTGAGACACGTGGAGTTGAGGGTTGAGACACGTGGAGTTGAGTGTTGAGACACTTGGAGTTGAGGGTTGAGACACTTGGAGGAGACACGTGGAGTTGAGGGTTGAGACACGTGGAGTTGAGGGTTGAGGGTTGAGACACGTGGAGTTGAGGGTTGAGACACGTGGAGTTGAGGGTTGAGATACGTGGAGTTGAGGGTTGAGACACGTGGGGTTGAGATACGTGGAGTTGAGGGTTGAGACACTTGGAGTTGAGGGTTGAGACACGTGGAGTTGAGGGTTGAGACACGTGGAGTTGTCGGTTGAGACACTTGGAGGAGACACTTGGAGTTGAGGGTTGAGACACGTGGAGTTGAGGGTTGAGACACGTGGAGTTGAGGGTTGAGACACGTGGAGTTGAGGGTTGAGACACTTGGCGTTAATCCTCAAATTGCAAATCCTTCAGAGACGCGGCGAGGCTTCACTTTATTTTTTCAATATTAATGCTGATATTTCTTCCAAGTAATCCCCAAATTATTATTTCATGCCATGTTCCAAAATAACTATACATGTATTGTTTAATATTATGGAGACCATACCAACACAAGAGTCGCAGCACTTTGTCCGAGATTTAGACGCGTGACCTATTCGTGTAAGGCGCCGCAATTGACTGTGCGGTTGCGAGTTGCGTCCCTTAGTCGTGCCGGAAGTAGATGATCGTGGGTTCTAATCCCAGTTTGGCATGGAGTATAGGATTCGCATAGGATTCTCGTCAAAACCGTATCCTTGACCGTGGGTTTTAACAAACGGCAAAAGGTCTAAGACGGGCATCACTTTGGACTTCTCTCCCAACAACCTGCTGACACGACGGAACTGAAAAATATTTCAAAGCAGCGCCCGACCCATTTCGGTAGATGATCCACAAGCTGTTGTAAAATAGCCGCAGTATCTACCTATGGTAAATAACAATATTCACTCCAACACGAAGACTTAAAACTCCATTCAAATTTAGATCCACTCATTGATCAGACGTTTTGGCAAATATCTTTATATCGTCGACGTTGGCGAAGCAGATATCGTCTCTACCACGGACTGACCGCGTGCTACATGTGCACGGACCGGAGTCTCGGGGTCACCGTGACATAGGCCGTGATCTGCACGTGATAGTGTGACAACAGTGCAGCTGCATATGTCGTGATGTTTTAATTGAACATGTTGGCTTGTTATTCCACTACACAGTGTCTCTGTTATAAAAGTCACGGTGTATTACAAAAGTCTGGTGGAGCAACAAAACCAATTCAAACTGCACCATCGAAGAAACACAATGTACACATACTATTTTGTGTTGTTTACAATCGCGTTTTAGGCAGTGCACGTGAAGAGAATCGGATGCCCACACACAATCTCCATTCTATTGAAATAATATCTTGGACCCATTCGCCACAAAGCTTCGTTTCGAAAGTGACGTCATCCTGTGTATCTCTCTTATGATTAACGTATCTTACCTATCTTATCACACGCTAGACTAACATTTCGTCTTATTAAAAAATATATCTACAAAATATTTTTTTTACTCCAAATTGTGCCCAGGACAGAGCTTAGTTTCAGAGCTAGACCTGAGACAATCTTAAACTTTCAAACTGGCTAACCCTGGCCATTGTTACTAACATGTGCCCCGTCACTGACCTACCCTGATCTTTCATCAGTGAGTCCGGCCTCCTCTGTATATACTGCATCGAGTCCTGGTGGTTCACAGAAGTTGAGACATATGTACCTAAGCTGTGTATCAGCCAGCAGCGTGTACCTAGTTTCGAGGGAAGAAACTGTTGGTATTTTGGCCAATCACAAAGGAAAGTATGGATACAACTAACTTGTATACCCAAGTACACATCTACACTGATACGTAAAAGGAATGATATTGGTTAAAGCAAAAACACCATGGCAACATTGTCGGAAGTGAGGTTGAGTGAGTGAGTGAGTTGGGTTTAACGCCGCTTTTAACAGTATTCCAGTTATATCGCGGCGTGTCAGCTAATGTGGGAGGAAAGCCCGAAGTGATGCAGGTCTCAAACGTTTACCACTTCCGTGAAACCCACGAGCACGGGTATGGTGCTGACAAACCTACAAACATAATCGGGGCGAAACGGGATTCGAACCCACAATCATAGGTTTCCTGTTTTCCATTTGAAAACGATGTTAGATTGGAACTTAATAACTAAGTGTAAACATGGTAAAGTCAAGGAACCGTTTAACAGATTGCTTTGACCCCGAGACAGTCTTAAAAACAATCAATCATAGATCTGGCGTAAATGGCTATTTGGCTCAGCCAGGATTTTGTTTTTTTTGGTGCAATGAAGATCAGTAGCCACTTGTGGTGTAAAGTGTACAATAAAGATCAGTTAACCCTGTATACAGTTGAGTGTAGTAAGATCAGTTAACCCTGTATAGAGTTGAGTGTACTAAGATCAGTTAACCCTGTATGGAGTTGAGTGTACTAAGATCAGTTAACCCTGTATGGAGTTGAGTGTACTAAGAACAGTTAACCCTGTATGGAGTTTAGTGTACTAAGATCAGTTAACCAGGTGTGGAGATGAGTGTCTAATGAAGATCAGTTACACATGTGTGGAGCTTAGTGTACAAAGGTGATCAGTTAACCCTGTATGGAGTTGAGTGTACTAAGATCTGTTAACCCTGTATGGAGTTGAGTGTACTAAGATCAGTTAACACTGTGCGGAGATGAGTGTCCAATGAAGATCAGTTAACCATGTGTGGAGCTTAGTGTACAAAGGTGATCAGTTAACCCTGTATGGAGTTGAGTGTACTAAGATCAGTTAACCCTGTATGGAGTTGAGTGTACTAAGATCAGTTAACACTGTGCGGAGATGAGTGTCCAATGAAGATCAGTTAACCATGTGTGGAGCTTAGTGTACAACGGTGATCAGTTAACCCTGTATGGAGTTGAGTGTACTAAGATCAGTTAACCCTGTGTAGAGATGAGTGTACAATGAAGATCAGTTAACCCTGTATGGAGCTGAGTGTCCAATGAAGTTCAGTTCACACTGTTTGGAGCTGAGCGAACAACGAAGATCAGTTAACCCTGTGTGGTGCTGAGCGTACAACGAAGATCAGTTAACCCTGTGAGGAGCTGAGCGAACAACGAAGATCAGTAAACCCTGTGTGGAGCTGAGTGTACAATGAAGATCAGTTAACCCTGTGTGGAGCTGAGCGAACAACGAAGATCAGTTAACCCTGTGTGGAGCTGAGTGTACAACGAAGATCAGTTAACCCTGTGTGGAGCTGAGTGTACAACGAAGATCAGTTAACCCTGTGTGGAGCTGAGTGTACAACGAAGATCAGTTAACCCTGTGTGGAGCTGAGTGTACAACGAAGATCAGTTAACCCTGTGTGGAGCTGAGTGTACAACGAAGATCAGTTAACCCTGTGTGGAGCTGAGTGTACAACAAAGATAAAAAAAAGCAGGAGCAGGCAGCTTCATCCAAAATAATATTCAACAACTCTTGATATTCTGTACATTTATTTACATTAATCTATCAACAAAGAAGCATCACATTGTTTAAGTTTGTCTGTATAATTTCGAGACAGTTCAGTACAAATTCTCCCAAAAAGAAGAGAACAGTATCTCAAATTTACATCAATATGTCACAGCAATAACCCAGTGGTGTTCCTGATACAACAGCAAATGAGCTGAGATCACTGTTATGAGACAGTTGTGGATAATTTACAACTTCTATCATTACTTGAGCAAGTTAGTCAAGACCCTGTTCATCCAGAGATCCATCATTCAGATAATTACATTCTGGAGTGTCTATATCATGTTTAATCACGACATCACTAATTTTCAATGAATCATATTATTCCAAAATGTCTTAACCTGCACTTGTCCTTGGAACAGTTTCACTGAATATATTCCCCATGGAACTTCAGTTCCTTTGCTACAGATAGTCTGAGGCCAGAATGGCTGGATCTAGGAAGATCAGTTGAACTAATTTCACTGGCAACAGTACCGCCTGGATAATCATTTCACTGAAAATATTCTCCATGGAACGTCGGCTCTTTTGTTACGGATACTCTGAGGCCAGAATGGCTGGATCTAGGAAGATCAGTTAACCTTTTGTGGAGCTAATTTCACAAAAGGTTAACTGCCTGGATAAACATTTCACTGTAAATATTCCACAGGGATCTTCAGTTCTTTTGTTATAGACACAAGTTGCTTCTGACAAATATGTAGACTTCTCTGCTTCTATGTCATCTGCAGCCATTTGGAAATGTCTGTGAAATGGGATAAACTGCACTGTGCCAATGCCTTAATGCCCTTTCAAGCAGATATTTTCCTGGAACTGAACACTTTGATGCCATTCTGTAAAGATGCCCGTGCGTATTTGGTAAGAAGGGCGCCCACGTCAACTTTGTCCGTCGCCACGTCCCTGGAAACAACAAGTGTGTTGATGACCATGCATTCAAGCAGTGTATTACTGATGAACTGAAGCTAATGACCATGCATTCAAGCAGTGTATTACTGATGGACTGAAGCTAATGACCATGCATTCAAGCAGTGTATTACTGATGGACTGAAGCTAATGACCATGCATTCAAGCAGTGTATTACTGATGGACTGAAGCTAATGACCATGCATTCAAGCAGTGTATTACTGATGGACTGAAGCTAATGACCATGCATTCAAGCAGTGTATTACTGATGGACTGAAGCTAATGACCATGCATTCAAGCAGTGTATTACTGATGGACTGAAGCTAATGACCATGCATTCAAGCAGTGTATTACTGATGGACTGAAGCTAATGACCATGCATTCAAACAGCGTATTACTGATGGACTGGAGCTAATGACTAGTTTTATACCTTATCAGCAATAGTCCCAACCTCATTCAAATCAGATCTAATACTCTGGATAGATGCTCATGATGTCAATCACTGCATTGTCTTGACCAGACTCGATTATTTACCGACCCCTGTCATATAGCTGGAATATTGCTGAGTTTGGTGTTAAGGAACAAACAAACAAACAAACAAACAAACAAACAAACAAAACTCTGATAGGATACCTCTCGGCATCATGATTTGAGGACACTCCCATAGAAGATCAATCAGTGACAACGCTTCTAGATATTTGGTACAAGGGAGCAAAGCAATCAGGCAAGCATATCTGATTTCTGTATCTCAAAAACCAATATTATCAAGGAGTTCCAAATGCAAAAATATATAGGCCCCATCCACAACACCAAGGAGGCTGTCGGAACAAACTTGAGAAAAGTCATGTTACCATCCATTTAGATGCAAAGTCTCACCTTGAGTGAATATTATTCTAATCCAGGCCTCAACTATCAACAATCTCATTAAAATCAGATCTAAGTTCTCGCTGCCGCTAAACAAAGATCTCAGGACATCCCATTACGGGTCACGTCAGAACCACTATTCATCTGACCAATCAAAGCATTGCTTACTAGATCATAAAAGTGACAGTCAGAATGTGTTTTCTAATCATGCAACCTCGAATATGTTAACACGGGCTATTCCGAACGACAATTACGTCCCGTACGACTGATTCCATCAAAATTATCGTCTATCTCTCGCTTCCGTGGGATAAACATTTGAATGGAGGAGGCGTTGCACTGTACGTGTGAAGCACTGCCATACAATTGCAACCATATATCAGACATTGCGGAATGTTTGTTTGTTCAGTTTTCAAAATTTTAATCGAAAACATATTTTTCAAGCGTAGTCTGAAATGGAAGTCGCCAGGTTGAAACGAGTGCCGTAAAGCTCGAGAAAGCTGCTTTCTAATTGGCTGATGTCGACTTCTTGTTAGTCATTTCAGTGATCAGTCAAAATTTGCAAAATGTCCTTCTGACGTGACCCGTAATGCGATGTCTTTAGACCTTTGTTTAGGGGCAGCATGAACTTAGATCTGATTTCAATTAGATTGAGAATAAAAAGTAATTTTATTCTTCATTCCACATCCAGTGCAATATAGATCCTACCCATGGTTACACTGCTGCCGCCATGCTGACTGTACTCACTTAATGTACGGAGTTATCTCCTCTCTAGTCCACTTCTTCCTTGTTTGGAACAAATACTCGAACCTGGAACAGAGCATTTGTCTTGATAATGGAAATCCGACAAGGAAAAGACTAATTCAAACTCAATTCATGAAGTGAGAAAAATTAAAACTGCAAGGTTCCATAGTTTGTCTGAACTTCTCTGGAATATACAACTCAAAAATGTTTAGGACCACCCGATTCTTTCATATTACTGTAATAAATATGTGTTCCTTAACCTTTTTTGAGAAGTATATATGCAACATTAGATTATAAAGGGCATATGCAGCACAAGGTTAAACAAGGATATAAAACAGTTTTAAGATTCAACAAAACAGTATGGCACATCTGTATACATAGAAGAAGTGCAACGATTCAAAAGGCAACGGTATGATACGCATCAACGTGACAGTCCTTAAGACGAAGTGAACAACTTGCCGAGTGTTCAGAACCAACGCTTATCTCCGTGGCAACTATCGCATTCCGCACATCTTCCCGAGGCAAAGGAGTTAACTGTCTATAAAAGTCCAGTTGCCCCCCTTACTAAACAGAGCTGGAATTTCTGGGCTCAATCACAGCACCACCAGTGGCTATTACGAGTTATGTCCGTTCTCTATCCCTCCTACTGACCAATCAGATTCCATCTCTCATATCACTTGCATTTGCTTTAAACAAAATGGTGGCGTCCAGTCAAGATGATCTTATCAATTATCAAGATCTGTATTGTTATAAAACGGGTCTTACATCGCGAAGTGCATCAAATCACTTGAGCACCTTGATTAAAAACATAAAAAGATTTGAAAATATCTGTTGATGCCCAGTTGAGAGTACACATACTTTGCAAAACCTACAGTTGACTGAAATCTACATCTTGAAATCCATTTTGTTTACGAACCGGATGTCTAGTTCATTACGCGATTTTCACTGGACTTTGCATAGACTCGTTAGTCATGACATAATTCCAGCCTAGTTCAGCAAGGGTGGAAAGTGGATTTTTTTAGTCAGTTAACGCCCTTGCTTCAGGAAGATGCATTCCCCATGGCAGCGTATGCCAATGTTCACGTGATGGCACAAAGATGTGTTATCATGTTAGCTGTGTTACTTGTGTAGTTAGATACATGAAATAATGGCGACAAACTGTTTGTTACATGTTGACTTTCTGAGTCCATTACAAATCAATCAGGAAAGCCAAACTGATCCCAAGCAGATCACAAAGTAAGATAGGGTTATTCATTCATTACGCAGCAAATACATATCGAATACCACCATGTATCACCATGTACCACCATATGTTGCTTGTTTCTCGTTTAACCCCGCACCCAGCAATATTCCAGCTATATGACAGCAGTCTGTAAATAATCTGGACCATCCACTGGACCAGACAATCCAGTGGATGACATCATGAGCATCAATTCACGCAATTGGGATCAATAAAATGCATCAACCAAGTTATCGAGCATGACCGACCGATCCCATCAGTGAACAAGCATCGTCGCCTTTTACAGCAAGCTTGGGTTGCTGAAGACCTGTTCTACCCCGGATCTTCACGGGTAAGGTCCAGATGTATCTTATCGATGGCCACTCATCATGGTGGATCAGTTTCTGTGTCCTGTTTCAGCCATAATACCTTCATAAATGGGTGCATATGAAAGTCATATGTCATGGCAGGGTTGAAAGTAAAAGTAACGCCACAAAACGTTTCAAAAGTTATTTCACACCACATGCTTACTGCATACCAAGTTTCATCAAGACGTATGCAAAACTGTCCGGGTATTTGGCAAAAAATGACAATTTCAATATGGCTGCCATGGTGGCAGATCACTTAACACCAAATCCATCTGACCTCTCTGCTGTGTCCTCTGGGAGGTCCTCTGCTGTGAAGTACCAGATAACGGGGGGAACGCTGTCCTCATCTATCAAAGCCATGCCCTGCAATACACAACACAATACAATGACAGAAAGGCTACGGACAGGATGGAATTTTGTGTGTGTACAAACAAGCTATATCACAACTCCAGTTGGTATTGACTGGTGTGGTAACAAGTCATATCCCACCTCCATCAAGTAGAGGCTTGTGTGCTGATATAACTATATAAAACATGCACAAGTGCAACTTATTATTGAAAAATGTGTGTCTGACTAACCTTCACTAACCATATTTCACCTTTATCTGATACAGGCCAGTATGCTAACAAGCCATATCTCACCTCTATCTGATACAGGCCAGTATGCTAACAAGCCATATCTCACCTCTATCTGGTACAGGCCAGTGTGCTAACAAGACATATCTCACCTCTATCTGATACAGGCCAGTATGCTAACAAGGCATATCACACCTCTATCTGATACAGGCCAGTATGCTAACAAGGCATATCTCACCTCTATCTGATACAGGCCAGTATGCTAACAAGCCATATCTCACCTCTATCTGATACAGGCCAGTATGCTAACAAGCCATACCTCACCTCTATCTGGTACAGGCCAGTATGCTAACAAGACATATCTCACCTCTATCTGATACAGGCCAGTATGCTAACAAGGCATATCACACCTCTATCTGATACAGGCCAGTATGCTAACAAGGCATATCACACCTCTATCTGATACAGGCCAGTATGCTAACAAGGCATATCTCACCTCTATCTGATACAGGCCAGTATGCTAACAAGCCATATCTCACCTCTATCTGATACAGGCCAGTATGCTAACAAGGCATATCACACCTCTATCTGATACAGGCCAGTATGCTAACAAGGCATATCTCACCTCTATCTGGTACAGGCCAGTATGCTAACAAGGCATATCTCACCTCTATCTGGTACAGGCCAGTGTGCTAACAAGACATATCTCACCTCTATCTGATACAGGCCAGTGTGTTAACAAGACATATCTCACCTCTATCTGATACAGGCCAGTATGCTAACAAGCCATATCTCACCTCTATCTGGTACAGGCCAGTGTGCTAACAAGCCATATCTCACCTCTATCTGATACAGGCCAGTATGCTAACAAGCCATATCTCACCTCTATCTGGTACAGGCCAGTATGCTAACAAGACATATCTCACCTCTATCTGATACAGGCCAGTATGCTAACAAGACATATCTCACCTCTATCTGATACAGGCCAGTATGCTAACAAGACATATTTCACCTCTATCTGATACAGGCCAGTAAGCTAACAAGACATATTTCACCTCTATCTGATACAGGCCAGTGTGCTAACAAGGCATATCTCACCTCTATCTGGTACAGGCCAGTGTGCTAACAAGACATATCTCACCTCTATCTGATACAGGCCAGTATGCTAACAAGACATATTTCACCTCTATCTGATACAGGCCAGTGTGCTAACAAGGCATATCTCACCTCTATCTGGTACAGGCCAGTGTGCTAACAAGACATATCTCACCTCTATCTGATACAGGCCAGTATGCTAACAAGCCATATCTCACCTCTATCTGATACAGGCCAGTATGCTAACAAGCCATATCTCACCTCTATCTGGTACAGGCCAGTGTGCTAACAAGCCATATCTCACCTCTATCTGATACAGGCCAGTATGCTAACAAGCCATATCTCACCTCTATCTGGTACAGGCCAGTATGCTAACAAGACATATCTCACCTCTATCTGATACAGGCCAGTATGCTAACAAGGCATATCACACCTCTATCTGATACAGGCCAGTGTGCTAACAAGCCATATCTCACCTCTATCTGATACAGGCCAGTATGCTAACAAGGCATATCTCACCTCTATCTGATACAGGCCAGTATGCTAACAAGGCATATCTCACCTCTATCTGATACAGGCCAGTATGCTAACAAGCCATATCTCACCTCTATCTGATACAGGCCAGTATGCTAACAAGCCATACCTCACCTCTATCTGATACAGGCCAGTGTGCTAACAAGGCATATCTCACCTCTATCTGATACAGGCCAGTATGCTAACAAGCCATATCTCACCGCTATCTGATACAGGCCAGTATGCTAACAAGACATATCTCACCTCTATCTGGTACAGGCCAGTATGCTAACAAGGCATATCTCACCTCTATCTGATACAGGCCAGTATGCTAACAAGGCATATCACACCTCTATCTGATACAGGCCAGTGTGCTAACAAGGCATATCTCACCTCTATCTGATACAGGCCAGTATGCTAACAAGGCATATCTCACCTCTATCTGATACAGGCCAGTATGCTAACAAGGCATATCTCACCTCTATCTGATACAGGCCAGTATGCTAACAAGCCATACCTCACCTCTATCTGATACAGGCCAGTGTGCTAACAAGACATATCTCACCTCTATCTGATACAGGCCAGTATGCTAACAAGGCATATCTCACCTCTATCTGATACAGGCCAGTATGCTAACAAGGCATATCTCACCTCTATCTGATACAGGCCAGTATGCTAACAAGGCATATCTCACCTCTATCTGATACAGGCCAGTATGCTAACAAGCCATATCTCACCTCTATCTGATACAGGCCAGTATGCTAACAAGACATATCTCACCTCTATCTGATACAGGCCAGTATGCTAACAAGGCATATCACACCTCTATCTGATACAGGCCAGTATGCTAACAAGGCATATCTCACCTCTATCTGATACAGGCCAGTATGCTAACAAGCCATATCTCACCTCTATCTGATACAGGCCAGTATGCTAACAAGACATATCTCACCTCTATCTGATACAGGCCAGTGTGCTAACAAGCCATACCTCACCTCTATCTGATACAGGCCAGTGTGCTAACAAGGCATACCTCACCTCTATCTGGTACAGGCCAGTGTGCTAACAAGACATATCTCACCTCTATCTGATACAGGCCAGTGTGCTAACAAGGCATATCTCACCTCTATCTGGTACAGGCCAGTATGCTAACAAGCCATACCTCACCTCTATCTGGTACAGGCCAGTGTGCTAACAAGGCATATCTCACCTCTATCTGATACAGGCCAGTATGCTAACAAGGCATATCTCACCTCTATCTGGTACAGGCCAGTATGCTAACAAGCCATACCTCACCTCTATCTGATACAGGCCAGTATGCATTCCTGCAGGAACACACTGCTGCCACACTTGCAGGAACTCATCATAGTGGAACTGTAACAAAGGCAACAGAAATGTAGTAGAGTAGAGCACAGGAATACTACAATCAAGTGATCAAGTCACAGATCTGATGCTGATCCTTTGTTTGCCTTCATCTTACCGGTGCTGGCAGGTTTCACCACAGTGGTCTACTGTCCATGCAGAGTCCAATCACAATCGTGTAACGAAATCGACATTCTGGATTTGCAAAGGATGTGTACCGTCAACTGGGCGTCGACAGATATTATAAAAATATTTTCACATTTTTAATCAAGGTGCACCAGTGATGTGATGAGTTTGTGGGGTAAGACCAGTTTTATCAAAAGATAGATCTTGATCATCGATCAGATCGTCTTGACTGGGCGCAGCCATTTTGTTTGAAGCAAAGTTAAGTGATATCAAGGATGCAATCTGATTGGTCAATAGGAGGGACATAGAAGGGACAGTACTAATAGCTACTGGTGGCGCTAAAATCAAGCCCAGAAATTCCAGCCTGAATACAGGCCATATCATGTAAAACTTATCACATACTTTCCCTACAAAATAACATCAAATAAAAATATTATCTTATTAATTCTGTATGACGTAGTGCAAAAATGCAGTTACTTAATACACTAATCATACTAATTTGACAAACCGAGCATTTACCGAGAATATTAATCCAATATTTTATGCTTGTTAGATACCTCTCTGCTTGATGATTTGACAAATCCGCCAGACAAACTTTCTAATCAGCCAATCAGTGTTGAGGCTTCTGAATTCTCAGTATGGACAAGAAAAGTATTCAGAGCAGCCAATCATATTTCTGTATCATAAAAATAAACAGTTCCAAACGGAAAAATAAAGGGCACACTATTTCCTTGCTGAGAACATTTCATAAAAGGGTTTGGACAAGTCCAAATTCACTACACGGGTACCCAACCCCATGTTACCTGACCCTCCCTGGGTATGTGCTGTAGGTCCCCAGCAAAACATATTTAGATACACGCAAAACATGATCTGATCATGCATACACTGAAGTTGACTGCAGCTTTAGCATTATTCAAACAAATATAAATCAGAAGGAATGCGTGCTTAGTCAGTGAACATTAGCGACTTGTAGTGTAACCATGGCGTTACAGATACTATTAGGCCTGTGGGTAGTCGGTCCTACTCAGTACCCTCCCGACCTGAGTTTGCTCAGTGAGTGAGTGAGTGAGTTGGGTTTAACGCCGCTTTTAACATTATTCCAGTTATATCACGGCGTGTCAGCTTAATGTGGGAGGAAAGCCCGAAGTGATGCAGGTCTCAGACGTTTACCACTTCGGTGAAACCCACGAGCACGGGTATGGTGCTGACAAACCTAGAAACATAATCGGGGTGAACCGGGATTCGAACCCACAACCATAGGTTTCTGGCGTGTCATCTCAAGCATTCTAAGGCTAAGAGGCACTGGAGTACACAACCTGATTTAACTGAAATTGTGAAGGTTTTCATTTGAAGCACAAAATTACACTGTAGTTTCTTTGTATCTTTGAGTCTACCAACCTTCCCAGAATTCCTCAGTGTCAATTCAGCGAAGAACCTGCAGATTTTGTCTTCATTAAGGACATACACAGTGTCTGAAGGAGAAGATTGCGAAATTAACTTTATGTGTCTAATGCCACATTAGTTGATCCACTGAAGTACTGAGTGAGTGAGTGAGTATGGTTTTACGCCGCTTTTAGCAATATTCCAGCAATATCACGGCAGGGGACACCAGAAATGGGCTTCACACATTGTACCCATGTCGGGAATCGAACCCGGGTCTTCTGCGTGACGAGCAAACGCTTTAACCACTAGGCTACCCGACCGCCCCCACTGAAGTACTGATGGACATGAATAAGGAACACTTAGTTTTAAACACAGTAAAATGCTATGCTAGTTCCCTGCCTTGTCTACCAAATACACGTTGGAAACAATGCACACACAAAAATCTAAACATTTGATTCTGACGTGTTGAATTTGTGTATGCACTATTTCAAGTGTACTGACAAGTAAAGCCTATTTCCTAAATTTTTCATTGGTCCCTTATTTGTTTCAATCAGTATGTTCATAACTGCAAGAATAATTTTGTGCATCATGATACAAATATCCATATTAATATGCAAGGTATGACACACACTTCCATTTCAATATGTGTATTCTGTGCATTTCCATATCAAAGTTTGTATCATGAAACTTAGGTACATATTAATATGTGTATTAAGAATATATATGTTACTGCTTACACGTGTAATACAATGCATACATAAATGTATTAACACTTTAATCTAACTTCAAAAGTCCTCATCTTAATATTTATGACTGCATATTATGCATAATGTCCCAGAACATGTACACAGTAACTTCAGACCAGACCCCAGAACAAGGCATTATAACATTGACCTAGTCTCTACAGCACTGACACAAGACTTGAGAACATGTACACAGACCCCAGAACAAGGCATTATAACATTGACCTAGTCCCTACAGCACTGACACAAGACTTGAGAACATGTACACAGGAACTTCAGACCAGACCCCAGAACAAGGCATTATAACATTGACCTAGTCCCTACAGCACTGACACAAGACTTGAGAACATGTACACAGAACCCAGAACAAGGCATTATAACATTGACCTAGTCCCTACAGCACTGACACAAGACTTGAGAACATGTACACAGACCCCAGAACAAGGCATTATAACATTGACCTAGTCCCTACAGCACTGACACAAGACTTGAGAACATGTACACAGGAACTTCAGACCAGACCCCAGAACAAGGCATTATAACATTGACCTAGTCTCTACAGCACTGACACAAGACTTGAGAACATGTACACAGAACCCAGAACAAGGCATTATAACATTGACCTAGTCCCTACAGCACTGACACAAGACTTGAGAACATGTACACAGTAACTTCAGACCAGACCCCAGAACAAGGCATTATAACATTGACCTAGTCTCTACAGCACTGACACAAGACTTGAGAACATGTACACAGAACCCAGAACAAGGCATTATAACATTGACCTAGTCCCTACAGCACTGACACAAGACTTGAGAACATGTACACAGTAACTTCAGACCAGACCCCAGAACAAGGCATTATAACATTGACCTAGTCTCTACAGCACTGACACAAGACTTGAGAACATGTACACAGAACCCAGAACAAGGCATTATAACATTGACCTAGTCCCTACAGCACTGACACAAGACTTGAGAACATGTACACAGTAACTTCAGACCAGACCCCAGAACAAGGCATTATAACATTGACCTAGTCTCTACAGCACTGACACAAGACTTGAGAACATGTACACAGACCCCAGAACAAGGCATTATAACATTGACCTAGTCCCTACAGCACTGACACAAGACTTGAGAACATGTACACAGAACCCAGAACAAGGCATTATAACATTGACCTAGTCCCTACAGCACTGACACAAGACTTGAGAACATGTACACAGAACCCAGAACAAGGCATTATAACATTGACCTAGTCCCTACAGCACTGACACAAGACTTGAGAACATGTACACAGTAACTTCAGACCAGACCCCAGAACAAGGCATTATAACATTGACCTAGTCTCTACAGCACTGACACAAGACTTGAGAACATGTACACAGACCCCAGAACAAGGCATTATAACATTGACCTAGTCCCTACAGCACTGACACAAGACTTGAGAACATGTACACAGACCCCAGAACAAGGCATTATAACATTGACCTAGTCCCTACAGCACTGACACAAGACTTGAGAACATGTACACAGACCCCAGAACAAGGCATTATAACATTGACCTAGTCCCTACAGCACTGACACAAGACTTGAGAACATGTACACAGACCCCAGAACAAGGCATTATAACATTGACCTAGTCCCTACAGCACTGACACAAGACTTGAGAACATGTACACAGACCCCAGAACAAGGCATTATAACATTGACCTAGTCCCTACAGCACTGACACAAGACTTGAGAACATGTACACAGGAACTTCAGACCAGACCCCAGAACAAGGCATTATAACATTGACCTAGTCCCTACAGCACTGACACAAGACTTGAGAACATGTACACAGTAACTTCAGACCAGACCCCAGAACAAGGCATTATAACATTGACCTAGTCCCTACAGCACTGACACAAGACTTGAGAACATGTACACAGGAACTTCAGACCAGACCCCAGAACAAGGCATTATAACATTGACCTAGTCCCTACAGCACCAACACAAGACTTGAGAACATGTACACAGACCCCAGAACAAGGCATTATAACATTGACCTAGTCCCTACAGCACTGACACAAGACTTGAGAACATGTACACAGACCCCAGAACAAGGCATTATAACATTGACCTAGTCCCTACAGCACTGACACAAGACTTGAGAACATGTACACAGGAACTTCAGACCAGACCCCAGAACAAGGCATTATAACATTGACCTAGTCCCTACAGCACTGACACAAGACTTGAGAACATGTACACAGACCCCAGAACAAGGCATTATAACATTGACCTAGTCCCTACAGCACTGACACAAGACTTGAGAACATGTACACAGGAACTTCAGACCAGACCCCAGAACAAGGCATTATAACATTGACCTAGTCCCTACAGCACTGACACAAGACTTGAGAACATGTACACAGTAACTTCAGACCAGACCCCAGAACAAGGCATTATAACATTGACCTAGTCCCTACAGCACTGACACAAGACTTGAGAACATGTACACAGACCCCAGAACAAGGCATTATAACATTGACCTAGTCCCTACAGCACTGACACAAGACTTGAGAACATGTACACAGACCCCAGAACAAGGCATTATAACACTGACCTAGTCCCTACAGCACTGACACAAGACTTGAGAACATGTACACAGGAACTTCAGACCAGACCCCAGAACAAGGCATTATAACATTGACCTAGTCCCTACAGCACTGACACAAGACTTGAGAACATGTACACAGGAACTTCAGACCAGACCCCAGAACAAGGCATTATAACACTGACCTAGTCCCTACAGCACTGACACAAGACTTGAGAACATGTACACAGGAACTTCAGACCAGACCCCAGAACAAGGCATTATAACATTGACCTAGTCCCTACAGTACTGACACAAGACTTGAGAACATGTACACAGTAACTTCAGACCAGACCCCAGAACAAGGCATTATAACATTGACCTAGTCCCTACAGCACTGACACAAGACTTGAGAACATGTACACAGACCCCAGAACAAGGCATTATAACATTGACCTAGTCCCTACAGCACTGACACAAGACTTGAGAACATGTTCACCTGTGTTGTCCCCCTGGGATGTCCTGGGGTCCGTGTAACACTGCACCACATGCTCCACCAGGTGCCTGCAACGCAAGATGTAACACGGTCAGAGGGTACGCAGAGGGGATATATGATACTGTAAGCCATCTTCCCGAGGCAAGAGAGTTAACTGACTTTAAAAGTCCAGTTTCCACCCTTGCTGAACTAGGCTGGAATTCCTGGGCTTGATCGTAGCGCCACCAGTGGCTATTACGAGTTATGTCCTTTCTATGCCTCTCCTATTGACCAATCAGATTCAACCTCTCATATCACTTGCATTTGCTTCAAACAAAACGGTGGCGCCAAGTCAAGACGATCTGATCGATAATCAAGATCTATATTGTGATAAAACGAGTCTTACATCGCAAGTGCATCAAATCACGTGAGCACCTTGATTAAAAACATGCAAAGATATAGAAAATATCTGTTGACAACGAGTTAGCGGTGCACATGCTTTGAAAAACCTGCAGTCGACCGAACCCTGCATGACAGTTTACAAACCGGATTTCGATTTCGGTGCGAGATTTTGATTGAACTATGCATAGACTCGTTAGTCCAGCCAAAATGTAACTTCATAATACCAGCCTAGTTCGGCAAGGGTGGAAACTGGACTTTTATAGTCAGTTAACTCACTTGCCTCGGGAAGATGACTGTAGGCATACATCACCATGGTGAGGTCTTAGATTATTGCACTCATATAGCGAAGTGCATGCAAGTATGTGTGTGTGTGGCTGCTTGTACTAGTCCCGACTGATGCCGATTTAATAGTGCTAGCCCACTGAGATAACATGATGCAGTTGAACATGAATACCCCTCTCAGACACAGTATACTGACTCCAAGCTGACCAGTCCTTGTTTTAGCCCCTTAATGCCGAGGCGCCAGGCAGGGAAACAAGTACCATCTTTTAACATATTTTGGTATAACGCAGCTGGGGATCGAGCCCCGGACCTTCAGAGCTCCGGGCAGACGCTCTACAACTAGACAAGGGAGGCGGTCCATATATATATAACAAAGAGCTGATATATAACAAAGAACAGTTCTAAACGATATATGACGTGGCCAGAGAGGTATTTAACTCTTTCAACACCAGTCAACCAGAAGTGTTTACTGCTGGGACACCGAGTTCCCAGAGGCTCTTGTGTGATAGATGAAGCCAACATTTATCAAAGAAAATATCTGCTTGTAAAATATATTTGCTACTACATGTTATACACTATTTGAAAGGTCTGATCCTATGGTTTATAAATATGAAAGTTATGCTTTTCACATTATTTAAAATAATGCATTTACAACTTAATTAAATTCGTTGTAAATAAAAAATGTACGCTAACACGTTGTTAACATCCAGATTAAGGACCAAGGAAGCGAAAACTTGACGATTTTCGGCAAATATATGATTTCATAATATCCACGTACCTATTTCTATTTTATTTTCATTGTTTACGTTAATGGAAAATCATTTTAAAAAGAATTATAAATAGTCTCTGTCATCACCCATTTCCCGATAACAGCGACTGTCCGCTCAGTAAAATGAAGAAATACCCCCGTTTTCGAGGTTTCGTATGAATAACACATTTGTCGAAGAATGGCATATGACACATCGCTGGAAAGCTTATTCCTTCATCTACACGCTCGTAACATCTACTGTTTTTTTTCCGTAGTTATAACAAGCGATTTCATTGGATTAAAATTGGTTTCTAATGACGCTTTCTTGCTGAAATCTGCTACAAGTTTCGTGATTGGTCAATTTTGAGCACGTGACCTAAGGCAGCCAATCAAATAACAGCTGTGATACCAAGCTCGTGTTCGATAAATTACAGAAGTTTGCGAAAGAATTTTGTTAAATCTTGTTATTCTGAACGTTTTGAGCAGGAAATCACGATATCTATTAAAAATATGGAACTTCGTGAATGTATCGTGCTAGGTTACGAGCTGTGACAAAGATTTTTCATGCATATATTTTTGCATTAAACGTTGTGTCCGAGCCGAGAATTCGATGTAACTTAGATGTAAGTTTGATTACTTTTAGATATATTTTTGTTGATTTTATATATTACTTTGTATAATATATTTAAAGATTTGTTTAAACCGTCTTTATTTTCCTCTTTGACGTGTTCGATGTGGACCGGTTGTCGAAATGTGTGTCCGAGAATTTTATTTTCAATAACATCGCGGGAAATAGTGAATATTTTTTTAATTTAACGATAAAAAATGTTAAATTGAAATGGAATATATATTTCAGACATTGTGAAATGTGATAGATTTAATAAATGAATGATATTACAGGTAGGTCCATAAAAATATAGTACTATTTTGACGTGACTACGGCTTGGCCGGATAACCGGCCTGCAGTGTCTGGGGACTCGATGCTTCTTGGCCGGATAACCGGCCTACGGTGTTGAAAGAGTTAACACAGTGAGAAAGGACCACACATCACTTAGTGAGGATACGAGAGGTGACTGAAAAGATCTGAGCCTAACTATGATGAGGATACGAGAGGTGACTGAAAAGATCTGAGCCTAACTATGATGGACTGGGTTGATGGAATTGGTTGCTAACTGATTTCAACATAATTCCCTCTGAAGTCAACACTTCTACTGATGATGTTGGAGTGCTTGGATCCGGTGTAGAAGGTGCAAGAGTCCCCCACAGCAAAAATGATGTCATCATCATTTGCATAATGCTCACCACAGTTCTTTCTTCAAGAAGAGATAGAAATCTGATGGTGTGAATGCAGAGAATGTTCAATGAGCTTAAGGCACAGTCATGCATTGCAGCCATGGCAACAACAGACTTATGCACAGATGCATTGTCCTGGTGGAACACCAGGCCTTCAGTGACTTTTCCATGATATTTAGCCTTGATAGCCTCAAGCAGTTGCCAAGGCACATGAGCATAACATGGCTCATTAATGTCCATGTCTTGTCTCTTCCTTAATGCCATGTATGCAGGCACTATAGACAGCTAACAGTAGCTCTGTATCCTGGCACTATACACAGCTAACAGTAGCCATGTATCCTGGCACTATAGACAGCTAACAGTAGCCATGTATCCAGGCACTACAGACAGCTAACAGTAGCCATGTATCCAGGCACTATAGACAGCTAACAGTAGCCATGTATCCAGGCACTACAGACAGCTAACAGTAGCCATGTATCTGGCACTATAGACAGCTAACAGTAGCCATGTATCTGGCACTATAGACAGCTAACAGTAGCCATGTATCCAGGCACTTTAGACAGCTAACAGTAGCCATGTATCCAGGCACTATAGACAGCTAACAGTAGCCATGTATCCGGGCACTATAGACAGCTAACAGTAGCCATGTATCCAGGCACTATAGACAGCTAACAGTAGCCATGTATCTGGCACTATAGACAGCTAACAGTAGCCATGTATCTGGGCACTATAGACAGCTAACAGTAGCCATATATCCGGGCACTATACACAGCTAACAGTAGCCATGTATCTGGCACTATAGACAGCTAACAGTAGCCATGTATCCGGGCACTATAGACAGCTAACAGTAGCCATGTATCCAGGCACTATAGACAGCTAACAGTAGCCATGTATCCGGGCACTATAGACAGTTAACAGTAGCCATGTATCCAGGCACTATAGACAGCTAACAGTAGCCATGTATCCTGGCACTATACACAGCTAACAATAGCCATGTATCCGGGCACTATACACAGCTAACAGTAGCCATATATCCGGGCACTATACACAGCTAACAGTAGCCATGTATCTGGCACTATAGACAGCTAACAGTAGCCATGTATCCGGGCACTATAGACAGCTAACAGTAGCCATGTATCCTGGCACTATAGAAAGCTAACAGTAGCCATGTATCCAGGCACTATAGACAGCTTACAGTAGCCATGTATCCTGGCACTATAGACAGCTAACAGTAGCCATGTATCCTGGCACTATACACAGCTAACAGTAGCCATGTATCCGGGCACTATAGACAGCTAACAGTAGCCATGTATCCAGGCACTATAGACAGCTAACAGTAGCCATGTATCCAGGCACTACAGACAGCTAACAGTAGCTCTGTATCCAGGCACTACAGACAGCTAACAGTAGCCTTGTATCCGGGCACTATAGACAGCTAACAGTAGCCATGTATCTGGCACTATAGACAGCTAACAGTAGCCATGTATCTGGCACTATAGACAGCTAACAGTAGCCATGTGTCCGGGCACTATAGACAGCTAACAGTAGCCATGTATCCTGGCACTATAGACAGCTAACAGTAGCCATGTATCCGGGCACTATAGACAGCTAACAGTAGCCATGTATCCAGGCACTACAGACAGCTAACAGTAGCCATGAATCTGGCACTATAGGCAGCTAACAGTAGCCATGTATCTGGTACTATAGACAGCTAACAGTAGCCATGTATCCGGGCACTATAGACAGCTAACAGTAGCCATGTATCCGGGCACTATAGACAGTTAACAGTAGCCATGTATCCGGGCACTATAGACAGCTAACAGTAGCCATGTATCCAGGCACTACAGACAGCTAACAGTAGCCATGAATCTGGCACTATAGACAGCTAACAGTAGCCATGTATCTGGTACTATAGACAGCTAACAGTAGCCATGTATCCAGGCACTATAGACAGCTAACAGTAGCCATGTATCCGGGCACTATAGACAGTTAACAGTAGCCATGTATCCGGGCACTATAGACAGCTAACAGTAGCCATGTATCTGGCACTATAGACAGCTAACAGTAGCCATGTATCCGGGCACTATAGACAGCTAACAGTAGCCATGTATCCGGGCACTATAGACAGCTAACAGTAGCCATGTATCTGGCACTATAGACAGCTAACAGTAGCCATGTATCCGGGCACTATAGACAGCTAACAGTAGCCATGTATCCTGGCACTATAGAAAGCTAACAGTAGCCATGTATTTAGGCACTATACACAGCTAACAGTAGCCATGTATCCTGGCACTATACACAGCTAACAGTAGCCATGTATCCTGGCACTATAGAAAGCTAACAGTAGCCATGTATCCAGGCACTATAGACAGCTAACAGTAGCCATGTATCCTGGCACTATAGACAGCTAACAGTAGCCATGTATCCGAGCACTATAGACAGCTAACAGTAGCCATGTATCCGGGCACTATAGACAGCTAACAGTAGCCATGTATCCGGGCACTATAGACAGCTAACAGTAGCCATGTATCCAGGCACTATAGACAGCTAACAGTAGCCTTTATCCGGGCACTATAGACAGCTAACAGTAGCCATGTATCCAGGCACTATAGACAGCTAACAGTAGCCATGTGTCTGGCACTATAGACAGCTAATAGTAGCCATGTATCCAGGCACTATAGACAGCTAACAGTAGCCATGTATCTTGGCACTTTAGACAGCTAACAGTAGCCATGTATCCGGGCACTACAGACAGCTAACAGTAGCCATGTATCCGGGCACTATAGACAGCTAACAGTAGCCATGTATCCGGGCACTATAGACAGCTAACAGTAGCCATGTATCCTGGCACTACAGACAGCTAACAGTAGCCAAGTCTCCTGGCACTATAGACAGCTAACAGTAGCCATGTATCCAGTCACTACAGACAGCTAACAGTAGCCATGTATCCAAGCACCATAGACAGTTTAAAGTAGCCATGTATCCTGGCACTATAGACAGCTAACAGTAGCCATGTATCTTGGCACTACAGACAGTTTAAAGTAGCCTTGTCTCCTGGCACTATAGACAGCTAACAGTAGCCATGTATCCAAGCACCATAGACAGTTTAAAGTAGCCATGTATCCTGGCACTATAGACAGCTAACAGTAGCCATGTATCCTGGCACTATAGACAACTAACAGTTGCCATGTATCCTGGCACTAAAGACAGTTTAAAATAGCAATGACTCCAGGCACTATAGAGAGCTTATAGTACTTCTATGAGAGGCATTTAGAAGTTGGAGTACTTAGTAAGGATAAGATTTATGAATGAACAACTTTTTTATTACACTTAGGAACAACGTTTCAGTGTAGGTTCTAAGAAGGTTATCAAGAACTTGCTTACAATACCCCTGTCTCCTGGCACTAAAGACAGCTGGCAGAAGTCATGTAGCAGGTAGCCATCTATGGGGTTGCCATGTGAGAGGTAGCGAAGTCGGGAGTAGCCATGTCAGAGGTAGCCAAGTTGGGGGTAGCCATGTCAGAGGTAGCCAAGTTGGGGGTAGCCATGTCAGAGGTAGCCAAGTTGGGGGTAGGCAAGTCAGAGGTAGCCAAGTCGGGGGTAGCCATGTCAGAGGTAGCCAAGTTGGGGGTAGGCATGTCAGAGGTAGCCAAGTCGGGGGTAGCCATGTGAGAGGTAGCCAAGTTGGGGGTAGCCATGTCAGAGGTAGCCAAGTTGGGGGTAGGCATGTGAGAGGTAGCCAAGTCGGGGGTAGCCATGTGAGAGGTAGCCAAGTCGGGGGTAGCCATGTCAGAGGTAGCCAACAGTAGCCATGTGTCTGGCACTATAGACAGCTAATAGTAGCCATGTATCCAGGCACTATAGACAGCTAACAGTAGCCATGTATCTTGGCACTTTAGACAGCTAACAGTAGCCATGTATCCGGGCACTACAGACAGCTAACAGTAGCCATGTATCCGGGCACTATAGACAGCTAACAGTAGCCATGTATCCGGGCACTATAGACAGCTAACAGTAGCCATGTATCCTGGCACTACAGACAGCTAACAGTAGCCAAGTCTCCTGGCACTATAGACAGCTAACAGTAGCCATGTATCCAGTCACTACAGACAGCTAACAGTAGCCATGTATCCAAGCACCATAGACAGTTTAAAGTAGCCATGTATCCTGGCACTATAGACAGCTAACAGTAGCCATGTATCTTGGCACTACAGACAGTTTAAAGTAGCCTTGTCTCCTGGCACTATAGACAGCTAACAGTAGCCATGTATCCAAGCACCATAGACAGTTTAAAGTAGCCATGTATCCTGGCACTATAGACAGCTAACAGTAGCCATGTATCCTGGCACTATAGACAACTAACAGTTGCCATGTATCCTGGCACTAAAGACAGTTTAAAATAGCAATGACTCCAGGCACTATAGAGAGCTTATAGTACTTCTATGAGAGGCATTTAGAAGTTGGAGTACTTAGTAAGGATAAGATTTATGAATGAACAACTTTTTTATTACACTTAGGAACAACGTTTCAGTGTAGGTTCTAAGAAGGTTATCAAGAACTTGCTTACAATACCCCTGTCTCCTGGCACTAAAGACAGCTGGCAGAAGTCATGTAGCAGGTAGCCATCTATGGGGTTGCCATGTGAGAGGTAGCGAAGTCGGGAGTAGCCATGTCAGAGGTAGCCAAGTTGGGGGTAGCCATGTCAGAGGTAGCCAAGTTGGGGGTAGCCATGTCAGAGGTAGCCAAGTTGGGGGTAGGCATGTCAGAGGTAGCCAAGTCGGGGGTAGCCATGTCAGAGGTAGCCAAGTTGGGGGTAGGCATGTCAGAGGTAGCCAAGTCGGGGGTAGCCATGTGAGAGGTAGCCAAGTTGGGGGTAGCCATGTGAGAGGTAGCCAAGTCGGGGGTAGCCATGTCAGAGGTAGCCAAGTTGGGGGTAGCCATGTCAGAGGTAGCCAAGTTGGGGGTAGGCATGTCAGAGGTAGCCAAGTCGGGGGTAGCCATGTGAGAGGTAGCCAAGTCGGGGGTAGCCATGTCAGAGGTAGCCAATTTGGGGGTAGGCATGTCAGAGGTAGCCAAGTCGGGGGCAGCCATGTCAGAGTTAGCCAAGTCGGGGGTAGCCATGTCACGTACCTGGGATAGAGGTCCTGCAGTGTGTCGCAACACTCGGTCATGTTGACCCCGGTCATCAGCCAGTCGTGCTCCTCACACAGCTGCAGGATGTGGTTCAGCACTTGCATCAGGAAGTCAAAGTCAAGCATTCTCCAGTGTCCTAGCAACACCACAACTCAAACATCATCATCAACCCTTCATGGGTCTGTTTACATAAAATCATCAGGGAAAGAACACGCCATATATTTCCCATAGTTGGTTTTCTGAGAACATTAACAAGATTATGGGTTTCCATAAGGTCAGTTAGTCTGTTGACGGAATGTCACAAGAAATTGTTTCTTACATCAACATAATGGAAGATATATTTATATTTAACACATTTATATGACAACACGCTGCTATTGGCCCCTTTACAAACAATGAAGCAGAGGAACAACTGGCCCGAGCTAGCCAATCAGCATGAAACAAATATTATAGGCAAACAAAACGTGTTTCCTATTTCTGAGTCTGGGGCTCCAGTCAGTCAGTCAGGAAACCCAAAACAACCCCATCCCCCCAAATTCATTGGCCTTTCCTACATACAGTTATACAATATGTATCTTTATTATATACTTCAGCGGGAAAAACTGAGTTTTCTGAAGTTGAGAAAAGTGATATTTTCACTGAACTGAACGTAACACTTAATATTTCACTGCAGTGAAAATAACACTTGATATTTCACTGCAGTGAACATAACACTTGATATTTCACTGCAGTGAACATAACACTTGATATTTCACTGAAGTGAACATAACACTTAGACAGAACTATTGTCACACAAGAGTTACCTCCCCTCAAATTGTCTCCCTTTATTGTGTCTCGCCCATACACAAACTGTTGACATCCTTTTGACGTTAGTTCAACATTGACGAGGCAAAATAATGAGAGATTGTCATATATGGAGTTAATATCGCTTCTTGTCGTTTGTTATTCTCTCTAAAATGTATATCATCATATCTAAATGTATGATAAGGAACTTTCAAGACACTATTTTTTATACTTTTGTTTATATTTTTTAAGATTTTGAAACCGCAAAACTACTTTTTAAGTCACAAATACAAGGGGTGGTGAACCGTCCCTGTGTGTTAGGTTGAGAGAATTTACGTTTCAAAGTTTTACATTTTGTAATGCAATGACTAATTTTCTGGTAGACAACCACACAAAATGTAATGTAATGTGCATCTGGTTGGACTGACCATCAATGAGACAGGCCTTGAAGGACTTGAGAGCTGCTGCAACCTCCTCCTCACTCGCTTGTACCTTCTCAAGCAACTCATGGTATGTGTACTGGAACCATCATCATCATCATCATCATCATCATCATCATCTCTATTACAAAATAATCACAATCCCTTTAATGTAAATATCAATATAAATGAACACATGCTTCCCATTATCCAGTGTCAATAAACCAAATGTGATTGAATTCCCTTTCCCACCCACCCCTAGACTGACCTTTCTCCCCGACCAACAGCAGACACCTTCCTCTCCCACACAGCAGACACCTTCCTTCCCCTCAAAGCAGACACCTTCCTCCCCAAAACCTAGCAGATGCCTTCCTCCCCCAACCCTAGCAGACACATATTCTCCCCACCCCCATCAGACGCCTTCCTCCCCCAACCCTAGCAGACATCTTCCTTCCCCACCCCCAGCAGACACATATTCTCCCCACCCCCATCAGACGCCTTCCTCCCCAAACCCCAGCAGACAGCTCCTCCCCCACCCCGCCAGACACCTTCCACACCCACACTGCAGACACCTTCCTCACCCACACAGCACACACCTTCCACACCCACACTGCAGACACCTTCCTCACTCACCCCAGCACACACCTTCCTCACCCACAGCAGACACCTTCCTCACCCACACAGCACACACCTTCAACACCCACACTGCAGACACCTTCCTCACTCACCCCAGCACACACCTTCCTCACCCACACAGCACACACCTTCCTCACCCACACAGCACACACCTTCCTCACCCACACAGCACACACCTACCACACCCACACTGCAGACACCTTCCTCACCCAAACAGCACACACTGCCTCACCCACACAGCACACACCTTCCACACCCACACTGCAGACACCTTCCTCACTCACCCCAGCACACACCTTCCTCACCCACAGCAGACACCTTCCTCACCCACACAGCACACACCTTCCACACCCACACTGCAGACACCTTCCTCACTCACCCCAGCACACACCTTCCTCACCCACACAGCACACACCTTCCTCACCCACACAGCACACACCTTCCACACCCACACTGCAGGCACCTTCCTCACTCACCCCAGCACACACCTTCCTCACCCACACAGCACACACCTTCCACACCCACACTGCAGACACCTTCCTCACTCACCCCAGCACACACCTTCCTCACCCACACAGCACACACCTTCCTCACCCACACAGCACACACCTTCCTCACCCACACAGCACACACCTTCCTCACCCACACAGCACACACCTTCCTCACCCACACAGCAGATACCTTCCTCACCCACCCCAGCACACACCTTCCACACCCACACTTCAGATACCTTCCTCACCCACACAGCACACACCTCCTCACCCACACAGCACACACCTTCCTCACCCACACAGCACACACCTTCCTCACCCACACAGCAGATACCTTCCTCACCCACCCCAGCACAAACCTTCCACACCCACACTGCAGACACCTTCCTCACCCACACAGCACACACCTCCTCACCCACACAGCACACACCTTCCTCACCCACACAGCACACACCTTCCTCACCCACACAGCACACACCTTCCTCACCCACACAGCACACACCTTCCTCACCCACACAGCACACACCTTCCTCACCCACACAGCAGATACCTTCCTCACTCACCCCAGCACACACCTTCCATACCCACACTGCAGACACCTTCCTCACCCACACACCAGATACCTTCCTCACTCACCCCAGCACACACCTTCCACACCCACACTGCAGACACCTTCCTCACTCACCCCAGCACACACCTTCCATACCCACACTGCAGACACCTTCCTCACCCACACAGCAGATACCTTCCTCACTCACCCCAGCACACACCTTCCACACCCACACTGCAGATACCTTCCTCACTCACCCCAGCACACACCTTCCACACCCACACTGCAGACACCTTCCTCACTCACCCCAGCAGACACCTTCCTCACCCACACAGCACACACCTTCCTCACCCACACAGCACACACCTTCCTCACCCACACAGCACACACCTTCCACACCCACAGCAGACACCTTCCTCACCCACACAGCACACACCTTCCTCACCCACAGCAGACACCTTCCTCACCCACACAGCACACACCTTCCACACCCACACTGCAGACACCTTCCTCACCCACACAGCACACACCTTCCTCACCCACACTGCAGACACCTTCCTCACCCACACAGCACACACCTCCTCACCGACACAGCACACACCTTCCTCACCCACACAGCACACACCTTCCACACCCACAGCAGACACCTTCCTCACCCACACACCTTCCTCACCCACAGCAGACACCTTCCTCACCCACACAGCACACACCTTCCACACCCACACTGCAGACACCTTCCTCACCCACACAGCACACACCTTCCACACCCACACTGCAGACACCTTCCTCACCCACACAGCACACACCTTCCTCACCCACACAGCACACACCTCCTCACCCACACCTACAGACTGACCTTCCTCCCCCGGTGGTCTTCGTCCTCCTCACACTCCCGCCCGCTGTACTGGTTCTCCTGCAGCAGTGCCTTCAGCTTCCGTAGCCGTGGCTTGCACGGCCGCAGTTCAAAATACTTGTCCAGCACAGAAATAACCTTAATTAAGAATTAAGAAAGCAGGAATGAAGATTTCCTTATTTTGTAAGAAACTCATGCACAAGACAATACTTGTTGACCTACTTGTGTTTATGGAGAAAATACAAGGACAACAAAATGATCTCTAAAAAGTATTGATGTTAGGTTGTCTTTGATTAAAATGAAACAAAAGAAACAGTTTCCAGAGATTCTTTGCAAAAGTAAGTCAAAGAGTTACTCCCATTTCCTCCTTGATTATCCAGAGTATCATATCTCTGTCTCATTCTGATAAATATGTATTTAAAAGGCTTGAAAGTTCCTGAATATCTGGTCTCTTTTTTTATTATAAAAATGTCTCACTTCAAACATTACTTTGTCCCCTGCCAATTCACCACCGTAGCTTTATTTCGGAAGTGACCTAGCCATCTTCCATCACTCATCGAGGTTGCTTTAATTCCAAAATCAACATCTTTCATTACCGACACTTGTTAACCGACCCAGCAGGAATTTATTGAATTCTAAGTTTTATTGAACAAGATGTAATATTTTGGTTCAGCAGATCCCATTTTTTCAAACACCTTACATCATTGTACATGTCAATCTGCCATACCCCACACCCCACACCACTCCCCCTTTTCAAATCCTGGATCTGCCCAGGCACTTACCTTGGTCTGTATTTAAGAAATAAATGATGAGTGGGAGTTGTTTATTGTAACAATAAAACACTGCAGGGAGAATAAACCATGAGGGGCGCAATCCCTGCAGTGTTTTATTGTACGATAAACAAGGACCACAAGTTGTTTATTTCTTATATGATTTTTTGTTTTGTTTGTTGTTTAACGCCGCACTCAGCAATATTCCAGCTATATGATGGGGGTCTGTAAAATAATCGAGTCTGGACCAGACAATCCAGTGATTGGCATCATGAGCACCGATCCACGCAATTGGGATCGATGACATGTATCAACCAAGTCAGCATGCCTGACCACCTGATCCCGTCAGTCGCCTTCTACGACAAGCATAGTCGCCTTTTACGGCAAGTATGGGTTGCTGAAGACCTATTCTACCCCGGAATCTTCACGGGTCATTTCTTATATGAGATATCAACATCATGTGTACAGTGTCTTTAAGTATGGTGATAAAATGTACAAGCTCTAAAAATATTTACCCAAACTGTAATAATAACAACTCTCTGAATAGAAACCGACCTCTGAAATGTCAGACAAGTCCATTTTATGAACAGATGGGTTAAGTTTGGTACTTCCCACATATTCTCTCTTTGATTATCTGAACCTTTTCTCCTAATACCAGTTTTCATATCTCTCCCACTTCTGGATGCGACTATTAGGCCATTGCGTTTATCTACGTTGCCCAGCTACATCTTTGGAGAAAAACTCACAAGACACTTCCCTCTAAAAAATAACAGTATCCAATTTTCGACGTCATCAAGTTGCAAGCGCACGTTCGAATCTCCAGAAATGATGCCATGACAGTGAGTGAGTGAGTGAGTTGGGTTTAACGCCGCTTTTAACAGTATTCAAGTCATATCACGGCGTGTCAGCTTAATGTGGGAGGAAAGCCCGAAGTGATGCAGGTCTTAGACGTTTACCACTTCGGTGAAACACACGAGCACGGGTATGGTGCTGACAAACCTAGAAACATAATTGGGGCGAACCGGGATTCGAACCCACAATCATAGGTTTCTGGCGTGCCCAAGGGACGCAACTCTGCACAGCGAATCGCGGCGCCTTATGCAACTGGGCCACCCGTGCCCCCGATGCCATGACAGAACAATGTTTTGATCATGAGAAAAACACACGCTTCATTCTTTATTGTTCTTTGTGATTAGCTATGTTATATGTACATGATGTAAACAACTTGTGAAAAAATGTCAAAAACATAATTTGGGGAGGATAGGTGGAATTGTGCAATTTTAGGCTAAAAGCTTAATTATTACACCAAAAGCACAATGGTCGGCCTCTCTGCTTCAGAAAAATTTTCTTCAATCATTTCAACATCCATATTCTTTTGGGGCTCGCAAATTTTATGTCCATGGGAAACAATATTTTGCGCCCAGTAAAACCCTGATGTGCCTCAGGGATCTAATTGATCCCAAACATAACCTGAGCATCCCTTTCCTACCTCTCGGTACTGGAGCTCGTGGGGAGTGTCGGTCGGCAGGTCCGGCCCATGCTCCAGGTGAGGGAGTATCAACAATGAGTTGGACGTCTCTGCTTCCTTCATCTCGTAGGTCTTGTCTCGTGTGCACAGCACAGCGCTGTCATCTTTGTCACCGCGGATAACGACCCTGAACACACAACCACCTATATCATCAACAATGATAACTCGGACGATCTTACTTTAATCACACTAGTAGTTTAAATAGTGCCACCAGCACTAATAACAGGAATTTCGAAAAAGTTACAAACAGTTTTAAAAATCACTAGAAACCAAAAGGAAATATCTACATATTGATATATAAACAGAATTCATCAATATCTGTTAAGGCAGGGATGGGTAACTTGGGTACTCAGGTTGGGCTGGTCCGGAACAGGACCCTGGTACCCACAGGACTACCCGGACAAGTGGTTAATCACGTGATATATTGTTCAAATACAATAATAAAAGTTACTTATGTTTGCTTTTCTTTCTGACTATGCATGCATTGTTTCTGACATTTTTGTTTGAGTAAAGACAAAGCTTCAGTTGACTTCAGTGTATGCTCAATCTGATCGTTTTATATGCGTCGCTTGTGTGTCTGTTTGTTTTTTGTTTTAACGCCACACTCAGCAATATTTCAGCTATATGACAGCGGTCTGTAAATAATCGAGTCTGGACGAGACAATCCTGTGATTGATATGAGCATTGATCAACGCAATTGGGATACGATGACATGCATCAACCAAGTCAGCGAGCATGACCGCCCGATCCCGTTAGTCACCTCTTACGACAAGCATACTCACCTTTTACGGCAAGCATGGGTTGCTAACCTATTCTAACCCGGATCTTTATTGTATAAATATATTATCCCTATACATCCCTATATATAACCATGTATGGTAGACGTGCACAAGGCTGTGAATTGTCCCAAACACTGCATCTCAATATACTGCAATACACGTATCTGTATTGCGATTCGTATTGCAATATATTTGGAGCTAAAGTGTTTGGCAGTGACTGACACTGATTGTACACGCAGATCCTATTTTCTACATACTAAAGTAAATATTACCCAACATGGTCAGTGGCTGCCATTTTGTAGTCATGGATACAACGGAGGTAACATTATAAGAGAAAAATCACTTACACATTTCCTGCTGACTTGTCAAGCAATTTCAAAGGGAAACATAATTTGCAAATGAATTTCTGCGTAGATTTTAGGTTAAATGAAACAAATAATAACGAAACATGTCATATCTTTGTTACACAATATACTTGAAGACAGAAAATATATTGCAATACAAATTATTTGGCACAAAGTGCTTTGTTCTTCACGTGTGCATCATCTTCCTGAGGCAAGGGAATTAACTGACTGTAAAAGTCCAGTTTTTCACCCTTGCCAAGGCTGGAATTTCTGAGCTCGATTATAGTGCCACTGGTGGCTACTACAAGTAATGTTCCTTCTATATCCCTCCTACTGACCAATCAGATTCCACCTCTCATGTCACGTGCATTTGCTTCAAACAAAATGGTGGCACCCAGTGAAGACAATCTGATCATTGCTGATCTATAATCAAGATTTATATTGTAATAAAACAGGTCTTACTTCACGAGGTGCATCAAACCACATGAGCACCTTGATTATAAACATGAAAAGATTTAGAAAAGTATCTGTTGATGCAAAGTTGATGGAACACATGCTTTGCAAATTCTGCAATTGGCCGAAATCAGCGTGGCAGTTTACGAACCGGATGTTAATTTCGTTATGCGATTTTGATAGGACTATGCATAGACGCATTAGTCCAGCCAAAATAGAACGCCATAATTGCAGCCGAGTTTGGCAGGGGTGGAAATTGGTCTTTTATAGTCAGTTAACACCCTTGCATCAGGAAGATCGGTGTGTAGTCTACTGACCTGTCTCCCGCCATGACACTGTCCAGGACGCTTGGGTCAAGCTCCAAGAGTTTAAAGCGTTCGTTGTCCAGTGTGTTGGAGAACACGATGCACTGGGTGCGACTCCGCAAGTCACATGCCTGCAGTTTGGCGTACTCCAGGACGGACAAAACATCCTCCTGAGATCTGCACCCAAAAACAAACATGCCATTTAAAAAAAAACTTTTCACCAATCAAATGACTATAAAATACACATAAGGATGCAACTCTACACAGAAAATGTCTGCCGCTAAGACGACCAGGCCACCCGTATCTGCCATTAGTGCATTAAGTTAAGCTAAAGATAAATTAATAATCTAAATATTTAACATTCATCCCTTAAATATTAGTCTGTGTTAACATTGATCCTTTCACAAATTTGCTAACTCCGATGAGCTAGTCTCTGCAGTCAGGGCAACTGGCCTGTGATCATTCCTCTATTGTTCTCCTCGTGATCACCACTCCTGTCTACCAAGAGCACCACCACTGCACTTCACATCAGGGTAAGTATATTAAGTTATTACTTTATTTATCTGGGAAATTAGATTATGTAATTTAGTATCTTTATTCAGAGCTCCAGATAAGCTGCGTATCTGCATGAAATACGCATCAGAAATGCAGAAATACACAGTAAAATATAATCCAAGCGTATCAAATACGCAACGAACATTACAGATACGCTACAAAAATAAAACTTGTGCGTATTATCAAAATATTGTGAAGTAACCCTGTGTATTCGATTAGCAAATCAGCAACTTATTTTGAAATTATAAACGGGAATTCCGTCAACCTTGCCAAACTCCACGATGACAGTTACATCATGATCATTTGCCATCACACTTTCTTGTGGAAGTATCGTTGTATTTTTGAGTCCTATAAAGCTCTCGAACCCACACGACACCAGTTTGCAGGGACTAGATGAATAGTGTTTTTAAATATTTAACTTAAATACCCACATGTGTAAAAACTAGCTGTTAACAGAAATTTGAATACGCAGATAGAATTACTGATACCCAATGATTTTAAAATGCATGGGTAAAATACCCACAACACCAAAAGCTTATCTGGAGCTCTGTTTATTAGTATTGTATATGTTACAGTCAATGTGTACAATGTGATTAACTCAGGCAATTCATAAAATGCCTAAATATTTCAGTCATGTTACAACTTGACCACAAAACTGTCCACTTATTTGACAGATTGACTGAGAAGTTCAAAAGGGCTTAAAAACATAACAATAAACTTATAATGCCAGGATTGGAAGCATGTACATTCACTTTGGTTTTCTTTTAACCCAATCATTTTCAGTCACTGGAATTTGTTATCATAATGAAATAAACGGACAGTTGTTTCAGTAAATTTGTACAATAACTGAACGATTTAGCCTTTTTTGTAAATTGCCTAGGTCACATTTTCCATCATTTTACACATTGGCTGTAACATAAATAGTATTTGGCTAACAAAGCGGTATGCTATTGTGTAATACAACATAGCTCTGCGATAAATCGCAAAGAATAATGAAAAACAAAGCATGGTTTTTTTCACGATACATTGTTCTATCACAATGTCATTTCTGGACATTCAAACATACACGCGCCACTAGGAGACATCATAAAATTGGACGCTGTTAGTTTTGAGTGTGGTGAGTTGTTCCCCTTAGATATATCTGGGCATGTATAAACGCAATGGCCAAACGATCCCATCCAAAAATGGATGAAATGTGACAATCTGTTTTGCAAGAAAAGGTACAGATAATCCCTGTTACAATTGTGAGAATATGAAGGAAATTCCAGACTTAAAACCCCTGTTCATAAAATGGACTTGTCCATTTTACTGTATTTCAGGCAGTAATCATTATCTAAATATTCATGAAGCTTGTAAATTGTACTATCATCCTCGGGGAGGTTGTAAATAATGTTGAAATCATTACAATATAGAACTGTCGAGTCCCAGTTCATCAGTATTTGCCTAGATTCTGGCACCCAAAAGTCCGACCTAAACGTATCAATATACTTGATTAGTGCTACTTAGCCTAAAGTAAAAAGGTCTCAGGGTGAGGAGCGAAAGAGTCCCCCAATACAAGGCCCAACTCGTGCCCAATGAAGAGTTACTTGTTCACGTGCACATAATTTTAAAAAGACAAAATAGAAATAAATCGTTTAAAGAATTATTAGATAAATCAGAGACTTCATACACAGATTGTACATCTGTCATATATTGTCGGGGCCAAATAATGTACTGAGAATGTACACAGCTCGAATCAGTTTATAGTAAGTTAGAGTTACCTTTCCCTTAAAAAGTATCAGTCAGGGGACTTCAGCTTTTCATGTCCATTCGACCAATCATTTAGTCGCTGCCTATCCACAAACATGTGTGTTTCTCTTGAATAATTTTAAGATATATATCTGGTCTCAGAAATATAAACACAAACCTGCCACCACGGATTTCCGAATCCGCATTCTCTGACTCGACTTCCATTTTTCACAATCTCGCGCCAAATTTGTAAACATAAGGTTTCACGTAAAGCTAATATATGTCATGTTCCCCGAACTAACTTCATACTAATGTGCCCTGATGTGTATCACTTATATCAAAATTACATGAAAAACTGTTAAAAAGGTGATATGATGGAATACGAAACCTCAATAATCCGCCCACTAAGGTCAAAGGTCATAGCCTTGTTTACAATTGAGCTCGCAATCAGCTGGAAGGTGTTGTACGATCAACATGCTCCGAAGGCAGAGATCAAGGATTGAAGCTTGCAAATACAAAATACTTCTAGTTGGTGAACAACTAAGGTAACCTAATTATTTTCGATTTACATAGCATGGTAAATGGTGAAAATAATATATTTATAACTACACCCAGTCGATGATTATTATATTATATACTTAATGCAATGTGTAAGTGCAGTGGGTAAAATGTGTGGGTTTGTGGGACTCAGGGTCTGTTATCAAGCTATTGCAACATGCATTCTTTTTTTTATGTGAAGAAAATGTAATCAAGATCTGACACATGATACATTGCTGTTGTAAGTGATGAAATAAAGTGTCGATAACCCGTCCTATTCCATCGTTTTCTACCAAACAAAATGGGTTAGGGATCATGGATATTTTGGAGGATAATTTTTTTGTCGTGAAGACTAGGCACACAATTTCCTAAAAAAATATTCCATAAAATATTCATGATACCTAACAGTTTTTGTTCAGTATATAACGATGGAATAGCATACTTTTTCAACAATAATCGCAAAGATGAACTATATTTTATTAAATAACAGCGTACATTTCTATCATCAATTTATTTCCTCACATCGACAGCTATGTCACCTAAACAAAGTAAATGAAATGTCATTCGAAAACCTTCCTGGTGACAGTCAAGTGGTTTGTTTCGATTCGCCAGCATAAGGAAACGGATATCTAATGTGAGTTATAATTATGTGTAAAACCATGCAAACGCGATTTCAATAAGTCTGAACACGCAATGATCTGCCGTCATTCCAGAGTGTTAATGGCCCGCGTAGCCAAGGGTAAAGCAGTTTGAATATTTTAAATATACTTAACATGAGGCAAATGATGTTGGAGCACGATTTGAGTTTGTAGTTTTTGTGACTAATAGTTAAGCAATATCATCGTGACGCTGTTTTACGAAATAAGTTATAGTTATCCATAATGATTTGCAAATATAATAATATATTTGAAGCTTGTCATTATCCGTTCGGAAGGAAATACATCTTTTTAAGTTGTGTCGTATCATGAAAAGTGTCTTTCTAAGTATCATGAAAAGTGTCTCTCTAAGTATCATGAAAAGTGTCTCTCTAAGTGTCATGAAAAGTGTTTCTCAAAGTATCATGAAAAGTATCTCTCTAAGTGAACAATGTGAAGGACGTTTAACCCGAGCCTTCTCCATCCTCTCTCAACCCAGACACAGCTGTAGAATATATGTAGACAAAGTTGCATCTACTTTTCTATTAAACTGACTATGTTTTAGCATATATTCTGGATTCTAATTGTAATGCATTTTGTTGAATCAAGGCGTTGGTTTTGATCAGATTGCATAAATATATGAGAATAGAGAATAACACAATAAAAAAGATCAAATTATTTTTCCTCAGGAACAAACGATTGAAATAAGTACAGGAGTAAGAAAATCAGAAGCTTTCAGAAAGAAATGTACAGTCGAACCTCGTTGTGTCGAAAAAGTTCGAGTTATCCGGGGTAAGAGACATCGGGGAATTTTATGCCAAATTTGCATACTTGGGACTCCCAATGCGTTCGAGACAACCGAGAATTCGACACATTCAAGTTCGACACAACGAGGTCCGACTGTATATCATGTTAGTGTAGACATTGCTTCATAATCAAATCTAGGTATATGCATATATGTTTTGGACCCGTGAAGATCCGGGGTAGAATAGGTCTTCAGCAACCCATGCTTGCCGTAAAAGGCGACTATGCTTGTCGTAAGAGGCGACTAACGGGATCGAGTGGTCAGGCTCGCCGACTTGGTTGATGCATGTCATCATGTCTTAAAATTCATACTCTGTACGTTAGTCATTTTTCATAACCATGACGTGAGCGAGGAAGACATTTATCATTTTCACTCCGTTTTAATGTTTTAGGAAATACATAAAGTGTTTTGATAGTGAGTGAATATGATTTTACGCCGATTTAATTATATTCCAGTAACATATTTCATGACACCAGAAATGGGCTTCACGCATTATAACCAAGAGGGAAATCGAACCCGGGTTTGCGGCTGACGGCGAACGGTTTCAACCACTAGACTACATCAGCACCCTTCATAGACTTGAGCACATATGTACATCATAGCATTAATACATAGTGTATTACCTAGGTGTGGAAATGTTGTTATATACTGGAACATTTTTATTTATTTATTTATTTATTTATTTATTTATTTATTTATTTATTTACATTTGTCAAAGTAATTCGTTCATATTTGGATATATCATAACAAGATTCTTAAGACCCGAATGACTTGTCAGAAAGCCGATATGCTTCATAATCCTTTATTCAAACAATCAACATGCCTTGTCTGTGGATTCAGGCAAAGCGGAGATTACTAACCCTTTAAAACAATTGGCTTGAGAAACGCTGATTCACGTTGCAAAGTTCCCCTATCTGTTCGAGAGTAGGTGCGTGTATCAGTAAGTCAGTGGTCAATATGATATATATATATATGCGCTGTGACACAACACGCCCACTTGTCTATAACAGATCTATAGATACAACCAACTCACTCTGTACGGGAGAGATCGGGTTGTTATCAACAGGTAAAGTCGACCCCGTTATAAGACCGGCTTTTGTTCTGGGTGTGGGCATTATAGTGAGCCAGTGACTTACAGTTTGAGTCGCTTCGTTATTGTTTCACCAATACCGTCTAATGTTTCACTCTTGAATCGCATCGCTCACCCTTGAAATTGACAGCCTGAATCCCGAAAACAACTTAACCCAAAGGGGCGATCGGGTAGCCTAGTGGTTCAAGTTTTCGCTCGTCACGCTAAAGACCCGGGTTCGATTCCCGACATTGGTACAATGTGTGAAGCCCATATCTCGTGTCCCCCGCCGTGATATTTCTGGAATATTGCTAAAAGCGGCGTAAAACCATACTCACTCTCTCACTTAACCTAAATCTCAAAAGCATTGAGAAAAGGGTGCGATTTAAAGTTAAATTACTCAACAAAATACCCTCTAAATAGACCCCTTAATCCTTGGCATCCCCAAGAACGCGATCTGTATGAAGATCAAAGCGTATTGAGTGGGTGAGTTGGGTTTAACGCCGCTTTGAACGGTATTCCAGTTATATCACGGCGTGTCAGCTTAATGTGGGAGGAAAGCCCGAAGTGATGCATGCAGGTCTCAGACGCTTACCACTTTGATGTCCATGGTTATGGTTCTGACAAACCAAAACTAACGTAAATCAAGGCGAATCTGGGATTCAAACCCATAGTATCATATTTACTGCACGTACACGTATGTCGCGTCCTTTTTGGCCGTCATCGTCTTCTGCCAACATCTGGACCGACGAAGCTGCAACTTGACATACACATAGACTGTCCGTGTTTGATGATGACTAACATGAAACAAACAAGAAATGGTTATTCGATGGTGATGTATTTGATACGGGAATCATGGCTGTGTTTTGGACCTTAACTTTGAACTCTTTGGTGACTGTTTTCGGCCTGGTTATGTTTGTAATGTTTTGTTCAAATACAGTTTTCAAGTGTATACGTTTTTTGGCCGGCAGTTTATTTCGACCAGTGGTGACAGAAAGTTAAACGGTGCTGATCCATTGCTTTGGTTTGTTTATTAAAAACTGGACAATAGAGACTTTATTTTATCTTAAAAAATAATCTCAAAGGTACGGTAGTTAAAAGTTTGCTTGTATAACCATGTTTTTCAATTGGATTCAGTTTAGTCAATTTTTAAAGTTTTGACGATGTGAACAAAATTAGATGTTTTAATGCTTCTCGGAAAATGTTAGTTGAAATTATTTAAACTTTATATCGATATTATCACAAAGTCTTTAATTTGGATAAAATCATAATTTTGAGTTTTTGTTTAATAATTGGGAAAAATAAATTGTACACACAATTATTGTTTCCATGCCTGGTTAATATTACGTGCATTGTCATCCAGTTATGCAGAGAACCAGAGACAAAATATGAAATACATATGTATGTCGTTAGTTGGTACTTGATGTTTGAGTCGCATGTTTGTAATTGTAATTTGACCTTTATGTCAAAGGTGACATGTATACTTGGCAGATTAAACGCTCACATGTGTTGAGTCCTCGCGTGAGGGGGAAAATTGTTGGTCACATGACCTTGGTACTTCGACCGAGTGAATGCTGTCGCTCTATCTCAATAAACGGTGCATTTTCGTTTCCGGAATGTGAAAATTTAAATTTCCGCGTTAATGTTCAATCCTCTTTCCCCGCAAACCAAACCATCCGGTCAACACTAGTTTAAATTTATTTCAAGTTAACTTCAACAGAAACAAAATTAGAGAACTATTTATGAACAGATAATTATGTGATTATTTAGACTTTGTACCAGACGCTGTTTTCTTCTTCTACAGCGTTAAAAATGTATCTGTAATTAAACCTTGATAGATCAACTTTAAAACAAAACAATGTTATCTATAACAAATATAACGTCAACGCCAGAGAATAACCAGTCTCGATTGTCCGCCGAAACAGATTTAATTGGTCGTAAAAGGCAAACTAGCGATGAAAATTACATGAAAGGATCACTGAAAATCAGTGATGACACCAGGTGTTCGCGAAAGTAATGTTTCTTCATTATTGTTACCAAACGATATATCGCTCAACACTTTGAATTTTAGAAATCTCAACAATGACTGCATATAAAGTATTTTTGTTATCACACGCTCCAAAAAGAGAAGTGGTTTGTTATGTAATAACCATAAGCCCATATATAAATGGCAATAATTAGATCAAAGACAAATCTTTCAAAATGTTCAAAAATGTCATGGAGGAAAACAGTAAGCAAAATGCACGTGCAAGTTATGGCATTCGTAACTCGTGGTAGGGGCTATAAAAAGGCAAGTATAAGCCAATAATATGTCATTCAATTGTCAACATTTTTCAAGTTCGAAAATGCCGAGAAATGCCATAGGACGTATCCAAAGAGGGGAATCGCAGTCATCTGTTGCACGCCACTTCAACGTCCACCGCAGCACCATTTGCCGCCTTTGTGACCGATACACACAGTTCAATTCCACTGCAGACCGTCCGAGAACCGGCCGACCAAGAGTTACCATCCCTGCACAGGATCGCTACATTCGACTGTTCCACCTACGTCAGCACAATGCCACAGCTACGGAGACTGCAGGGCGCATCCCTGGTTTGAGGAGGATATCGGACCTGCGACGTGTTCTGACGTTGACGTACACGTCGATCGAGTTCATCCCAGAGGTGTTCGATTGGGTTGACATCTGGAAATCTAGACGACCAGGGCAAGGCGTTGATGTTGGCGTTATGAAGGTAGTCTACCGTGATGAGCTGTGTGCGGTGGAGCGTTGTCCCGTTGAAACAACTCCCTCTGGCGGTCAATGATTGGAAGAAGGTGAGGTTGAAGAATTTGATTCATGTAGCGATTTGCTGTCAAATTTCCCTGAACCACAACCAAGTCAGATCTCGTGGTGTAGGATATGGCCCCCCACACCATGACACTACCGCCACCGAAATTGTCGAATTCACGTACACAATGTGGGGCAAAACGCTAATTTCGACGACAATAAATACGTTGTCTTCAATCTCGCCGTTGACGAAGAAATCGTGATTCATCGCTAAACCACACTCTGTAAGGTATGGCGCCAACGCAAGCGTCGCTGTCGATGGATCTGATGCAAAACATGGACGATAACTGGTCTTCTGGGTCGGATTCCAGCCTCGCGAAGATGGTTCCTGACAGTCTGCTTATCACGCGTTGGCCAGATGTGGGAGTGTCTGCGGCGTGTTCTGACGTTGACGTACACGTCGATCGAGTTATAAGCAGAATGGCGCAGAATTCCGCAGGACAGAATTCGTACACTTATCCAGCCAGTGCCGAGGAGATGCAGAGCCGTGATTGCTGCCCGGGGCGGTCACACGAGATACTGAGTTCAGCGCTACCTTATGGCCTTATGTGACATGACAATGAACAGTTCTCAATGCCTTTGTACAACGACAACATGTGACTATCGAGCTCTAAAATTTCATATTTGTATCTATGTTATTAAATTAAATATATCGACTTTATTAGGAACAATACATTTACTAAAAATCAACCTATGCGTTGCGTTTTTGAAGAGTGTATATAACAATAATTAAACGAAATATGCTATTGTATGAGGTATGTGATGTGTTTCATGAAAAAAACATTTAAAAAGAAAGGAAAAACATCAGAGAATGAAGGTCAGTAATTGTGCTTGACTTGGTGAAGGGTCAACGTACTCGGAGCACCATTGTTAATTGTGAAGATTTACTTCACACTACTCTACCTTACTTCAACACACAAAAAGGTAATGCACTTTTAAAAGCGCGATTGCGCATCAGTATCTTTGTGTACCCCATGTTCTGAATCCTGACAAAGACGATTCGAATACAGATGAAGCAAACACAAATATCGCATATGTCCCAATGACGTAAGGAAAACAACACCTACATACAAAAACAGGAAAGAAGCTCAATTACCATAATTACCTCACAAGATTATCTCTACTTAGATACTGTTGACTGATAACAATCTGAATGAAAGATATTTAGACAAAATTGAATTGAACAATGAAATGCAGTGAAACACAAGAATTGTGAAAAAATGTTACATGTATATTTGGCAAGAAACTTAATATAATATTCTGTTGGTAACTTCAATATTATATAAATTGCATGCACATTTTGTGTATCATTTTCAATCAAATTAAAATAAACATTTCATCTTGTTGCAACATTTTGTTTACTTCCTCAAGGGAAGTAACATGAGACATGCATGACCACGTGTAACACAGGTCGCATGAATAATTCCGCAGTCATGAACTGTAAAGTGAATTAGTTTGTTCTTTCAAATTAAAATAAATATATAGCTATCTGTAATTTTAAAACATCTACAATCTTATATAATTTTTTAATTTGAAGTTTACACTTTTCCATTGGACGAGAGGTCGGTCACATGACCGCGAAATTGACGTTCATAAGTGTATACAGAAAATAGTAATATATACCTGTACCAAAACCAAGAACATGTGGCTATCGTGTGTAAAATTCAACGATGATCGTCAAACATCTTCCCGAGGCAAGAATTAACTGACTCTAAAAGTCCAGTTTTTGGAAAGATGAAAGATGGGAAGATGATCGTCAAATGAATGCGAATCTGGTTGTTTTCGAATGCTACGGCAGGACGTGCATGATTATGTCATAAGCTAGTATTACGTGTGTACGTTTACAAAATGTTCATACAGATTTATACGCATAAAGAAATATAAAGTAAGAAGTTAAATCATTAAAGTAAAACCTTATCGTCTGGCAGAGTGAGCGCACTGACGTCACACAATAACGGTACGATTAGATAATTAAGTGTCACAGTTTGACATCTCCGCCCTTTGTGACGGTGTCCGCCATTTGTAATTAAGGATTGCTGACTGACGGCCCAAGCGACATGCCAATGTCATGCATATTAAGTCTCAGCTTCATTATAGATAGATAAGCAAATTGTCAATCAGATAAAGACAATTTATGTCCATTCAAATGAAATTGTTTAATATTCATTGCTTATATTGTCCGATCAGAATAGAGTACGTACTTCTGTAAATGTATTCACTGCCATGTATTGTATGTTTGTACTGGTCTAAGAAAGAGACACGACCGGACGCCTGGTCACACTCTTGGTTGACTCTTACCAGTGTCCGTTAATAAAGGCTCTACATACTATAAGACTTATGTCCGATAACATATGGCAAGTCCGTGTTACGCCATTACTTCCTTAGAGGGCACGTCTAAGGCGCCGCGATTCGCTGTGCAGAGTTGCGTCCCTTGGGCACGCCAGAAACCTATGATTGTGGGTTCGAATCCCGGTTCGCCATGATAATGTTTCTAGGTTTGTCAGCACCATACCTGTGCTCGTGGGTTTCACCGAAGTGGTAAACGTCTGGGACCTGCATCACTTCAGGCTTTCCTCCCACATCAAGCTGACACGCCGCGATATAACTGGATTACTGTTAAAAGCGGCGTTAAACCCAACTCACTCACTCACTCATTACTTCCTTAACAATACCTATAAGTAAGTGGTATAAGAACAATTATGTGGAAACTTAAAGACAGAGTTGTTTGTGTAACGAATATTTTTATGCACATCAGTCATTCGCACAGAGATAAGTACATTGGTAACGTTTTATAGATTATTTGTTGATATGCTTATGAAATTAAACGTTAACCATCACAGATTTACGAGCGACAATAAAGTAGGTTTCAATAAATCTTTGACCATTTTTCCAGGCAGCGAAAGGAGTTTTTTCCTGCAAGTCAGTTTAATGTCAAACTTTTAGAGACCTAAATGAACAGTTTCATCGAGATTCAGCTGGAGCACTTCATCGTGTGGTCAGGCTCGGTGAACTGGCTCATTGCGTGTCATCGTAGACTAACGCTAAGTCTATGAAAATATATAATAATGACAGAAATAACTCTATTGAAATTGGAAAGGAGCCCCAGTAAGATGGGGATTCATAACCTGAAGGAAATCTAGACTTGCTTCTTTTAGATCTTTTGCATTACAGTAAGGGCTGGGCGGAATTGAAAATAATTTGGTTCAGAGACTGAGAGACAGAATACGTGTCATCGCACCCCGCCGACTTGGGACAATGCTAATAGTGCAAACCGACGGTTTGTCATAATAGTGAGTGAGTTGGGTTTAACGCCGCTTTTAACAGTATTACAGTTATATCGCGGCGTGTCAGCTTAATGTGGGAGGAAAGCCAGAAGTGATGCAGGTCTCAGACCTTTACCTCTTCGGTGACAAACCTAGAAACATAATCGGGGCGAACCGGGATTTGAACCCACACTCATAATTTTCTGGCGTGCCCAAGGGGCGCAGCTCTGCACAGCGAATCGCGGCGCCTTAGACGACTGGGCCACCCGTGCCCTCCTTTGCCATAATACCAATCACTAGCTTATTTACATGCCTTTTTTTTTATCTAAAGCTAGTCTCCCTTTAATACAACAAACGTATACTATTTTAGACAGCGTGAATCGTGAAGAATCACGGAATTCAGTGTATGTCTGATGTTCATTAGACTAACACACAGCCTCTGGAAATAAATAATTTTGATAGAAACAAACAACTCCATTTCATTTTAAAAGGAGCCCAAGTGACCCTTGGAAAGTCTAGACTTGTTTCAATAAGGGCATAGGCACTACAGTAAGGGCAGCATGGTGGGGTGGGGTGGGGTGGGGTGTGTGTGTGTGTAGGGGGGGGGGGGGGGGGGGGGTTGTTTCGGAGACTGTGAGACAGACTAGATGTTCATCTGTTAAGCCTATACTGTTTTAGGTTTCAGATGCATGTCCAACACGTTATAGAAGAGCGCCGCTTCCACTTTCGTACCTACAAGGCATGTTTCGTGGGCAGGGATGCCGTTGATTGGTTAATCCTCAACAGACATGCGCATACCAGGGATGAAGCTTTGATGTGCATGGGCTTACTACAAGACCAGGAAGTGATTCATCACGGTGAGGTTTAAGTAAACAAATGTTTATAGTGCACAATACCAATCATTTCTAAACATATGGAGCCAAATTTAACAATTTTAAATTTAATCTTACTTCACTTATTTATCTTTTGCTATATTGTAGTCGTTGTTTTTAGTACTTGCCAATAAAGTCAGGGTAAGAATTGGTCAACATGTTTAATGTCTAAGTGAGTGAGTGTGGTTTTACGCCGCTTTTAGCACTATTCTAGCAATATCACGGCGGGGACACCAGAACTGGGCTTCACACATAGTACCCATGTGGGTTCATAGAAAGGGCTAGGGAGAAGGGGAAATAATATGGTTCGGGGACTGTGAGAGAGACTAGTACACCAACCACTCTTGTTTCCATGGTACTGATATTTCTATACACATCGTGTAAAAAACAAAAGGGTTGCATGGATATACGGTACAGGTGGCTATGTTAAAAACAAGTTTCCTATATTGCAGTGTGTGACGATCACTCGTTCAAGGACGAGCACCTGTATTACCGCTTCCGCCGTGACGACGACACGTACCTACAGAACAAGGATCTCAGAGCTTTCTTCAAGGGCCTGCATTTGTTTGACAAGTATGTTTTCAATCTTCACAATGAACGCACCTGCCAGAAAGACACGCAATAATAACTGCAATACCAATATCTCCAGTTTCATAACGACATATATGAAGTCAAAATATGTTTAATGCCGCTATGCGAGTTATATCGCGGCTGGTCAGTTTATCGTGGGAGAAAAGCCCAAAATGTCTCAGAAGCTTATCATTTGGTGAAACCCACGGCTACAGGTATAGGAAAATAATCTGGGTTTCGAACCCTCGTTCATTTGATCCTGGAACGGCTAAGGGACGCAACTCTGCACATTAAATTGCGGCGCTTTAGACCAAAATACACCATTGCAGCTTGGTCGATTATAGATGTCGACCTCCAGTTTTCCGGACGGTCATATTTTTCTTCTTTTAAGCAGCTACCAGACCAACGAAGCGATCTCGGGACTCTAACGTTCTGCGTAACTTCTATATTTAAGCATTTCATAAGTCAAGGTTCCCCGGCCGCACTGGTTGCTGCCGACCTGAATGTTTGCTTAATATCATCTTGCGTCGAATTCAGTCTTGTTCCGGCGGCATGTGAATATTCGTGTCTTGGGCCAGGCAAACCAGTGGCTGATAGCATGACCACCGCCATGGCACACAATCGGCCATGTCATACATAATCACCATGGTCACACAATCCCCTGGGGATACGGAGTGAACGAATGGGAATGGTTTTAAGCAGCATCGATTGTCCAGCACATTATATTTCCATTCTTTATCGTGATAAACTCCCTGAAGTCATTCGCTACCATAACTTCGTTTTGAGCCCGATTTGAAAGGCGCGACGCTTAAAATAGCTGTCCAATCAAATTACTCGCGGAAGAATATCTTTGCTAAGTTACTGATGAGGAAACTAGATATAGTGACGTCACTTCCGAAACAAAGAGATTTTTTATGAATTTGGAAAAGGTTTTGTCTCTTTTATTTAGGTGCTTTTAGCAATAATCAAGTATCGTCACGGCAGGGGAAACACGAATGGACTTCAAGCAATGTTTCTTGATGGGAATCAAACCCGGTCTTCGGATCGAACCTAACCCAAATTCCTTGTTCTGATCTATTGTGACCATCCTCGATTACCCAGCGTATCCAATTATCGTTCCGTAATGATGTCATATATAAGCTGGATAATCGAGGATGGTTGTGACCCGACGTTTCTGCGGTTCCAGACTGCTGGCAAGTCGCGCCGTCCTCCGCGACTTCCACGTCCCCGGTGTCGTGTACCGGGACAGCTTCATGGGCCGCGAGCTGATTGACTGGATGCAGGAGAGCGGGCTGTCAGTCACGAGGGATGCGGCCATCAAAGACTGCAGGGAACTGCTGGAGAACGACGTCATCAAACATGGTGAGCTGTACATCAAGTGTTGAACAATAATCTGTAAACCACTGTCGACCGGTCAAGCAGTCGCCGTAGTTAACATCATGTATATTGTTGTCGTCACTGGTATTAACAATACAGTAGAAACAGTTTTTAACGTTTTCACATATTATCGTCACGTAAATGAAACGTTCAGGATTAGGGTATTCATTGAATGCATCCCGATTATGTCCAAGTGGCGAGTGAGTGAGTGAGTGAGTGCATATTGCTTAACGCCACTGGGACGATGGGGTAGCCTGTAGTCCTTACGGGGGTGGTGGGGTAGCCCAGTGGTTAAAACGTTCGCTCGTCACGCCGAAGACCCTGGTTCGATTCCCCAAATGGGTACAATGTGTGAAGCCCATTTCCGGTGTCCCGCGCCGTGATATTGCTGGAATATTGCTAAAAGCGGCGTACTCACTCACTCACTCACTGTAGTCCGCGCCACCTGAAATCTTATCCCGAAATATCAGGATAATTAATTAATGATATAGCTGCATATGTAACAATACTTATAAAGTAAAAACAAGCTATGCCGACGAGGACTAGTGGTTAACGCGTTAGTCGTCACGCCGATGGCCCAGGTTCGATTCCCTACATGGGTACAATTTGTAAAGTCTATTTCTGGTGTTCCCCGACGTGACTTTGGCTGGAATATTGCTACAAGCGGTGTGACACCATCCTCACTCACTCACTTTACCCCTGATTACAGTTGTGTTTGCAGCGATGTGTAAATCATTTGGCATTTTCATGTACTGTATGGCAAAGTTACCCATTGCTTTGAGTGCACGTGAAGCCATGGATAGTATTTGTGGAAGCTGCTTCTTGTGCTTTGTACCTTGGTCAGGCAGGGAAAGTTGTTATTATTGGGACTGCGCTTATCGGAGGCAGTAACAGTGAGTGAGTGAGTTGGGTTTAAAGCTTTCAACAGTATTCCAGTTATATCACGGCGTGTCAATTTGATGTGGGAGGAAAGCCCGAAGTGATGCAGGTCCCAGACGTTTACCAATTTGGTGAAAGCCACAAACATGGGTATGGTGCTGACAAGTCTAGAAACATAATCATGGCGAGCCGGGATTCGAACCAACGATCATTCTGTTCACATTCATGATGTTATGGTCGGATCCATTAACCAAATAATACACATGTATCAGGTCTAACTTGACATTGCACCTGCACATACCCTGACAGACACACCCTATGCGGAGACCATGCAGTAACTGTGCCGCGCTCTTCACACGGTGTTAACTGGTTCCAAGTAAACACGCTGTTCTCGTTCCTGTTCCAGTTACAGACGACTACCACTTTCGGGACGACGACCTGATCTACCAGTTCTCCATGGACTTCCACCAGCCCTACCTCCTCTCGGACATCCTCTCCTTCCGCCGCACCTCCTCCTCCTCATCTTCCTCGGGCTTCACGAGGTCCTCTGTCGAGCTGACCGTTCTCAGGAGACGCTCAACACCCGGTGAGCACACTCAGTCAACTAGTGTGCGTACATGCGTGCGAGTGTGCTTATTTAAAATTCAAAATAAAATACATTGCTGAATTTGTTCTCACAACATGATTCTTTTTCTATGCGATGTTACGAATGAAACATCGTGAGAACGTGTTTCGCTTTAAATTTAAAATACATTGGACTATACACTCGAAATGCAAGTACTTTCGTTTGTAAACTGACAGTCGAAGAATAAAACAAATAAGAAATTGTTTTTGATTGTAATGTATGTGATACCTATCGTAGTTGTGTTTTGGACCTAACATTTGCAGTGTTTCGGCGACTGTTTTCAGACCAGTAACGTTTTCATAATGTTTATAATTTATTTGTCAACTATTTTTAAGATGACCGTATTCGACGTAATAAGCGCCCAGGGCGCTCTCAAAATTAGAAACAGGGGGCTCTTATTAGAATATTATTTTCATGAGAAAAAAAAGAGTTAAAAGATAAATTTCTTGGTTTATGCTGACAGCCTGAAATGTTTATGTACGACAGATATATTTTTCAAGAATTTAATTGCCCATAATTAAGTGTGCGTATAACACATGAGTGCGTATTATACGCGAATAAATAAGTCTTGTGTTCATTGATCAATCGGAATGGGTGCTAATTAGGATTGTTCACTGGCCAATATATTAGCAAATATAGCCGTGGGCGCTTATTAGAGCGGGGCGCTTATTACGTTGTGCTTTCTTTTGCCCGACAGCTTACCATATATAAATAACATAATTTGATGTTAAAAAGATCATTCATGATTGAAAAGTCTACGCTAAATTGGACGGGCCCTATTTATACGAAGCAACGTTAAGAAGAAATGGAAGCCAATGAGATACTATTATTTTAAAGGAATACATCTATCTCTATACTTCCAGTATCAATGACATCTTCTCCTAGATCTGCTGCCGATGACTCCTCGGACTCAAGTCGGAACTCTCTCCCCTCGCCATATCCAAGTCCTTCCGAGTCATCGGCAGACGACATTCGAGACAGATTCCACTCTGGATCCTTCTCCGCTGATTCCACAGACACCCTTCAGCCAAAGTCAGGTAGGTGCAAAAGCAGAATCGGAATATAATAATTCACAATGAATAATTTAAAACTAGTGGTTCCCCCGAAATTCAAATGGCTATATTTTTACCGCAAAGGAACGAATACTGGGAGTTATCTCCCCTTTTTGAGAGATTTCATTTATATCGAGAGAGGGTGTTTACAAAAAGGCATACAATTTTATTGTTTTAGTTAGAACTCCAGATTCCTGGTTTTGTTTTCAAGTACAGTTGCAGTTGGACAGCATATCTTCTCTGAACAGACAGCATGTCCAGCGAACTATTAAATTTCCTTTTAAAAACCTTGGGCATAATTATTTGTTTCTATTTGTTTATGACACAAATGAGACAGATGTGAGATAAGTAGTCCGCCAAAAGTATTACGGTGACGTCACTGGTTGTATTTGCAGTGTTGTTGCGCAACGTCACAGTGCAGGAACTTGAGGACCCCGACACGCCCTACATCAAACACACCGTCAGGGTGAGTCCGGCCATCACTACCCCCGGGGAAGGGGAAAATAGATATCCTACTCAGACACAGTAAACTGTGCCGACCAGTCCTTGTTTGATCCCATTAATGTCGAACACCAGGCTGGGTAACAAAAAATACCATCCTTAACGTCTTTTGGTATGACGCAGACGGGGATCGAACCACCGACCTTCCGCTCTCCTGGCAGACGCTCTATCCACTAGACCACGCAAGCGGTCACGTTTTGACCAAGACTATGGTATTTATCAAAATATGATGCAGTTAATATTTTCATTAATTTCCAGATTAAAACTCTATTTTCTATCTTTTGAAGAAGTAACCAAATGGCATTCTTTATATGGCCATGCCCATTTCGGATGTCCCCCACTGTGATATTGCTGGGATATTGCTTAAAGCGACGTAAAACCATACTTGTCCAGGCCTGTGACATCGTGGTGGTATTTAGGTGCAGGCAGTGTATCCTCTTCCACACTGCCTCAAGGGCTCTGCACACTAAACCAGCGCAGTGCGTCGGTGCGTTTTCTTTTAACCCACATTTGGCACATCTACCCGAGGCAAGTGAGTTAACTGACTTTAAATTCCTGGGCTCGATCGTAGCGCCACCAGTGGTTATTTAGGAGATAAACCTACTGTGTTTTGAAATTTGATGTAGTCCCACTGTAGAATAGATACCTCTTTATTATAATTTTGAACCGAGCGCTTTAGCGCGAGGTTCCAAATTATAATAAAGAGGTATCTGTCGTGCAGATTTCGGTCGATTGCAGGATTTGCAAAGCATGTGCACCGCCAACTTCTTGTCAACAGATATTTTCCAAGTCCTTTCATGTTTTTTTATCAAGGTGTTCACGTGATTTGATGCACTTCGCGATGTAAGACCCGTTTTATCACGATATAGAACTTGATTATCGATCAGTACGTCTTGACTGGGCGCCGCCATTTTGTTTGAAACAAATGCAAGTGATACGATAAGTGGAATCTGATAGGGCTGTAGGCGAGGCTTAGAAGGGACATAACTCGTAATAACCTCTGGTGGCGCTACGATCGAGCCCAGGAATTCAAACCAAGTTCGGCAAGGGTGTAAACTGGACTTTTAAAGTCAGTTAACTCACTTGCGTCGGGAAGATGTCGCGCTGTCGCTGCGCTGCGTTAATTCAGGCTGATTATCTTAAAACAACTAGAGTGTGTTTTTGGCTGTCGACGGCTGCGCTGCGCTGCCAAGGCGCTGGTTTAGTGTTGGGGGAGCTTTAGACTAAATGTTAGTGACGGATGAGCCCGGTTACATAATCGTCTGTATTCCAGATGTATTAGCCTCTCTTTACATGGCATGGGTAACACATTTGCAGATGACAAGTGACTCTGTAGGATATGGGTTCGTCATCCGAGGGAACAGTCCCGCCTACGTCCAGACCGTCGACCCCAACGGCCCAGCTGCCGCTGCCGGGATCAAGGTACGTCTTGTGTGACTGGGTGACGAGTCAAAGTATGGCATGTTCGACTGGGTGACGAGTCGAGGTACGTCATGTGTGACTGGATGACGAGTCAGGGTTTATCATGTGTGACTGGATGACGAGTCAAGGTACGTCATGTGTGACAGGGTAGCGAGTCAAGGTACGTCATGTATGACGAGTCAAAGTACGTCATGTGTGACTGGGTGACTGGATGACGAGTCAAGGTATGTCATGTGTGACTGGATGACGAGTCAAGGTACGTCATGTGTGACTGGGTAACGAGTCAAGGTACGTCATGTGTGACGAGTCAAAGTACGTCTTGTGTGACTGGGTGACTGGATGACGAGTCAAGGTATGACGTGTGACTGGGTGACGAGTCAATGTACGTCTTGTGTGACTAGGTGACGAGTCAAGGTTTGTCATGCGTGACTGGGTGACGAGTCAATGTACGATTTATGTGACTTGGGAACTGAGTGATGGGACCAAAGTGCGCCATGTCTGACACGACTGGGTGACAGGGTCAAGTTGCGTCATGTGTGACTGGGTGACAGGGTCAAGTTGCGTCATGTGTGACTGGGTGACAGGGTCAAGTTGCGTCATGTGTGACTGGGTGACAGGGTCAAGTTGCGTCATGTGTGACTGGGTGACAGGGTCAAGGTGCGTCATGTGTGACTGGGTGACAGGATCAAGTTGCGTCATGTGTGACTGGGTGACAGGGTCAAGGTGCGTCATGTGTGACTGGGTGACAGGGTCAAGGTGCGTCATGTGTGACTGGGTGACGGGATCAATGTACGTCATGTTTGATTGGGTGACAGGGTCAACGTACGTCATATCTGTCTCGACTGGGTGGCGGGGCGAAGGCACGTCGTGTTCACTAGATGGCGGGATCAGGGTGTTCATTTCTAACGGTGTGGCGTGACCAAGGTACTAGAAACCCTCTCAGAACCCTAATATCCGGGTTAGAATTGATCTTCACAAACCAATGCTTGTCAGAGGCGACTAACGGGACAGGGTAGTCAGTATCGCAGACTTGGTTAATGCATGCCATCGTATCCCAGTTGCGTAGATTGATGCTCATGGTGGCGATCACTGGATTGTCTGGTCCAGGCTCGATTATTTACAGACCTTGCATATAGCTGTGCGCGGCGTTAAACAACAAACAAACAAACCCAACAGAGGAAATACGGACAAACAGCAGCAACTCATTATAATACGGGCATATTTAATCATTGTCTTTATCTGGACTCTGAATCAGTCATTTTCAATAACAAAACAAACCAACAAGAAACCCTCACATCAGTGAAGTTAACCCTCTCCTGTCAGTAACGTTAACTCTCTATCCAGTTAGCCCTCTCTTTATCATTGAAGTGAATCCTTTCTCTTAACCATTTGTGCGTAACATGAGATGAATCGTTTGTCTAAATTCCAAAAGGATAGACACATCACATGTGTCAGTGGATTGGTTTTATTAGAAATAGGAACATCACTGTACTGCCTTGGCCAGCTGATAGTCCTGGGTGCCGTTGCACAAAGCTATCTTAATCTCAACAGGCGTAGCGCTACGGCTGTTTTGTACACCTGTACCTCAAAATATGTGCCGTCTCGTTATAATCTGGAGTCATTCGTGACTAACTCGCGTTATTCCGGGACAAGCCGAAAAGCGACTCTACCCCTCTCGTGGCCATTTTTGCGACTGGGTTCCGTCTAAGCGCAAACGGGCATATCTACAAGAATTGTCAACTCGCTGCGTAATGATTCACGTATATCTCCTCCATATTCCATATATATTCCAGATGCTATTGACAACACATCGGGATTTGCATTATTATCCAGTATAGCTGAACAAATTTAAAGGTATCTTGAGTATATCCTTAAATGCAAGACAAATGTAAAATCAAACATTATTCCTGAGGGATTCTTTGAGCGAAGTAATTAAGAAGTCTTACGCGCATTCTGATTAGTATTGTCGTATTTTCGCACATTACATTCATCGATATTGGGACGAGTCTTCTTGCCGGTTACGGAAAGGGGCGAGTGGTGACGAATGAATCTGGCACAATCTCCAGAGTATACCCAGACAATGGAAGCCAGTAACTTTTGTCCGGGATCACGGGGGTCACACTCGTCAGAGCGTTTGCCCTCATAGCCGAACAATCACCTCGCCTGTAAGGGCAATGAACTTGCAACTTATAATGGGACCCCGTTTACAGATTTCACTGGTACGTGATCAATACCAACCCAATCTCATTAAAATCAGATCTTAGTTTTCGCTACCGCTAAACAAATTTAGCGATAGCGAGAACTAAGATCTGATTTTAATGAGATTGATACCAAACATATCGCTGTATCTTACATTTGCGTAAACACCAGTAGCATAAAATCACAAATGTTTTCACGATTGCAATGTGAAAAAGTCTCATCTGCACGTCTTTGTTTTCACGCCAGGTGCGGCAATTTATCTACTCTGTCAACGGTAAGAACGTGCTTCGAATGGACCACAAGAGCGTGGGCAAGCTCATTCAGCGGAAGATGGGGATGGTGTGTATAGTGGTCATGACCCACAAGCGAGACGCTGCGGACTCCCGGTGATGTTCGCCTCATTTTTTGATGGACACATCATAAACACTTAAACCATTGATCCCGATGCTGGTCGGAAAACACGACAAAATGGGTACACTCTGAACAGGATCGACCATTTCTGCTGAAAATAGTGTTCTTTGCAGTAGCGGAAAGGGCCGAAGATTGCCGATTGGGCTCGTCGGTCTCTCTGATTTGGTTGATCACGTTTCATCGTACCCCAACCGCGTGGATCGTTGTCAACAGCGTCAATCACTGGATTGTATGTTCAAGACTCGTAATTTGCAGGCCGACAGCTGGAACGTACACACACATTCCATGCCGGGAATTGAATATTTCGGCAGGGTCATAAACCTTAGATTAACACGGTCGAGTGTAATGGATGAAGACAATGGCCATGAAATTGAATTCAAAACTAGATGTCTGTTTCGAATTTTGTGTAATACATGAGTATGAGAGAAGCAACATCGATGTCAATACATCCCGTCTTAAAGGCTTTGTGTTTGGGTTAACGCCGCTTTAAAAAGAATTTTCAGCAATACCAGGTGCCAGCTAAATGTTGCAGGAGAGCCGATAGTGACACACGGAGTGGACGTTGACCAATTTGTTGCTGACGGACGAAGGACCTTAATTAGTGCGGATCCTTGCACGGTCAAGGGGCTCAACTCTGCACAGCGCCTTTGACCCGGACAGTGGGCCCTGATACACGAATAGCTTAATAGTAAAATACGTTTCCCCCCTGAAAAATAATACATGGTTTTGTTTCATTTTTTTTCTGAACCTTTCATTTGTTCTTAATCACTTCGTCCAAGTCCACCTTATGGTAGGTCTCTAACATAGGCCTTGTTCCACAAATCGATCTTGACGCGACGACGATGGTAAGCCCATGTCGATGTGTGGGAGTTACTATCACCTTATAGAGCGCCAATATCACTTTGTGGATCGGGCCCTGTATAATACTGTGTGGGGCTTGGCAATGCATTGGTGGGGGAAGCTTTGGCGACCAGTCAAGGGAGATCACTCTAAATGACTACGTCTTGACTTTCAACACTGAATGAACAATGAATCAGAAGCTTAACTGTTTGAAAACCCTTTCTTCCTGTATTTTCATAAATTTAAAATGAAAAGCGCAATGTTTACATATTTTACATGTTAAACGTATAAATATTTACCTACAATGTTCTTGTCTTTTCAACAAAATGTATGGAGATGCTTGACACAAAAACACAACAGCTTCACTGTATATTTTTAAAACAATTATATTCAAACGTGCATATCAAACAGTAAACATGTTATTTCCATCAATGATACAGATGATAAAATCCTATAACATGACGAACACAACAGAACACACATACAGAAGAGACTTACAATCTGCTAGTATTGAGCAACTGAATTTTACAAGAGGAATGGTCCATCAGCAGTGCTGGTTTATAACAATAACTCCTCCCATGTTTCGGTGAGAGCACACACAACCTCTGACCTGGTTTATTACTTGTTTGAAGACTCACAATTTAACTAATATGGAATAAAATGAAAAAGTTCTTTTTAAAAATTCGCCTGATGAGTGAGTTTAAACTTAAGTCACATGGACAGTATTTCAGTATTAATACTATCGCCTGATGAACATGTAACACTTTAAAAAGTGGTTCAGAAGCAACAAATGTTTAACCAATGTGAAATTAAGATAACAAAGTTATATTTTTCATCAGAACTTTGGATTCCTATTGAATAATTAAAGAATGTACATTCCTTCTTGTAATATTATTTGTCACTTCATCCCACCAACCATGTAAGAATATTTTAAAGAATATATTTTGCTAGTTCTATTTTTTTCCATCATGGACCATAAATGTTTTGAAAATATCTCAAAACCAACTCCTCATCATCAGTAGATGGTCCCTGAGGTGTAGCAGTGATGTGTAGAGGTAATACTGGGCAGCAATCATGGCACAGAGCTGGGATTGTCTGTATTCATTATGAACACTGGGAATCTACACCAACATAGGTAGTTAGCAGCTTCTTGAAGCCCATTCTCCCAATCATGAGGTACCTCAGATGAAGCTTGCTGTTTAACGCCGCACTCGGCAATATTCCAGCTATATGATGGCAGTATAGACCAGACAATCCATTGATTGACATCATGAGCATTGATCTATGCAAATAGGCTGCAATGACATGCTTCAACCAAGTCAGCGAGTCAGACACCTGATTCCGTTAGTAGCCTTTTACAACAAGCATTCTGAGATGAAGCAACTGAGTGTTCCAATAAAAATCACAGCATCCATTGCTTATAGCTACGTCAATCTCATTAAGTTTAGATCAGTCTACAATTTGATACCTCTCTGCATGAGTGGTCATCAACCACAATGGTATTCTTATTTGCTCATCCAGCTTTTGGCTTGTGCTGCCATGTGTGGACAGATAAGCTTCGGAGGGTGCCAGGGAAGATGACAATATTTTGTTTTGTACCATGGTCAGTGCTGAGATCACTTCATGGAATGGGGCCCCATGACTTGCTGTGCATACTGTCTCGGTATAACCCTTGACCCCTGGAAAATATTTGACCATGCCACTCCTTCTCGACACTGGCATCTCAATGCCGACCTCATCTCGTCTGTGTCTACCCGTAGATGGTACAGGACCATTCTAGTCACAGCTGCAAGAAACATATCACACTTGTGCACGACCACTCTGCTCTTTCGAGTACAACTGGATGATATTATCTTTTTAAAACAGAACACAATGTTTGCATAATAAAGGTGTTTGTTTAAATACAAAGCTTTGAATCTTCACTCAGATTTCACAGTTTTTCATAGTGATGACATCTGAGGAAGAGCTACATCTTCATGGCCTATCAGTCATGTGATCAGTAGATGCAATGAGAGTGAATATTGCTTTGAACTGTAGTTCAGTTATCACATGTCCGCTTAATGTCGGAGGAAATCCCATTGTGATACAGGTTTAGGAGTTGTGATATAAGCAATATTTCTCTTCCATTTATACAACAGGATGTATCGGGTCCACATTCCTGGACCCTGCATCAGTGATTATGTTAACAAGTAGCATCCATTTATCTTGTTTAACATTCACATTTGTTGTCTGCACACAAGTATCTAAAATAAGACTTCTTTGTGAAAAAGATCTAAAACACATGCATTCCTCAGAGTTTGTCTAACAATTATTTTTTGTGGTTTGGCATAGCAATATAAAATAAAACTAACGTCTCTCATTGTTATTTTGACATGCTTATTTCAAAATGAAATTTCCTGTGAATTAGGGACCAGTCATTTATTATAGGGGTGGGTCACCAAAAAATATGACAAGCATTAGGGGAGGGTACTTCCATTACATTAATGCATCAACAACCTCTGATCCCTCCCTGTAATAAATGACCGGTCCCTAAGTACAGGAACAATCGTAGGTAAACAAGCCAGAAGAAGGTTGATGGGAAATGTCCTTGAACCAGACACTGATGCTGCATCATCCACTACTATACACCCTACCACCCAGTGACCATCATAGTCATCATCTTCAACAAGTTCATCAATTAAAAGATTCTTTGGATCACACGCAAAATCATGTTGAACTATTGACTAAATGGCACCTAGGCCAAGACGCCAACATATTAAAACAGGTAAATTGTGCCCTGAAACAAGACTGTACCACTGAGTAGTTAAAAGAAGACAAAGGTGTTAAAATCTCTCATGAACTGAATTTGAACTGAAAACAGTGACTGAAAAAAATAATTAAAAAATCATAACCCATAACACACAAAAACAAAATGCATACATGTATATAAGATTGTTTCAAGCTAAACATGGTTCGTTCTAAGCTGTGCCTCTATTTCATATGGCATGCACTGAAGTTCGGGTGGGCTGGGGTGGTGCAGTAAATTCCTGCACCAGTGGTGATCCGTTCCTGCACGTTCTGAACATCACTACTAACTGAACAAAGAGCACACATAAACATGAGTGCACATGTACTTTGTTTTCTAAACCTCTAGAAAAAAAGTTAAACATTAACTGATTCTTTCAAATTGCTATAGTTCATCAGTCATGGCATGATAGATTAACGATAACAATATAAAAATATCAGGTTATACTTGTTTTGAATAGTGTACATTGAGGCTAGAGGAAAACTCAAATTGAGCACTGAAATTAACTCAATCGTAACCCATTCAGTCTCGTAATTGGCCCCAATTCCTGGTCCATCTTCCCGAGACAAGAGTGTTCACTCGCCTAAAGTCTAGGTTTCACTAGGCTTTGATAAAGGCTAGTGGACACTCTTGCCTCTGGAAGATGTGCCTTGTCAAGAAAATATTAAATGCGTCCAATGATCACAGATTCTATTAATAACACAGATATGAAACTGCTGACTTGGCATTTCTGGTACATAGAGTTGCCAAGTGCCAGAGTTCAAATTTGTAAATATTCCACTGCCTCCAACATTTTCAATACAAATTGATTATAGAACAGCAAACATAGTATCTTACTATGGTACATCAGATATCAAGTCTACCATATTTTATCTTTTCTGCTTGACTACATGTAACTATTCACACAAATTTCGACATAATATGCTGGGGGCTGACAGATTACTTAAGAATTGACTTTCACTTTGTGTGAGTTCAATGGAGTATGAAACTTCATCGAGTGAGGGTCAAACTGTATGAACGTCAGAGCTTCATGTGACTGACCTCTTGTCCAAAGAAAAGCTGTATATCGTGTAAACTTTACAGTAAAACAATATTGTTTAATGCCACATGCAAACTTGTGGCATTAACTACAAAGCAATATTTATATGTTGAATACATTATAAACTGGATATCACTAAACAAAGCCTTCTATTAAAAGTTGGATCACAGAAAGCTATATCCTTAAACTAAGCAAGTCTACATTTTCCACAGGTTCTGAATCTCCATCTCACTGGGGCTACTTTTAAATAAAAATGAAGTTGCTTGTTTCTATCAAAATTATGTGTTCAGAGACTATTTTTTATTCTAAACATAGTAAGACATTCCCTCATAGCTGTGCCGTAGCGAACAAATGATTAATCATACAAAAAATATCTCATATACTTCCAGACCAACTATTGATGAGGAATGATAAGCATCCTACAGATGACACTGACCTGGTCAGTAGGAGTATCCTTGTACTGGGCAGTACGATGATTACCCTGGCCATTGCTACAATGGCAAAATATAGTCATTCTCTTTTATATCAGATCTTTTACTCCGAAAAAATGCCTGTGTGTGAAAGTCAGATGCCACCTCCACAGCAGGTAGCATCAGGTGAATTTTCTTATCAGCCAATTAGCATTCAGGCTAAATTCTCAGTATGAGTGAGTGAAACATTCACACCAACGTATCTAATTTCTGCATTAAAAAAACAAACTAAAATGGCCAGTCCCAAATGTAAATAATAACAGCTGTCCTGTTGTGGATGTTAAATACACCCTTTCATTTCTGAGCGCCATGTCGACCCAAACTGGAGTTCCATCAAAGGAATATTTGATGGTCTGTGTCTTATGTATGTTAAATTCCGAAATTTCAAATTGAGGTGTTAAAAAAATGAAGCCAAATCTTTTAGAAAGTTGATTGGCTCAAGAACATCATTCATTTTATTAGGCGGTCCAACTTCACACAGGGTTCATCTGACGTGACTGCCATGAACGTAATTTCCAAATCGAGGTGTAAAGAAATATAGCTGAATTATCTTACAAAGCTGACATCTGACTGAGTCAAGAACCCACCCGACCTTCATTTAGACTGGTGCCCTTCTATGAAGGTGTCCTCAGATCTTCTCACACAGAGGTATCCTACTGAAGTAAAAGATCTGATTTTAATGACATTGTAATATCACGGTCAATGACAAGATAAAAGTATCCTACTGAAGTAAAAGATCTGATTTTAATGACATTGTAATATCACGGTCAATGACAAGATAAAAGTCTTACAACTGGGGATGTCCAGTTTCTCGTGACCACGTGTAATCGACCCTGACTAGTCATTTCTCAATGCTCATGTCTGTCAGCAACAGGGCCCTATTCCACAAAGCGATCGTAGCTCTAAGACCATCGTAACTCCCATACTTTTAACATGGACTTATGACAGTTGTAGAATTACAATCGCTTTGTGGAACAGAGCCCAGGTCTGCATCACAGCTTAATATAAGCTTTAATACATGATCATATACACACCGTAACACATAAACAACATTCAAACACAGCCCACAGTGTTCTCACTGTTCCAGAAGTTACTTCCCCTTGTTCTGACACATACTGACTTTCATCTGGGATTTTAAAATGAACCACCTGCGGCAGGCAAATTGAAAAACAACAACATTGTTTTAAACAAAACTGGGAATGTTATATCTTCTTTTCTTACATTCAGAAATATTCAATGTACTAGATATAAAAACTAAGTACTGAATCTTCTCTTTGCTGGTATCACAGATACAAACCGCCTTTGCAAAGCTAAAATATATGTTTAGATTAAATCATCGAAACCCAAACTGGGAAATATCTCATATTTGAGATGTATTACCAACAATTGCTGTCATTATGGGAATAAAGTTCAGTCTCTAAGAGGACTGTGCCGGGACCAGTGTGCCAGGACCATTGTGCTTGAACACATTCACCCACAAAATAATCAATATCCTAAGACTAACTAGGACTTTACGACAGTACTATGTTAGAAGCAACCTTTTTCAAAACCTCCTACAACTAAGACATCAGACATTGAAACTCTATAAAGAGAAAACCAAATCCATAGCCCATTACATTGAAAGTCTCCAGTAATCAGTGTATTCTACACAGATGCCTACTCTGGATACTGGTCAGGGTGGCCTCTTGAAAATGTTGACTTTTAAATCAAAATACACAATCCGGTTTTTTTTGCGTACTTGGGAAAAAGTCACTGAAGTGCACATTGAATGACTTTGCATACCATGTGTACTGCTGTCACTGCTCTGTGAGTGCTTTCAGCTAACACGTAGTTTGCTGATTATATGCCCATCAAAACAAGTAACGAACACCCACAATTGGAACGCTGTGTTGCGAAAACACCAGTCGTAACAGATTAACTATGGTCATATGATTTTGGGTGTTCTCTAACTTCTTATGTGTAGTATAGTTGAGACCCAGGCTTTGTTCTGAGTTATCTCTCCGTGTTATTCTACTCCTTATCATCAGGGTTTTAAGTTTAACGAAGATTGCAAGGTAATACTGCATACATGCAACAAGCATATTTAAAAAGAAAATGGCAGCTTAATTTCTGTAATGACTTGAATTTGCCATGTGGCTCAATACGATGAATGATAAACTTGTTACAGGCATCCACTCACACATTGTACTTTCTTCACAACTAATAATCCAAATATCGATGCATCATCTCTCCACAAACTAATGTCAGGCATCTTCATAGAAGTGAAATAATGAAGGAAAACAGGAAACTTGTCAGAAAATACTGAAGTGAAGTACACAGCGATAAACACATTAAAAATCCTGAATTATTTGACAATCTTATGTGACAGGGATTTGCGTGTCCGTGAACGTGGTGGAATGGATTGTTTTTCTTAGAACATGAAGAACATTATCAATATTTCACAGTCTTGTATGCACTACGTTCCTCCATCATGATGGATATGCATGGTCACTATGTGGTGTAGACGTTTTAGTAGCTATTGCATGTATGTAGGAATCTTACCACTGCCTGCCATGGAGCATCTTCCCAAGGCAAGGGAGTTAACTGACCATAAAAGTCCAGTTTCTACCCTAGCCAAACTTGGCTCGAATTCCAGAGTAACATTTTGGCTGGATGAGTCTATTCATAGTCCAATCAAAATCGCGTAACAAACAAGATATCTTATTCGTAAACAACATGGATTTCAAAATGCAGATTTCAGTCGACTGAAGGATTCGCAAAGCATGTGTACCGCCAACTGGGCATCCACAGTTATTTTACAAATCTTTTTAAGTTTTCAATCAAGGTGCTCAAATTATTTATAAAGCCCCTTTATTACAATAGGATTGTATTGACTGGGCGCTGCCATTTTATTTGAAGCAACTGCAAGTGATATGAGAGATTTAATCTGATTGGTCAACAAGAGAGACATAAAAGGGGCATAACTCAAAATAGTAACTGGTGGAGCTATGATCGAGCCTTGAAATTCCAGCCTAGTTCGGCAAGATTTGAAACTGAACTTTTATAGTCACTTAACACCCTCGAGAAGATGAACATGGAGGCAATGCATAGAGCAGACATAAAAAAGGCTATGTCAGCCAGTGCCAAGACTTTTGAGTCTGCTCGCCCAAACATTGCACTTCACATCAATTTTATTACATTTCAAGGTTATCAAACGGACTATTCATAGCTGAACTTGCTAGACTGTTACTAGATTGTTACTAGACACTCCACACTCCATTACTGACTGTGATATTATCTGCGCCCTCATTGTGCTGAGAACACCTATCGTTAACCAAGCCTTTGCTTAATTATTGGTAAAAAATAGCAACTACACTGTGTATCGGTCGTATGTATTGAACAAACCAGTGAAGTATTGACAATGTTCTTAGAAATGACAAGCAGATTCTTGATGAAAACTTCTGTCACACTATCTTTCCCGATAATGTCCAACAAGGACTGAGCTATGGAACAACCATTTTATCTCAACAAACAACATGGCTTCCGACATCCAATATCACAAAGAATAAATAAGAGCAGCATTTAAAATCGAGACGGTGATCAGGATTTTTTCACTGGTATGGAAAATGCCTTGATATTGAAATGCTCACACATTTCAGATACCTGAAAAAAAAGAAATGATATATAAATATTTCATGGTATGAAATAGTGAATATTGGGTCTCAAATTGAACAGTATTTCAGTCATGTCCTGGTGTGTTAGCTTGTGGTAGGAAAGCCAAAACTTGGCCTGAAGTGATGCAGGTCTTTGGTTTTGATAAACTTGGGTGAAACTCGTCAACTTAGTCATGGTGCTGACAAACCAAGAAACATGAGCTAACGAAAACAAAGGTTTCTGGAATCTAAGGGATGCAACTCTGCATAGTGTATTGCAGTGCCTTTGACTAGTGGGACACCTGGCCCCCCCATTTCATTAAGTTCACTCACAAGCAGAGAATATAATTACAAATTCAATAAATTCAATGTGGATCCATGATAATGAATAATAATTTCTGGTAGCAAAAACTTAAATGAAATAATTAGGATTCTTATAATCATTTTAATTTAAAATTGATATTGTGCAAATACAGTATTGTAAAAATGGCTGAGTAAGTGAATGTTGTTTTACGTTATAGTCACTGTGTTGCCAATATTTCAGACATATCAAGTGAGTGTGGTTTTACGCCTCTTTTAGCAATATTCCAGCAACACACAGGCAGGGGATACCAGAAATGGCTTTACACACTGTACCCACTGTACCCACTGTACCCATGTGGGGAATCCAGAATCAAGCAGAGATACTAACAACTGTTGAATTGCACCTACCACGCTGACACCAAAAATAACATGAGACACCGTCACATATATGCAGTAGGACCAGAGGAGGTAGAACTCGATGGTCCCGAGACTAAACAGCCCACAGAGGAAGACAATGGAAAATAGTGGCAGCAGCAGTGTGTTGACTAGCTCACAACGGGTGTTGCTCATCTGGGCAATAATCAGATTGCACTGAAACCAAAAATAAAAATAATAATAACAATAGGTCTATTAATATTGCACTAAATCCACACCACAGGGGCATGCTAAAAGCACCACACTATCATAATGGATCAGTGTGCACTCAACCATCATTCTCAGCTCCCTGGGAAGTATAAAACCCAAGCTCGTGAGGCGCTAGAAGGTTAACAACCATCTCATCCTACCGGGTACCCAAGCACTGCTGGGTGAACAGAGGCACAATTCAAACAGAGTCCATTGCCCAAGGAGACACCACATGTGCTGCATGTGCTTCAGTGTAGGGCGGGACCAAAGCCATTGAAACTCTCAGAAGCCAAACTCGGTCAAACATCTAATTACTCTCCATGACTTACATTGCTTAACATCACCTGGACCCGTCAAGATCCGGGTTAGAATAGGTCTTCAGCAACCCATGCTTGCTGTAAAAGGCGACAATACTTGTCGTACGAGGCAATTAACGGGATCGGGTAGTCAGGCTTGCTGACTTGGTTGATGTATGTCATCGATTCCACTCACGTGGATCGATGTTCATGACGTCAATCACTGGATTGTCTGGTCCAGATTCCAGATTATTTATAGACCGCCGGCATATAGCTGGAATATTGCTGAGTGCGGCGTTAAACAACACACAAACAAAACAAAACATCACCTAACTTGTGACCTGTGTGTTGTGCACAGGACCATGTGCCGCCAGAAAATACTGGTCAAATTTGGCAATACACCGCTTCAACAATAAACTCTGTACATGACAGGAGTGTCAGGATTTACCGATGTACACCACTCAAAGGTTAAACACTTGATTGTTTCATATTATTAGAGTTAATCTGTTAATCCATGTATAGTCAGGGTTTGATTTAAGGAACTTCATTTGACTTGCACCAGGTGCATGTTGACATGAAAATCTAGTTGCACCAGACAAAATAAGGTTGCACTCCTGTCCCATAAATTTATCGAAGATGAAATATAGATGCATAAACTGAATAAGTACATCTCAGATCTCTGATGACTGTGTCATGATTATAACATGTAATAGCCACTGGTGGCACTGTGACTGAGCCTGGAAATTGCAGCCTAGTTCGGCAAGGGTGGAAACTGGACTTTCATATTCAGTTAATGCCCTTGCCTCAGGAAGATGATTAATAAAATGCAAATTTCCTGTTAAAACATTATTCAACATTAAAACATCACATAATCATGTTAATTGAGATTAACAAAATGTAAAAACATTTCAATAGATGAGACCTGTAGTCAAACAGAAATTTATACAAAATACTTGCTTCCTGTTTATTTAATGACAAATCAGAAGTGGCTTAGCATGTGTTTAGTCTGGGTTGACCGCAAGGAACTGGGTAGGAGAGTGGTACACACCGCTATGTTGGAGAACGCTGCTCCTGTGGTCCAGTAGAACAGTCTAGGATGGTTCTCCATTACCCTGTAGGTGGACATGTTGGCCCAGAATAACAACATGCTAAACAGCAGCCCTGTTGATACAAGTGGCCGCACTGCTTCAGAGAAGGACCTCATCTTTCCGGTTCTGTCACGGTAAGATCTGAAATTACCCAATAGCCAACATTAACAACATGCAAGTCATAACAGACAATCCTGAAGCTGAATAAAAATTTGGTGTGTAGTTTGTTTGGTTATTGTTTAACGCCACACTCATCAATATTACAGCTATATGACGGCGGTCTGTGAACAATCGAGTCTGGGCCAGACAATCCAGTGACTGACATCATGAGCATCAATCTACGCAATTGAGATACGACGACATGCTTCAACCAAGTCAGCGAGCCTGACCACCGATCCCGTTTGTCGCCTCACAAGACAAGAATAGTTACCTTTTAAAGCAAGCATGGGTTGCTGAAGACCTATTCTAACCCAGACCTTCATGGGTCTGGCATGAAGTATTAAGATTAAGTATTAAGATCTCACTCTTGCATTTTGTGCATTTTGACTTCAGGCTGGTGCTTATGCATGAAACATAATGACACGTTTAGTCTGTGCAAAAAAATTTGAGACTAGTCTGAACTTGGCTCTTAGCAGCATTTTCAGTCGAAGTTTGCGTTCTTATAAATTTATATGGAGTGAACAGAATTTTACCCGATTCAGGCTTCAGAAGGGTGGCAAAAGTCGTTGACTGTCTATTAAGGAATCTTGCTACCCGTCTTGAAAAAACCCATTCAAGTCAACTGGTCGTCCTGTACGGACATCTTGACGTCATAACTGTGATGTTTGCATTTTCAGTTTGCACCTTGAGTTAACATTCTATAAGTACGATGGCAGTAGTGAGTAGATCTGATAGTCATACACAAACACTTCACTGACAATAAGCCTTTGCCTTCTCACAATGATAATATCATGCATGTGTTACTCGTGGTGCGTATGTCGACAAGTGACACATGTAAAAAGAACCCACTGTCCTGTGGTTCAATGTTGCCTTCAAGATTATTTCACTTACATAGTGATGTGTGTGTGTGTGTCTGCTTGTACTAGTCCTAACTAATGCTTGTTTTTCAGCGCCAGCCCACCGAGAAACAATGCTGCAGTTTAACAGTGGTACCCCACTCAGACCGGTATACTGCCTCCAAGCCGACCAGTCCTTGTTTTATGCCCTTAATGCCAAACACCAGGCAGGATAACAACAAATATCATCTTTTAACGGCTTTTGGTATGACACGGTCAGGCATTGAACCATCGTCCTTTCGCTCTCCAGGCAGATGCTCTAGCCACTAGACCAGAGAGGTGGTCCTATTCTGTAAGATCAGAGCAAGTGTCAGGGCCTAGATGGGACAATGGTTAGATACCTACATATAGAGGTTGTAGACAGTCGGGGGGAACGTCAGAAAGAAGAAGCCCACTGCAATGGAAACAACACAATGAGAGTAGTTTGTCATTGTTTGTAACACAAGAAAACTTTTGTGTAACGGATGACAAACTGAAATACATGTAACAGTTTGACATATTTCAGCAACATTACACCTATATCACCACCCGAAGACAGCAATATTACAGATATATCACTGGTCATGTAGTCAGCAATACAGATATAACACGGGGCATGTAGTCAGCAATATTACAGATAGATCACTGGGCATGTAGTCAGCAATATTACAGATAGATCACCGGGCATATAGTCAGCAATATTACAGATATATCACCGGGCATGTAGTCAGCAATATTACAGATATATCACTGGTCATGTAGTCAGCAATACAGATATAACACAGGGCATGTAGTCAGCAATATTACAGATATATCCCTGATGCTGTGCTGTATACATGAGAAGTAAGAGGAGACACTAACTGTAGCACAGCATCACGACACACTCGGCTGCCGTCCATCCAAGTCCTGGCACTGTGAATTTCCATATCTCATACGTTCCAAAAAATGTTAACAGGTACACAAACGTCATGGCCTGAAACACAAGGAAAACATACTAATAAAACTAATAAGAAATAATGGATCACAGCAAGTACTGATCATGCTGATGACATTAGTGACCTATCCTTCACGGACATGTTTAATTATATCACTGGTCATTGTGAATGTGCACTTTGTAGAAGTAAAACTGATGCAACTATAGGTCATTGTGCAACAATATAGAGAAATTAGATATCCGCCATAACATGATTAAAGTCGACTCTCGATTCTGTTGTTGTAGAAGCAAGTCACTCCCTTGTGACTCATTGCTTCTAGTTCTGGGATCAATAGAATCACATGATTTCTCAATTCAATAACTGAATATTGGCTGTTTATTTAATTTTCATGTCAATTTTACTGAAATTTCAGTTCTGGCATTTCTTTCAACATGTTTAAAGGAGAGTGAGCGAGTGAGGATTTTGGTATTTCAGTTATATCATGGTGTGTCAGCTTGATTATGTTAATGAACAAGGAAAGCCAAAAGTGATGCAGCTCTTAGACATTTATCAATTTCATGAAACCCATGACATGGCAAACTGCAGCACCTTAGAGGACAGGGCCCCTATCTTAACAATGCCTGGAAGAAGCACTTACTATCTGGCTGATGTCGTATCCCCATGGCAGGAAGAGGATACCGGTGTTATACTTCTCAAAGTGGGATATTATGAAACAAGTCATGATACCCAGTAAAATGTAGTATGCACGGAACACGTCAACGCTCATCTCACTGCGCCCAAATATGGAGTAGAGCGCCACCGGAATGAAGAGCGTGCCCATGCTATCCAATCCGTGGTCGAACAGCTCCCCGAGTGGTGAGCTGGTGCCTGTACGCCGGGCCTGCTTGCCGTCTGTACCATCTGGAGATAACAGCAGGGAATAGTAACTACATTTACAAGTACCAGACTCAGGCTGATAACAGAAAACCCAAAAGGAATGTGCAGAGCCCATGTTTATGCTAGATCTCAAACAAAGGTCCTGAGTGAGTGAGTGAGTTGGGTTTAACGCCGATTTTAACAGTATTGTATCACATCGTGTCAGCTTAATGAGGAGGAAAGCCCAAAGGGATGCCGGTCTGAGACGTTTACCACTTCCTTGAAACCCACGAGTACAGGTATGATGCTGACAAACCTAGAAACATAAACGGGATGAACTGGGATTCGAACCCACAATCATAGGTTTCTGGCGTGCCCAAGGGAGGTTTTGAACTATCCTCAAACATACATATGGGTGACAAGTAAAAATAACCTTACATTAACAACAACAATAAAGCTATTTCTATAAACTCAGACATAGGAACTAACAATTTCAGTCAACTAGTCCGTATAATCATAACATATTCGGCAATTTGGCAAGGACTATCCGGCTAGTGCCAATTTCTACTGATGAAACTCCACACTTGTGTGTGTTCAAAGCGTGAATCCATTACTCCGGTTAATAGATTAGTGTGTTCACTCAAATTTTATTCTCAACTCCCTGGGGAGTATATACCCCAAGCTGCTATGAGGTGCTACAAGGTTAACGTCGCACTACCATGTCATCCTACCAGACACTCATTCACTGCTGGGTGAACAGAGCCACACCTCACAACAAATTCACTTGCCTAAGTAGACGCCTCGTGTAACTATGTACTTCAGTGTCTCTTGCGAGTCATGTCCCTTCTAAGTCCCCACTACTGACTAATCAGATTCCACCTCTCATATTGCTTGCATTTTCTTCAACAAAATGGAGGCGTCAGGTCAAGACGATCTCATCGATAATAATTATCTTTATTGTGTAATAAAATGGATTTTACCTCGAGAAGTGTATCAAATCACCTGAGCAACTTGAATAAAAACATGAAAATATTTGGAAAATATCTGTCAACGCCCAGTTGATGGTACACATGCTGTCGAACGAATTTGGCATAGCAGTTGCCATGTTGTTAATTAACCAGATTTTGATTCCACTACAGGATGTTGATTGGACTATACATAAGACACAATAGTCCAGCCAAAATATAACTTCTTAATTCTTGGTACAAGTGTGCAAGGAATACAGAAAAGTACATCTGACCTCTCGAAAATGAATTCAATCTGGAAGTTTCAAATGCAAAATGATAAGGCCACGTTATTATATGGTTGTGGATATTTAGTACATCCTGTCATTTCTGAGCACCCTGGCATCTACACACAAAAAGATGTACCATAAAGTGTACATTTGTTTTTCCTTTGCTAAGATGGCATTTCAAAATCAACGTTGTAAAGAAGTGAAACAAAATCATTTTAGAAAGATGATATCTGATGATGATTATGCTTACTGATTCAAGAACCAACACATTTAGATTTATTTACAAAGGTGGTTTAAGTTCCAAGGCCGTAGTTAACTTTTTTTTGACAGGGGGGCCAAATAAGATTATTCATTTCTTATTCAAGTTAACTTTCACAAGGAAAAATGTTTTCTATAAAAAATCCAGGGGGGGGGGGGGCGGCTGGCTACGGCACTGAGTTCCCTCAGGGGTCACCTGACACTACCCTCTATGCAGGTGCCTTCAGATCTTCACGCACAAAGGTATAAATTCGAAGTAGAAGATCTGATTTTAATGACATTGCACTTGACCCTGCTTCATGGGGATTCAGGGTTAAAACGGTAACTAAATAGATCGGGCTTCGGGTTTGTTGACTTGTGTCACCACACTCAGAAGGCATGGAACATAGCTCATAACATCAATCACTGGTTTGTCTGGTCCAGACTGGATTATTTACAGGTGCCATCATATAGCTGGAATATTGCTGACAACAGCATTAAACAGCAAACAAACAAACATCACTATATCAGGTCAATGAAAATGTAGGCAAGAACGAGTTGATAATAATAATGTGACAATTGTGATGATGATGATGACTCGGATGCGACATGGTGTTCAGATGCCAACATGCCATGTGGATACCTGATCATAGAAGACCCACACTGAACATCACCTACCCAGATTATGCGACAGGAAGTTGTTGACAGCGCCCATGAGCCACACCCAGTTGGGTATAGGGTCATAGTTGGGGTAATCTCGACTGGAGGCGTAGAAGTCGACGTCGAAGTACGTCATGACGAAGAAGCTGATGAGGAGGAGGAGGAATCCAGAAAACGTCAGCACATTCGGGGCGATCCATAGTGGGTAGAACTGGCAACAACAACATGGTGGGGTGCAAACACGAGTGTCATCATACTCTGAATGTGCACTGTGATACTCTGCGTTACATAGAGATTAAAGCTACATGGAGATGATCATGATTACTAGCCCACGATGTTTCTGTATCATAAATAACATATATTACGCTTCAAAAAATAAAAGAATTGGTTCTCAAGCAAATTTATTCAATTTTGTTTACATTAATTTCAGCGAAATCGTGTATGAACTGATCAGCAAATCATATCAACTCACCATGAACTTGCCTTGAAACCAACATTGATTGCTAGAGATACAAAGTGTTCGGTCTTACCATCACCAGTGATCACTGTATTTAAATTTTCTTTTTAGTGATATTTCATGATATTGGCCATGACATTAAGGACTTTTAAACTAAATCACCCATAGATAGGGGAGAAAATGTGTGAGCAGCTGATTGCTATTTCTGGCTTATTTTACGAGACAAATATACACATGATACACGTAATCTTAGTATTGCACTGCTCCGGGCCAACCAGTCCTTGCATTAAGTTAAAATAACCCCGTCAATGCCAAGTCAGGCAGGGTAATAGCAAGTACCTAGGCTTATTGTAGGGCTGACTGAACATGCTAAAAAGATTGAAAACCAGAATTATCGTCGATGGGAAGAAATATTCACGATCATCGATATGAGAATTATGTCATCGATAATATGTTACTCAAACTATTCTGATGAAAGAAGGTTTTAATTTACCGAAGCAGACTTGTTTTTGACCATTGACAAAGACAGCAAGCAACTGATTTTGTTATATCTTAAATGTCCACAAAGCAATCCATGTAAATCTATCACCACATGACATGACATGACATGAAATATGTTGTTTTGTCTCTGAGCTCTTTGCATATTTGCTCAAAGTTACTTTTCCACTATTTATCGATAATTGACCGTTATTTAGTTAACAATTATCGATCTCTATATATATATTGACGGTCAGACCTAGTTTAATGTCTTATAATGATGCAGCCAGGGAAGAGCGAACCAGCAACCAGCTCTCTATCCACTACTCCACTACTCACCTGTACTATCCAGTTCCAGAGAGGGTGACAGATATAGTTGGCCACAGGACTTGTATCCACTGCACTGTACTGCAAAAAACAGCGGAATGAATATCAGTGAAAGTTTTCAAATAAAGCAGACAGTGGACTGAAAACATGAGTACTGTTACACTCTCTCTGAGGCGACATAATCAGCCGTTCAGCGGTGCTCACAACTCGCATTTGGCACCAGGAGTGATTTCAGGTAACATGCACAGATAAGGGTTGTAGGTGAAACTATTTTGATAGGTGGTACAATCTTCAACAAACTAATCTTTTGAAAACCACAATCAAAATAAGAGATTCTTCAAATGTATAGAAACCCATCTTTATATTTATACTATTTTATTCTTTCACTAAAGGATACCCATCTTCCCGAAGTCTAGTTTCCGACCTTGCCGAACTAGGCTGGAATTTCTGGATTTGATCGTAACGCCATCAGTGGCGATTACGAGTTACATCCCTGCTATGACCCTCCTATTGACCAATCAGATTCCCCCACTCATATCACATGCATTTGCTTCAAACAAAATGGCAGAGCCCAGTGAACTATCTCATCGATAAACACAATCTTATATAATACAATAAAAGTGATAAAATAAGTCTTTTTTCACAAAGTGCATCAAACCATGTGAGCACCTTGAATAAAAACATGAAAAGATTTGGAAAACATCTGCTGATGCCAAGTTGACAGTACACATGCTTTGCCAATCCTACAATCGACCAAAATCTGCACGGCAGTTGACGAACCGGATGTCAATTTCGCTACATGATTTTGAATGGACTATGCACAGACTCGTTAGTCCAGCCAAATTTGGATCAATACAGCATCAACTAGGGCTGGGACATGCCAAATTTACTACCCGGGTACCCACCACCCGGGTACCCATCCCCCTATTACCCGACCCTACCCGGGTACACGCTGTAGGTCGCAAGAGGTCCCGGGGTAGGTGAAAACTGTCCGATTGGGAAAAGTTTGGCCGTAGCTCTGGTAAAATGTGTTAAGATACATGTATGAAACGATCTGGTGTATACACTGAAGTTGACTGAAGTTGCCTTTTACGACAAGCATAGTCACCTTTTACGGTAAGCATAGGTTGCTGAAAACCTATTCTACCCCCGATCTTCTCAGGTCCTTAAATACATCAATATCTTTATATATGATGACATCCCTGATGGTAGGCATATGGTAAGTAGGGTTTTCTTTCCATCTTGTGTGTGTGTGTGTGTGTGTGTGTGTGTGTGTGTGTGTGTGTGTGTGTGTGTGTGTGTGTGTGTGTGTGTGTGTGTGTGTGTCTGTGTGTGTGCTCCTTGTTTAAGCCCCTTAATGCCGAGCGCCAGACAGGGTAACAACAAGTACCATCTTTTACCATGCTGTTGCGGGAAGTTCCGCCCTCCGTGCGGACGCTCTACCACTAGACCATGGAGACGGTTTTGAATGATTTGAATATTAATCATCTAATGGCCATCAGCATGTTCAGTACGGATAGAAATTAACCATGAACATATATGCAATATCCCCCGGGATATCTAAAATTCTACTAGCCCCAAGGCTTTAACAATAACAAAATTGGTCTGGGTTAGCGAGCTAGTGCTAAGTTCTATCCCTGATCAGAATTCAAATTTAAGGGGAATTCAAGGTGACCCAGGGTCACTGAGGTTTGCTGTAGTATTTGAACCTAGCATGCCAAGGGGACGACCCCCCCCCCCCCCCCCCCCCCCCCACACCCTACATCTTATGTTATCAACATAAAATGGTAATGGTAATGGCAAGGATTCCATGCTTAATTTCAGATACTGGCCATGAGGGCTGGATTAAACATGTTTATTGCATTTGAAATAATAATGATGATTCATAACACGATTGACATGATTAACATGATCATTGATTAAAAAAACTAAGTGGTTAATGAAGTCAGTTAAGATGGCCTTATGTGCATGCATGTGCAGGGATGTGAGCAGGTTTTCCTGAAAAAAGAGGAAATGTCTAGGGGGGGGCATGCCCCCCACCACCCCCGAATGTTTTTAAATATTTGATTGCATCTTAAGCAATTCCGTGCAGTGCAGACAACATTTACGCCAAGAAATGTAATAAGTCAATGATGTGTGGGTGTCTGGGTGACTGTTTGTACTAGTCAGGACATATGCCGATTTATAGTGCTAGCCCACTGATATACCACGCCGTGGTTTAACATGAATACCCCACTCAGACACAGTATACTGACTCCAAGTCGACCAGTCCTTGTCTTATCCAATTAATATAGAGTTTCAGGCAGGGTAACAACAAATACCATCTTTTAACATCTTTTTTGTAGGCTAAAGTGGTCCCTAATGGTTGAGGAAACATTTGTATAACCATGGTAACCATTCTTAGAATGTGTACACATTAAACACACACAATGATACAATGATAAACTTTACACTTGCTTTTCACTCAAAACAAAGTAAAACAAAGTTTATTCATTAACAGTTGGTCCTGATATCATCATAAAGAATGATTGCAGCTGTCAGCATGTGATCAGTGATTATGGTGATGCAATACATAATCCTAGTCCTCATCAATGTCAAGCATGAACAATGTTTGAAAGCACTGTTTATCAAACAGTGTAGAGTAGTGTATTTATAGCAGGAATCAATTGAAATTAGTGTGGTTTAAGCTATTTAACACAATGATGATAATAGCATTACCACTGGACCAGAGTATATTATTAGGTATCAGTAAAATTATCTTCTGTAATCTGGTAATTCTCATTGAGCATTGTGTTTTTGGTTCATTGTTCCATTGTTTTCATCATGTTCTTTGTTTGCAAAATGGCCCAAGGCAACACGGTGTCATACCAACTCACTGTCGTAAATAGCTGAAGATGATGTCATCCATTGTTCATTGTCTCAGACGGTTTTATGTGTCACTTGTGACAATAGATTGATTGAACTTACGTCTCTACTTTTATCTCTCTTTTTTTCAGTATATTTTTTTTTCAGTATATTATACTTCCGGGGTAGAATAGGTGTTCAGCAACCCATGCTTGTCGTAAAAGGCGACTATGCTTGTCGTAAAAGGCGACTAACGGGATCGTGTGGTCAGGCTCACTGACTTGGTTGATACATGTCATTGTATCCCAATTGCATGGATCGATGCTCATGATGTCAATCGTTGGATTGTCTGGTCCAGACTCGATTATTTACTGACCGCCGTCATATAGCTGAGTCAGTGCGGCATTAAACAACCAACCGACATCATTATATTACACATTCATATACCTCAGGTATCCAGGTTCTAGAGTCTGCTCAAATGCAGTTTTATTTGTTCCAGAGGATCCGTTTGCATTGCAGTTACCATGGTTACCATGCTCAACTCCAGGGGAGTAGTATACAACCCAAGCTACCTATGGGTAGATGATTTTTATATCCACCTCGCATATGGGTTACCCAATTCCTGCTGGGTTAACAGAGGCACATATGAACTAAGGCACTTGCCCAGGGTGACACCACACATTTTGACACATGCATTTCGGAAGTGTGTACATATTCGTGTTTCCACCATCTTGTCATCTACCATCAGACAAGTGGGTTCTTTTGAGTGCACAGTCTGAATGTACTGTAATGTACTAGAGGTAGTGACAACACTGTAAACACCTGTAAACATTGTTGGTCCTAAGGCAGAATAACAACCCGGTCACTAGCAGGATACGACTAAGTTGATCAAGTAGTCAGACTCGGTGATTTGTTTGATAGTGCATCATCATACCTAGATTGTGGGTCAATGCTCACAATATCTTGCAATGGGGACCATACATTTGCTACACTTTATCAGAAAAAAAGACTACAGATAATTACAAGGTAATTTATGGAATAACCCACTCACAACTCAAGAGTTCTGGATTTTCTGTTCCTCATAAAATAATTACTGAAATCCCAGCAAAGGCTCATGGTCAGACATTTAGGACAGTCATTTTGTAATTGCTCACAGCTAAAAGGCTGTTCTCAGAATACTTTGATTATATCTAGGATGGCTTGGTACTTTGATCACATTGATAGCTGTAGCAAGCAATTACGGTAATAACACTAGATGATTACTATCATGTTATCATGACCTTACATAATGACATGCTACTTGAACATGTTTAAAAAGCATGTTTTATTAATAGAGATTTGATAACTTTGCTTCATAAACCATACTCCGCAGTTACAACCATGTGCAATACTACTAACAAAGTTAATTAGTAGTATTTTCATGACTCCTTTGGACTCAAAGCTTTGACACAGTCTTGGAAAAATGCAGAATAGGTCATCAATGAGAAACAAGTATCTTTTAATGTGACTATAATGCTTAAGGATTTAGCTATAATGTTTGGGTTGGGAAGATGGATTAATCCACTTAGCACAAATTACAATCCCTAATAGAGCCACTGATAGTCTGCAATATCAGTTCATCATATGCAAATATTCAATTCATATAAATTTATTCTGGTTAACAAATCCATTTTAATGAATTTATTACATATTCAGATGTTTTGGGATTGAGCGTTAGTAAGGGACTGGAAAAGGGACAGTATGTGAATGAATGCGGTTTTTCAGTTAGCAAAATCACAACATACATATAACGTCATTAGCATAGCTGAGTTGATCGTAATGATCCTACTAACAATGCAAATATAAGACATGTAATTAACATGACAACGCTGCACTCAGTAAACTTCATTATTGCAAATCTCGACCATATGGTACGTATCCCACAAGTCATATGATATTTATCAAGAAATCGTGACAAGAATCGTGTCATAAATGAGTAGAACATTGGACAGTGGCCGTAGTTTTGCAAGTAGATCCCGATAGTAGGTAGTGATCACCTTTAACGGGATAACTCTCAATCAGATCATACATTTTTCAATTCAAATAAATAGATATGCATATCTAGCAAAATGAATTGAGATAAATGAAACTTAGAATTTAACGATACCTTGTAATTGTCAAAACCGGTCAGAACTTCTTTAGATAAATAACCAAAGGTCGCCATGCTGCTTGCTGTGTGCCTTCTCACCTAACTGATCCCACGATTGGATATTTGAACTTCCGGTCAAATATGATCCAATCAACAGCCGTGTAGCTAGTCAATCCAATAAATAGAAACTAGACTTGCACTTATATCCCTTCTGATAAAGGTGTAGAGGTATTTGGATTTACCGGCGCATTCATTAGATGATCCCCCGATTATTGTGTGTTTGCATGTGGTGTGACCGTACGTTCGATACTCGGCGTAAACGTAATTAAGAAAATATGCTAAAATATTCAATTTTTAATCATATTAAATTGTGTTGCTTTTGATCAAATTAATTTCTCTTACCCTTACCACACGTCATGAGTACTTTTGTGGCTAAAAAGAAATATAAACAAAAATATAATTGTAATGAACAAACTGTCCAACGAATTCAGTTTAATGTTGGGCCACTTCCCATTCAACTGCTGTAATAATTAAGATGAACTAATTAAAGCATCCTGACCTAAACAGAACTGAACTGGACTAAACTTTATTACTCCCAGGTGGCTAGCAGCGGCATTAGACATACAAATCAAGTATTGATTATACTAAACGTATGTACATGAAAACAGTATTACAATGTCAGAAATATCTTTTTCCAGCAGTCGGATCCGGCAAAGAACACAGCTGAAATTCTGTATACTAACTCTAATGAAATGCTCATGCTGACACTTTCTCAGTATGGCTCCTAATTAATTATATAACTAACCAAGAAAAGTCTGATGTGCCCTCCTGCCACCTGTATTGTTCTACCAATTAGTGCGCCTGACTACACTCCTAATTCTAGATAAGCGGTGGTGGCGAACCGAGAAGATCCCTCCTATAGTTACCACTTTAGATTTAATTGCGAGGTACACATGCTGTGTTTTCAATACATGTAGAGCTGGGTTATCGCTATATTAACGGCGCTATATTGAATTTGGAACCAAAAGCACAGCGTGATATATGACATATCACAGTCGCATATAAAAAAAGCGCCTAATTCCAAGCTCTCTCTTGTCCGAAGAGCTCAAAATGCATCTAGTGTAGCGCCAGCGCAGCATACCCAGGGAACCAGGCTGAAAATGCATTCTCTTTGTAGATTTCTGCACGAAATGTATTGCCACACATCCTTTGAATAGTGTAGTAACATCAACTTTGCATTTTGTAACCTATAGTTGTAGATATAATTAATTAAATATGCCTACTGACAATGACTGCAAAAAAGTAATATTATATGAATATTAGCCTCCGTGGTCATTCGGCCGTCAAATCGGATGTTTCAATCAGAGGTGGTTTATTGTGATTTGACAACCTCTGAGTGAACGAGTAATTTCCAAATTCATTGTAGAATGGTATATATCATGGAAACTTGCCATACAACCTACTGACTGTTCATTTACCATTGAAATACACTGACAACACTAGTTTCCCAACAGGAACGGTATTAATAATGCGGGATCATATGATCAAAGCAGAGACTGATATACGTTACAGTCAGTCGAGACTGATATACGTTACAGTCAGTCGAGACTGATATACGTTACAGTCAGCCGAGACTGATATACGTTACAGTCAGCAGAGACTGATATACGTTACAGTCAGCAGAGACTGATATACGTTACAGTCAGCAGAGACTGATATACGTCAGTCAGCCGAGACTAATATACGTTACAGTCAGCCGAGACTGATATACGTTACAGTCAGTCGAGACTGATATACGTTACAGTCAGCAGAGACTGATATACGTTACAGTCAGCAGAGACTGATATACGTCAGTCAGCCGAGACTAATATACGTTACAGTCAGCCGAGACTGATATACGTTACAGTCAGCAGAGACTGATATACGTTACAGTCAGCAGAGACTGATATACGTTACAGTCAGTCGAGACTGATATACGTTACAGTCAGCCGAGACTGATATACGTTACAGTCAGCAGAGACTGATATACGTTACAGTCAGCAGAGACAGATATATGTTACAGTCAGCAGAGACTGATATACGTTACAGTCAGCAGAGACTGATATACGTTACAGTCAGCCGAGACTGATATACGTTACAGCCAGCAGAGACTGATATACGTTACAGTCAGCAGAGACTGATATACGTTACAGTCAGCCGAGACTGATATACGTTACAGTCAGCCGTGACTGATATACGTAACAGTCAGTCGAGACTGATATACGTTACAGTCAGTCGAGACTGATATACGTTACAGTCAGTCGAGACTTATATACGTAACAGTCAGCAGAGACTGATATACGTTACAGTCAGTAGAGACTGATATACGTTACAGTCAGTCGAGACTGATATACGTTACAGTCAGCAGAGACTGATATACGTTACAGTCAGCAGAGACTGAAAAACGTTACAGTCAGTCTGTCACATCGGTTAATCTGGTAAAGTGATTGAATTATGGCATCAGTCATTTGACCAAACGACTAACGACATAAAGGCCAGATATGGTTTTAATTCACAAAATTTATCTCTACAATTTAGACATTGAAAGTTGAAACATTTAAACTTAAAAACATGTGCAGCCCCCATTCACTTATTGCATCAGTTTAGTCTACTCTTGCACCTGTTACACAGGACATTGCACCTCCTACTGGTCTTGCACCTGTTGCACAGGACATTGCACCTCCTACTGGTATTGCACCTGTTGCACAGGACATTGCACCTCCTACTGGTCTTGCACCTGTTGCACAGGACATTGCACCTCCTACTGGTCTTGCACCTGTTGCACAGGACATTGCACTTCCTACTGGCTCGCACCTGTTGCACAGGACATTGCACCTCCTACTGGTCTTGCACCTGTTGCACAGGACATTGCACCTCCTACTGGTCTTGCACCTGTTGCACAGGACATTGCACCTCCTACTGGTCTTGCACCTGTTGCACAGGACATTGCACCTCCTACTGGTCTTGCACCTGTTGCACAGGACATTGCACTTCCTACTGGCTCGCACCTGTTGCACAGGACATTGCACCTCCTACTGGTCTTGCACCTGTTGCACAGGACATTGCACCTCCTACTGGTCGTGCACCACCGCAGGTACAATGCAGACATCCTTGACCACCTTGGAGTGCCGGAAACAAAACAACATTATTTGTTTTACTGTCCAACTGTCCTTCTATTCTTGGTCAGTTTTTGTAAATGGATAAAAGTGAAAATAAATTATGGTATTTGAAAGTTACACAGATACAGTATTATTTGGAGTGAAAAAGAGTGTGTCCACAGATGAAACGATACTCAATTATCTTCCCTTTACAGAAAATTATTATGTGTATTAATGTAAAATTCTTTAAAAGATCTGTACATTTAATTACTATGTTAAGGAGCTAGAGTGTCATGTAAAAATTATTCACAAACGTCAGAAAATGGAACATGTAATGATAGAGTGAATATCAGAATCTCTGCCCAAGTAAGGTCCACTAAGCCTGCACATACTACGACCCGTTAGGCCAGCCACGTGGTCCTGTAGGGTCTGGTGTAAAATCGTGGCATCTAATGTGAATTAAATTTAAAAAAGAAAAGAAAAGAAAAGAAAGAAAAAAGTAGTCAAGAACCCCTATACATGCAGCTGGGATCGGTACACATATAGCTTTGTTGGTGTTTAAACATATGTTTTAAAGTAAATATTTCTTTATCAACTCGCGTCCACAAGTATTAACATTTGCGCTTGGCAATACCCTCATCCATTGCACGCTCGTGACATCGAGAACGACCCTCTTCCAGTACTAATAACAATAAGGTGACAACAAATTTAAAACTCCATAACAAAATGCTACACTTTTTTCGGTAGCGGAACAGATAATAATAATTCCTTTAGTATCTATCTTCGGCGTAAAACTGAAAACTCCTTTAGCAGGCTTGTGCTCATTTCTATCCCTGATCTGAATTCGAAATTAGTTTGTTTGTTGTTTAACGCCGCACTCAGCAATATTCCGGCTATACGACGGCGGTCTTTAAGTAACTGAATCTGGACCAGACAATCCATTGATTGACATCATGAGCGTCGATCTACGCAATTGGAATACCATGACATGTATCAAGACCATCAACCAAGTCATCGAGCCTGACCACTCCACCCCGTTATTAGCCTCTTAAAACAAGCATAGTCGACTTTTTCGGCAAGAATTGGCGGCTGAAAACCTATTTCGGTCCCGAAATAAACGTACGTATCTATATTATCTATTCATATGAACATATCATTTATATCAAGCCGAATTCGATTCCCACGTGTGTTCAAATGTTAAGCCCATGTCTGATGTCAGCTCTGTGATATTGCTGGAATAATGCTGACACCCCTCCTCGCTCAACACATGCCGTATGTTGTTGAGATATCTGTGATTGGATGTCGCTTGGAGTGAGTGAGTGAGTTGGGTTTAACGCCGCTTTTAACAGTATTCAAGTCATATCACGGCGTGTCAGCTTAATGTTGGAGGAAAGCCCGAAGTGATGCAGGTCTCAGACGTTTACAACTTCGGTGAAACCCACGAGCACGGGTATGGTGCTGACAAACCTAGAAACATAATTGGGGCGAACCGGGATTCGAACCCACAATCATAGGTTTCTGGCGTGTCCAAGGGACGCAACTCTGCACAGCGAATCGCGGCCCCTTAGACGACTGGGCGACCCGTGCCCCCTAGATGTCGCTTGGAACAGTATTACGGATGTATCACGACGTGTCGATAATAAAAGCCTTAGAGCCAGCCCACAATTCATGACAAGATCGAATCGTGGATGACAACCAAGAAACAGAATGACGGCGAATCTGGGATTCGAACTTACGATCACTGGTTTCTGGCACTCACAAGGGACGCAACTCTGCACAGCGATTTGCTACCCCTTGTATAGACAACTGGGCCACTCGTGCCTGTCAGAGAGCGAGATATAGACTGCCTGGCTATACGTGTTTGGCCACAGAATACATACCTGATTTGTAATGGCCTTATCAATGGTGTACTTTATATCGAGGGAAATAAACCGAACTCGCGTAGGTTGATGATCTGGTGCGACTTGTTCGTGATATGATATGATAAGGTCACCAATACCAGAACTGACCTTTACCCAGGAGATTTTGGCATCGTGCTAATTGCCAATTAATAAGAGAATTGGCATCACTTACAGCATTACTGGTGGACGACACAATATCAGGCGGGGATGCGGCCTTTCTTTTTAGAATAGAGTGGGTGGGGGTTGTGTGTGCGCATTTTTGGAAGGAGGGGTGCACTTACAACACAAACATCTTTTGCACATAATTCTGGAAACAATTTGCGTGTGTCGGTCAACACTTAGTGAAGAAATGTTAATTTTGTTGAAACTAAGCCACCAAATGATTTAGTTATACGTTTTTAATTTGTCAACCTGATCAGAATACTCGAAAAAGGGTTTGAGGCCCACCCATGCACGAACCCCCACCCGCATTCTGGATCAGTTGATTATTTTGACAAGAAGAAAGTTCTTTGACTTTGTAGAGTTCATTCTGTTTTAGGGTTGATGTCATGGTGCACGTGACGTATGTGCACAGCTAAACACAGTGGGTGTTACATGACACTATACTGTACAATGACAATATGATACTAGTATTCAAGACCACCCACACTGTACGAGTTTATATAATATGTACATTTGTATTCCCTTTCTGAAAGTGAATGTCTCTGGAGTTAAAGGGAATACCTATCACCCCTAGGGTAAAGGTAGACCCACCACCCCCATCACGTGGGTACTATGTGAGAAGTCCATTTCTAGTGTTGCCCGCCGTGACAATGCGGGAATATTGCTAAAAGCGGCGTAAAACCACACTCACTCACTCTACAACATACACACAGGTGTCAACTGTCAGGTTTCTCTTCTGTGTCTATCAGTAGAGCCAATATCGTTCATTGACCTATGTGTGAGATAGTGTGTCACAATTTCAGATAACCCAGAGACAACCCATTGCAATAACCGCGCCCCTACAGCGCTCTGCCATGAGGTATAGAAATCAATTGTATAGAAATAAATGTCAACTCTTGTATTGACATGTAAAAAACAAACATCCATTACTGTAAATAGTGGTTGTTTATGGTATATTTAGGTAAAATGGCATTACATGTAAATGTGCTCTTTTTAAGTACGATTATTTAATTTTTTTATTTTTTTTTATATTTTATTTCATTTTTTTTTTTGGGGGGGGGGGGGGGGGGTCGGGGGGGGGGGGGGGGGTGTATTACACCACGGGGTTACCCTGATTGATAACATCCCACACTATGCAAATGGTCTCTACTGAGAACCCTCGATTATCCAGTATCTATTAGGTTCCACTGTATCCATAGTTATGCGTTCAGCCAGCTGTTAGGGCCATCCATACCTTTTGTATGTGTTTCCCATCTCCAACCAGCAAGAGAGCGGGAGGGCGAAAATAAGTATTAAAAAAAAAAATGAAAATAATTTTTTTTTAAATTATGTGTTTCACCGTAACTTATTTTATGACAATTTAAGGTTTCGAACACTTGGTACCAGTCTTTAAATTTATGACGTAGATTGAGTCGCTTTGCTTCAGAAACTAATTGTTAATAAAAATGTAGATGAAGAAAGATCAAGCTGTCCTGGGTTTTGTTTAATGTGTGCAGTGGTAGCGGGTCTTTTATATTTTTGTTATCACGTTGGGGCATACTTTTTATCGAATCCCTAGGTTTTCCGATAATTATACTGGGTGAACTTTTTGAGTGTCATACCTCTGCTTGTTGGTCTCACCAAAGTGGTAAATATTTCGTGCTTTTCTCCCACACTGATCTCACACTCCTTTTTTATACCCGAAACACTGTTCAAAGCGGCATCAATCCAAAGTCATCCAGTTACTAAATGATATAACCTACCCATTTTGTACGGATATAATGGAACGATAAATCCATAGTTTTATTTATTAAGTGCTGCGTATATGACCATGATGCATGGATCATATTATTTGTTGCATCAACTTTCTGAGCAAAGTCAAAACATTAATTCCGTAGATAATCAAATGAAGCTGTTGCTGATATTTCATATAGGCATACGTGGCATATATCCCACTTATGCCTATATTGTATCATTACAGCTATGACGAAAGCCGAAATTCTGTAAAAATGGCTCAAAATATTTTCTAAATTTCTGTGATGTTTCAAGGTGAAACTCAGAAATAGAAATTGACGTGAAAAAATTCCAAGCAAGTCTAAAGATACGCCCGGTCTACTTGCAACTCACAACAGCGCCGTTCCCTCCCGCATTCCTTATATATATGCGGAGAATCCTATTACACCTCGCGGTGCATGGAGTTTGCTGTGACCCCGTAGTGCACCGAGGTGGCAAGGGAAACGGAAGCAGCGAAGCGGAACACACCTGCAGCAACATGGCTTACTACCAAGACGATAGCGCGTATGTGTTGTAAATATATTGATGTATAAGTAAATTCCACACTATTTCATTTTCTGAACTCATACCTTTGTTTGCTGAGATATTGAGTATGCAATAACGACGGTGTATGTGGGCGATGTCGGGTGATTTCCTGGGTCACAGTGAACTGAGAGTCAGGAGTCGCCCAGTTTCAGTCAACCATATCACCTTTCACCGGCAATATCCAAGCTATCGACAAGATTATTTTGTTTTTACGTCACGTGCGTTAATACGTTAATTGTGTGCTAGATGTAATTGCCTTCTGTAGAATATTAAACTTTTTAACAACTTCGTGAATAACAATATGTGTGAACACTGTCAGCCTTCAGAGCATGGGGCAGTGAGATGACGTCAGAATTAAATGACGTCACAAACTATTTTTCTTCTCAGCTTTAATGCAATTTATCATCCAAAACTGGCTCCCACCAGAGATATCGCTCGGGTGCATTGTAAATATCACTGCAATGAAAATGCATCACAATGCTTTGCAGACCAAATAGCATCACTAATGGATCTGCTGCTGAAGCTGTTAGCAGTACTTTTTACACTTAGACACTGCTTATTACTGTCTACAAAGAATGATGTTGGATGATCAATAAAATATCACCCTTGTGTCTTTTGATATCAAATATATCAACCCTTGTCAATAAAAGTTTAAAGACTTGTGTAGATATGTTTGATATCAAAAGACACTGGGTGAGATTCTCCATTGACTAGCCATGAAAATCCTAGCTTTTCATGATATTTATTAAAGCTTAAAATATTTTCATACAGATACACATTTTCTGATAGTCTGACATATCATATTCAGCCATTGCATATGATATTTAATAAGCTTCATATGTACATCTGTTATTAATTTATCATATTTTGTAAATGGCATGTATCAGCCATATTAAAATAAAGTAAATGTCATTTACACATTCATTCTCCACTAACAGGCGCCAATCCACTTTCGTTAACTTTTAAAAATATACTTTAATGTTTTCTTTCAAAATATGTCTTAAATCAAAGTTGGATAGTGCCTAGATATGATGGTAAAACGGCTTCCCTCTGGCAGTTCTAGATATTTTGATACTGACACTCCCAAACAGACCAATGATTTTGTCATATGACAGATACGTTACATTTAGTATGCCAGATTGATGTCAAGTTTGTATGTTTTACATTTCTCTTGCAATTGGAAATGTATTCATTACGAACATTGGTATCAAGCCTAAGTTTTGAGCAAAACATACATTAACTGAATGATTTTCAACTTTAGTGTCACACAGTAACATATTTTCCTATTTCCTGACATTGTCCAAAATAATTTTTCATCCGAGTGCAGACGAAGAGTCATGACTTTTCCTTCAAATGATGCCCTTCAGATGTCAATGTTTCATGACAAATATAAGCTTTTGAATATTTTTGCAAAAGAAATATACTTTCATAGTAACATATCAGTTGCTAGTTTGGTTCCTTCTTATCAAATATACTATTCAAACACTAAATGTTGTTGTCAACTAAAAGAACAAATAATATTTTCCATTATCACAAATAAAATTATTATGAGTCTCTCTTTGCTGAGGAATCATGTGCGGTAACGTATCTGTTAAGAAAACGATGAACAATTTTAGGGCTAACAATGAAATCCAACTTCAAAGTATTGGATAACAATTGGACAAGCTTGACATGTTTGTTACTTTGTACGTGAAAAGAACATTGCCAAACTGTCCTGAACTTTCATGTTATCCTCACTGGATAACCTGTAGGACCTTCTGGAGCGACCGACTGGAATTGGGTTCACTAAACAGAGGATGTCCTCAAATGGAACCAAAATCTCATCAGGTTCATCAGGCCATTTGAACTGTTTCTGACCTTTCGTTGCTGGACTGACCATGAAGGAAACAAAAGCTTCTCCATCTATTTCATCGACTTCAAGAACCTGTCCAACGTACCACTTGTCATCATACATTGCAGCAATGAAAGACTCAACATCTGGAACCTGTCTTGGACTATCAGCATCCAGAACAGTGCGGTCCTGTGGTGACCCAGGAACTGGAAGATCCTCATCTGCAGTTGCTTCTTTCTCCTGTGAAGAACCAGTCATAAGAACCTCATTATGGTTTTGAGTGTTACCAACACAGATGACATGTCTTGTCCAGCCATCACAAAGCTGAGTTTCCTCAAGACAACCGCTACAGTAGCAAGAGGTATCCCGGACAGTGATCTCCCCAGCTGCTTGACTCAGTACAGCATGCACTTTCATTGTACCACTGACTGGTTTCACTGTTTGGCTTGACTGGTAGTTGGCTGCTGCGTCATAATCTTCCCTTGAATAAAAGAAATATCTGATTGACTTCTGGTTCTTTTCAGCCCATGAAAAGAGATCTTTTGCATCCTGAATGATACATTTTCCCTGCTTTACAGCTTCCGATGCCATACGCTTGACAGTTCCACCAATTCCATCACATGGGCCCTTCCCATGTCCACTCTCAAAATAATTCCATTGAGCGGAAACGCCAAAGAGCTTTTGGTGGTTGGTGATTACATTAAAAATGTACCGATTTCTGTATTGTGAAGAAGGACTGTCAGTCCAGTAATGTATTTTCTTCAGATCGGTGACATCTTGTTTCAGAATGGGGACCAGCTTCTCTATGATGGCAAAAACAGCATTTGCATTGTGACTGTTGACATCAGAAATAAACACATAGTTGTTGTGTTCCATGGTGTCATTCTTCATGTAGTATGCTACAACTGGATGAAGTGTAGCACTTGTAGCATTCCAGTATGCAGATTGTATCTCGTCCATTGTCTGACATGTAAAATTTTCAGCAAAATCCATCTGGACAATCATTTCCCCACCAGGAAGCCGTGCCTTTAGGTCGCAAAGTGCTTTGTACTGAGTTCGGACTCTGATGACATGTTCTAGAAACCTTGAATATTCTTCTGACATCATAACAGTAAAATCAGGTTTGGACAAAGATTTTTTCACCACACGCATGACCTTTTTTCCTTCAACCTCAATCCGGCTCCATTCGTTATATTCAGTCTCTCCATCAGGTACCTGAGATAGCTTCTCCTTCATTTGTTCTAGTGATACATTTCTACTGACTACTTCTGGGTGTGAAGAGATCTGAATGCCAACACATGTCAGAGCCTTCAGTTTAAGAGCCATGTTCTGGTGTTTTGTGCAAAGGCATGTGTTTCTAGACAAAGCACATGTCAGTTTGATATTTCGCGGACGCAGCTTACAAAAAGCAGAAAATGAAAGTTTAATTGTCGGATTTTCAGCTGTGTACCGATCATGGAGATTTGACAGGTAGTCATTGAGTATCCGAGTCTGGCGTTTCACTCCATCTACTTTCAAGGCATCTTGTTTCCCAGGCATACACCGGCTGACATCATCTCTCTCAAGAAAGCTGACAACTTTATTTCTAATTAGTGATTTGATATGAGTCTGCCGTGATCGTTTTGTAATGGCAATAGCCTTGGTTGCGACATTGGTCAGCCCACGCCGGCACAAGCCAGTAGCTCTATTGAGGAATCGCCCACACTTGTACCGCTTCACAATTTTGCCACCGACAACAGAATTTAGAACACCTTTAATGGTGTCACTGTTGTTTGCATGACGGGCGTCCTTTATTTCATCCAGGAGACAGTTACTTACTACCAGTTTCCTCACGACACCTCTTGGAAGATCTCTCGGACTGACTCCATTCTGCCTTAGATCATCGACCGTTCTAGATCGAGGAGTGTTGTTGATATCATGAGCATTGCTGACTTCTGTTTCATTTCTCATTTTGTTTTTGAGACGCTCATATCGTTTCTGCCATCGTTTAGCACTCCGGCGATAAGAAACAGAAGCTTGTTCCAATCTTCCAACTTCATCACGTGCTTTCTTCAAGGCTTTGGATCTTCTTTTGGGAGGTCCTGACTTTGGCCTAAAAGGAATCCGTACCAGTAGTTTGCCTCCTTGAGGTGATGTTAAGCGAGTTTTTCTTGAGGTACCAGGCAGAGAATCAGTCTTGAGATCACCAGAACTGGATACTGCCTCACTCTGTACTGGCTGAGGTAGAATTTCTTCTGAGTTAGAATTGGTCTCTGTTGCTTCATCCTGACGATTAGCTTGTGATTTCTTTAATTTCTTTAATCTATACATAGCACAGTATATCTTGTTTTTGTTTCTCCTGTTCTTCAATTTTGTCCGAGACAGTTGTGCAGCAGGGACTCGATTTGATGCAGTTCTAAGTCGTTCACGATGAAGATACTGGGGGTCGTTTTGCTTTTTTCTTTGACGATAAGATTTCTGTATCTCAGCCCTGGATCGTGCCATTTTCTGGAGAAACAAGACGATATTTATAACAATCTGAATGTATGATAACCGCCTGTAAAACGTCAGATCACTTGCAGCAATTATAGTTCAGCACAGATTGAGTTTTCAAAAGAGACCTGTATTTGCAACAGATACGTTACCAAACCAACAGATACGTTACCACTGTATTTATGACTTTAAACACAAGAGTATATTGATGAATAATTTGGATGTTGCTTTACACTTGCTTGTATGATCATATCATCAAATTTAGACCATTTCTTTCATATTGTTGGATTGAAAAGCCTTAGCAAGATACGTGACCTCAATAAACAGATACGTTACTTTGAAAAACAGGTACGTTACCATCAAAATGATCAGAAGTGCAGTTTCATTAAAACTACAAACATCCATGCTAAACAACAAGTCAAAGAGCATCTAAAAAGGCGGAAAGTAACAATGGTTGGCTACAAATGTTATTACTTACCTATGTTCATTGGAGAACCTCCACAAAAGTCTGGATTAGGTTTCAAAATCCCTTTCGACTATACTTCTCTGCCGGAAACGTGTCAAATGACAAAACTCACGTCAACTATGCAAATAACGCGTGATTTAGTTGTCATTTCAGCGGGAAATTTGAAATTTGTACCAGTACAGATGACCAGTAACGTATCTGTTGGTAACATATCTGTTTGGCAAAAACATTTCTGGTTTCTTTTTGTACACGTATGGAATGTAGTGAGCAATTTTCTGTACATATGAACTAAGTAACGTGTGACTGATGCATGTGTGTTTGTTATGGGGCAATGGAGAAGTTAAGTTTCGATTAATTCTAGGTTCTCTGGTAACGTATCTGTTCAACATCTCGCGTACCTTCACAATCCAAGTGAACAACATTGGAATTGTATATTTTTACGCAATGTTGGTAAAGCAAAACCTTATGTTATGGTACTCTGCAGGCCTTCAGCGTCTTTGCTAAATAGTTTTCTTTCACAATAATCAATTACACCTAAACACCCAACATGTTTAAGAACAGTAACGTATCTGTTCACCTGTGTGGAGACAGTATCATTTGCTGTCACCAGAAGATATTCTTCGGAAGAAAAACATATTTTGGGCTTTTATCCCTTTCCCAGTGGCAAGCGGCAGCATATAGGGCAATAAACGGATTCCTAGTGATTAAAGATAAGATTTTAGACAGGCCAAATTAACCATAGGGTACTCTGGCGACAGCATAATTTGTTACATTTGGCCTACTGTAGACAACTAAGTTCTAAAATTGTGGCAACATTGCAATTTTGTTTCTATTTACAAAAAGATCTCCCTCTGCTACATGACAAATAACTATTACTGGTAGTTTAAATCGCTAATTTAATGTTCAAACAACATAGCGACACAAAATTATGGTATTGGTACCTGTTAGTGGAGAATGAATGTACAGTACAATTCCTCTGATATTTGTTTGGCATTTCTGTATCTTTTCTATTTTGTGAGCATACACAAATTCCAAGATGCTTACTGGAGCTCTATACAAATTCTTATAAATTTCATGTAATAAATCTTCCAGGTGTGCTAGGAACATGATGTAAGCTCATCATTTGGTAAATAAACATAAATGATATAAATACTGAAAATGTGAAACACAGTATTTAGCGTTTCCTGCTGTCCATATTAAGCTTAAATTAAAAAAATATTGCTGCTGAAAGGTGGAGAATATATTATTGATATTTTGATAACCATGATAATACGCAACTGAGCCCCTCATGGTTTATTGTCCTTGCAGTGTTTTATTGTATGATAAACAATTCCCAGTCGTCATTTATTTGTTACGTACATGTATAGAGGTGACTACTGAGGCTATTTGACTGTTGTGGTTGTATTGCAGTAGTATCCCACACCATTGCAGTAAACTTAGGATAGTAGTAACCCAACTTGAAGGCTTGATAACTATATTAATCATTGTAATAAAATTAAATAAAGTATTGCCTGACAATGTCAAAGTCAGCCATATGGTTTATTTATAACTAATTGCAACTATTGAAACTATCGATTCTTATGCATACTTTCGACAATACTATTGGCATTTTAAACTTCCTGTCGATATAGTACTGTCGCAGGGCAAACAATTGCAATACATTGATAGTTTGATATATATTGTTACACTCCTAATATTGTACATACTCTAGGCCTGTGGTCTCTTTGGGGGCTGGGGTGGTCGGGTAGCTTAGTGGTTAAAGCATTCGCTCGTCACGCTGAAGACCCGGGTTCGAATCCCGACATGGGTACAATGTGTGAAGCCCATTTCTGGTGTCCCCCGCCGTGATATTGCTGGAATATTGCTAAAAGCGGCGTAAAACCAAACTCACTCACTAACTCACTCTTTGGGGGCTTGGTTGGTACAGTCGTCCAAGGCACCACAATTTGCTGTGCAGAGTTGCGTCCCTTGGGGATGCCAGAAACCTATGATTGTGGCTTTGAATCGTGCCTCACCGATTATGTTCCGAGGTATGTCAGCACCATACCTGTGCTTGTGGGTTTCACAAAAGTGGTAAATGTCTGAGACATGTATCACGTCTGGCTTTCCTCCCACATTAAGTAGACACGCCATGATAATACAGGAATACTGTTAAAATGCAGTTAAAACCATCACTCACTGTAGACTCTTCAAAAAGAATAAAGATTGATTGTTAATTTTCGTTTATTCTTTCTTGTTGACTTTGATACCAGGTTTGAAGCAGATGGTGACCTATCTGACGCGATATCCAAGCTATGGGAATTGGATGATAACAAGTGTTACCCAGGGCAACAGTATGAGGTCGACCTGCAGGGTGAGTGACAAGGGCACATTTTTTCACAAGTCTTCTTTCAATGAACAGCTTCCCTTGAATAAACAAGCTTGATCATCTTCCTGAGGCAAGGGAGTTAACTGCCTATAAAAGTTTAGTTTCCACCCTTGCTGAACTAGGCTGGAACTATGGAGTTACATATTGGCCGGATTAACCAGTCTAGGCATAGTTCAATCAAAATCGCGTAATGAAAATCGACATCCGGTTCATACACAACAAGACGACTGCCATGCAGATTTTGGCCGATTGCAGGATTTGCAGATCGGGTGTACTGTCAACTGGGCATCGACAATGATGGAAATTGGACTTTTCCAGTCAGTCAACTCCCTTGCCTCGAGAAGGTGCAGACTTTGTACTACTCAATTTTTGATAGGAACATACTAAGACATTTGAAACAGAAATGTCCTTATCTGAAGTTGAGAAGCATATTTATAGTAGTGACTAACTGCCCAAAGTGTCATAGACGGACAGAGATCCTCTGATTCTGCATCCATAGCAATCCTGTCTCTCAGGCAACGTATGTGAAGATCTGGGTTAGAATTGGCCTGCAGCAACCCATGCTTGTTGTAAGAGGCGACCAGGGGCATAGCTTGGGGAAATTAAAATATGAGCAATCATATGGCAGTATTATTTTTCGTAAACAGTCATAACATTTATCAAACACAAACACAAGCAGGCCTGTGCAACATGTCGAAAACAGTGATATCACTAAATATGCTTACCACATTCTGTACATAACACAAATTAAGTATAAGACTCAAACTCAGATATCCTCATGAAATATAAATTGTCAGTGCTAGAGAATATCCACTCTAGATTATCCACCGAAACAGATTCCATTGGGCGTAGAGGGCAAAATAGCTGTGAAAAATATATGAATAGACCACTGAAAATCAGTGATGACACCTGGTGTTCGTGAAAAGGGAAAAGGAAATGTAACTAGCAAACAACAACATCGAACCAACTCAACAACAATGTTGACACTGATAGGCGGGTCATCCTGTAAATTAACGAAAGATTATGTAACTATATACGACTGAAAGAAGAATACAGTAAAGTACTTTTAAAAAAATCATTTGTTTTACTTTATTTTATTTTTGTAAGGATTTCAAAGTGTAACTGTAAGCACATGCTTTTCGTGCTACGGTAGCTGTGCTCCTGGCGACTAACAGATTCGGGTTGTCAGGCTCGCTGACTTGGTTCATGCATGTCATCGTATCCCAATTGCGTAGATCGATCCTGTCTGTTGCCTTTTACGACAAGCACAGGTTGTTGAAGACCAATTCTAATCCGGATCTTCACAGGTTGTGATGATGAATGATACATGTGATGATAATGTGATAAGTGAGGATGTGATGGCAGTTTTTTTTTTATATCATACGATAATTGGTTAGTGATAATGTGATGTATTCTTGCAGGATATGTTACAAGTAGTCGCCGTGTGAACAAGGACTTTGCCCGGGACAAGCTGATCTCATGGTTTGATGAAGAAGAAATTTTCTCAAGACCAACATACAAAGGTTGAAATTTGCTATTCTTAGGATATTGTTTGCAAGAGCCGTTTTTATGGATAAACCTGTCCTTAAGTTTGGAACTAATGATGGAAAATGCTATTAGAACCAAAACATGATATTAAGATCTATTACTGTATGCATAAAACAAGGTGAGAGGTCAGAGCCTCGTTTAGGGGATTGACCATGTGTTAGCGGGTTACAATGGCATCGCCCTGTTGTGTTCTCTCTGAAGGACATTAAAGTCTTCATTAAATTCTAACCATCATCATATCAACAGTCCAAAGAATATCTTGAACATTATACAGTGCTAGTCTGTTGCAGTGTGGTGTTGTAATGTTGTAACTTTGTTGTGTAGTATTGTACTATGTTGCATTCTGTAGTTTGGTGGGGCGGTCGGGTAGCCTTGTGGTTTAAGCATTCGCTCGTCATGCCGAAGACCTGGGTTCGATTCCCAACATGTGACAATGTGTGAAGCCCATTTCTGGTGTCCCCCGCCATGATATTGCTGGAATATTGCTAAAAGCGGCATAAAACCATACTCACTCACTGTAGTGTAGTGTTGTACTCTGTTCTAGTCTAGTGTTGTACTCTGTTGTAATGTAGAGTTGTAGTCTGTTGTAGTCTAGTGTTGTACTCTGTTGTAATGTAGAGTTGTATTCTGTTGTAGTCTAGTGTTGTACTCTGTTGTAATGTAGAGTTGTATTCTGTTGTAGTCTAGTGTTGTACTCTGTTGTAATGTAGAGTTGTAGTCTGTTGTAGTCTAGTGTTGTACTCTGTTGTAATGTAGAGTTGTATTCTGTTGTAGTCTAGTGTTGTACTCTGTTGTAATGTAGAGTTGTATTCTGTTGTAGTCTAGTGTTGTACTCTGTTGTAATGTAGAGTTGTATTCTGTTGTAGTCTAGTGTTGTACTCTGTTGTAATGTAGAGTTGTATTCTGTTGTAGTCTAGTGTTGTACTCTGTTGTAATGTAGAGTTGTATTCTGTTGTAGTCTAGTGTTGTACTCTGTTGTAATGTAGAGTTGTATTCTGGTGTAGTCTAGTGTTGTACTCTGTTGTAATGTAGAGTTGTATTCTGGTGTAGTCTAGTGTTGTACTCTTTTGTAATGTAGAGTTGTATTCTGTTGTAGTCTAGTGTTGTACTCTTTTGTAATGTAGAGTTGTATTCTGTTGTAGTCTAGTGTTTTACTCTGTTGTAATGTAGAGTTGTAGTCTGTTGTAGTCTAGTGTTGTACTCTGTTGTAATGTAGAGTTGTATTCTGTTGTAGTCTAGTGTTGTACTCTGTTGTAATGTAGAGTTGTAGTCTGTTGTAGTCTAGTGTTGTACTCTGTTGTAATGTAGAGTTGTATTCTGGTGTAGTCTAGTGTTGTACTCTGTTGTAATGTAGAGTTGTTTTCTGTTGTAGTCTAGTGTTGTACTCTGTTGTAGTGTAGTGTGAAATTCTGTTGTAGTTTGTTGTATTCTTTTGTTGTATTGTGTTGCAGCCTTCAAGGACCTGCTGGACAACTATGAGCTGGAGCGTGGGGAGGTGGAGGTTGTGACGTGGGAGGAGCGCAAGGAGAACTGGGAGTTCCTGAGTCTCATCGTGGAGACTCCGGTCATGCAGGAGGCCCAGAGGATCCTTGTGGAGAGGGGCAAGGCTCCAGAAGATACCGAAGACTTCAAGAAGCTCCTCCATGACATCTGGTTCAAGATGTACCACAGGAGGGGGGGAAGGTACACTAATGTTGTCCTGGAGCGTCCATACAGACATATCTCTTGTATTATTACCCAACTAACTCTTTCCTCACACACATTTTCATTAAAGCAAGGCGTGTGCGTGAAGATCTGTGGATGCCTCCATAGTAGGCCATGTCAGGTGAACTTTCTGATCAGCCAATTAGCCTTTAGACTTCTAAATTCTTGGTATGAGTGAGAGAAGCATTCAGACTGGCATATCAGATATCTCTTTCCCAATAACAAATACAATCAGGGAGTTATGAATGTAAACAAATAGAGCAACACTATATTTGTTGTGGATATTCGATATATCGTGTTGTTTCTGAGAGTATTTACGTCCGAAAGGATGACATTCTAGGATGTATTTGTGTTCTCTGGCTGTTTTTGATTGCAGAGATAAAAATTACTGAGTGAGTGAGTAGAATTCAACGTCACATCGGCAATATTTCAGCCATATTGTGACAATCAAAATTCTTGATTCAAAGTGGTAAAGAGATGAAGCTGAACACTGACATCCAATTGGCCCAAGAAACCGAGAAATCCTTTATTAGGTCAAAGTTCACTCAGGGTTCACCTGATGCAACCTTCTATGGTGTCATGAGATATTCATACAGAGAGGTATCGTTTCAATCTGATTTTATGACATTTGTATGATTTGTTTGAGCTCAGCTAGATTGAGAGACCAGTACGGCTAAAACTGTGTTCTCAAGTGTATGATTTGTTTGAGCTCAGCTAGATTGAGAGACCAGTACGGCTAAAACTGTATTCTCAAGTGTATGATTTGTTTGAGCTCAGCTAGATTGAGAGACCAGTACGGCTAAAACTGTGTTCTCAAGTGTATGATTTGTTTGAGCTCAGCTAGATTGAGAGACCAGTACGGCTAAAACTGTGTTCTCAAGTGTATGATTTGTTTGAGCTCAGCTAGATTGAGAGACCAGTACGGCTAAAACTGTATTCTCAAGTGTATGATTTGTTTGAGCTCAGCTAGATTGAGAGACCAGTACGGCTAAAACTGTGTTCTCAAGTGTATGATTTGTTTGAGCTCAGCTAGATTGAGAGACCAGTACGGCTAAAACTGTATTCTCAAGTGTATGATTGGTTTGAGCTCAGCTAGATTGAGAGACCAGTACGGCTAAAACTGTGTTCTCAAGTGTATGATTTGTTTGAGCTCAGCTAGATTGAGAGACCAGTACGGCTAAAACTGTGTTCTCAAGTGTATGATTTGTTTGAGCTCAGCTAGATTGAGAGACCAGTACGGCTAAAACTGTGTTCTCAAGTGTATGATTTGTTTGAGCTAAGCTAGATTGAGAGACCAGTACGGCTAAAACTGTGTTCTCAAGTGTATGATTTGTTTGAGCTCAGCTAGATTGAGAGACCAGTACGGCTAAAACTGTATTCTCAAGTGTATGATTTGTTTGAGCTCAGCTAGATTGAGAGACCAGTACGGCTAAAACTGTGTTCTCAAGTGTATGATCTGTTTGAGCTCAGCTAGATTGAGAGACCAGTACGGCTAAAACTGTGTTCTCAAGTGTATGATTTGTTTGAGCTCAGCTAGATTGAGAGACCAGTACGGCTAAAACTGTGTTCTCAAGTGTATGATTGGTTTGCAGGCCACTATGAAAGTAACGTCACAGGTTGTCATGGAGGACAAAAGGTCACATGTAGAAGCCTGTCTGAGTTTGTGCATGATTAGGACCCCATGCTTGTCCTACGATTGATTGTGTCATTGCAACCCAAACATATAGATAGGTGCTCATGTCATCAGCCACTGGTTTGACTGGCCCAGACCCGATTATAAGAAAGGCAACATGATAACTTGACTATTGCCAATCTCATTAAAATCAGATCTTAGTTCTCACTATCCCTAAACAAAGATCCGAGGACATCCCATTACGGGTCACGTTAGTCTGACCTTTTTCGCAAACTTTGATCGACCAATGGAATGACTGACGAGCAGTTGACACTAGCCAGTCAGAAGGCAGCTTTCTCATACTTTTATGGCACGACTTTCAAACTGGCGACTACGCTTCAAAATATAATGTGAAAAATTCTCGATTAAACATTTGAAATCTGAACAAAAATACATTCTGGAATGGCTAAAAGATGGCCCAGATTGTATGGATTCAGTCATAAAGTCTGTAAATGTCATTCGGAATACCCTAGGTTAAATTTTCGAGTTTGCATGATTAGAAAACACATTCCGACTGTCACTTTGTCATTGGTCGGATGAAGGTCATTCTGACGTGACCCTTAATGGGATGTACTGAAATCTTTGTTTTGCGGTAGCGAGAACTAAGATATGATTTTGATGACGGAACAGAATATTGGTGACTGCAGCGTAGATCAACACAAACAAATGTTACAATTCCATTGGGCATACAATTTCAGAGGTCCTGACTCCTGCAGCTTTGAGCATGTGTTTGTTGGGGAAGGCCGAGGTGACGAGTTCATCGGCCTGCACAACTGGTTACAGTTCTATCTTCAAGAGAAGGCTGGCAACATCAACTACCACGGTTTCTTCAGGAGGGAGACGGTGAGAGGAAAGAGATGAGCACAGAAACCTTACACCAACTTCACCAGCTCCATCTCTGACTGTAGAATATGCAACACAAAATAAATTAAAGATTCTTTCATATTACTAAATTCCCCGGCCACGTCATACCTAAAGACGTTAAAAGATGGTTCTTGTTGTAACCCTGTCTGTCGCTTGGCATTAAGGGGATAAAACAAGGACTGGTCGGCTCAGTCAGTATACTGTGTCTGAGTGGTGTATTCATGTTAAACTACGGCATGGTATCTCAGTGAGGTAGCACTATAAATCGGCAAGCAGCCTCGCAAACACACAAACACACGTGCATGTACGTCGCTATATAAGTGCAATTATCTTGGACGCGACGTTAAACCCAATTACACCTCACCTCATATCACCACTTAATCGGTCAGCTCAGAGCGGTTGTGTAGCCTAGTGGTTTGAAATTTTCGCTTGTTACACCAAAGCCCTGTGAAGAGCATTCTTTGATCTCTTTAGTAATCTACCTGTGAAGACAAATAGAGTAATAGAGTCTTCAGCAACCCATGATTGTCATAAGAGGCGACTATGCTTGTCGTAAGAGGTGACTAACGGGATCGGGTGGTCAGGCTCACTGACTTTTGATTGCGCAGGTTGATGCTCATGATGCAGTCACTGGATTGTCTGGTCCAGACTTGATTATTTATTATGTGTGAAGCCCATTTCTGATGTCTCCAACCGTGATATTGCTGGAATATTGCTAAAAACGGCAGAACACTCACACACTGACTTTGCCTTTCAGCTGACGGATGACGAAATCCCACGCCTTATAGCGCTCCAGTTCTCCTGGAAGGGGATCAAGAGTAAGCCGATGTGCAGTTGTTTCCTGGGCACCAGTCCAGAGTTTGAGATCGCGGTGTACACCATGTGTCTGCTCCTGGACAAGGACGGCAAGACGGATTGCCAGATGGGCGAGTACGAGGTCGAGATCGTTGTCCACTCTCACGGCTTCAAGAAGAAGCTTGGAACTGCATACATCGCTGCCGCACGCTTGTACTAGCATGACTAAAGTCGGGTACAGTGACAATATGTTGCCTAACAAATGAGATGCTGTATTCTTCAGATTACACAATCATAGCAGCAGATATGTCAGTTCCTACAATCAAATTTTCTTATAGCCGAGACCTCATTTAGTCATTATTTCATTTTGACAAAGACAATAGTTTTGTTATCAGAATAAAGCTTATAATTGTAACATTATCATTTGAATTATTAATTATACCTTTTTCTGTCAAACTGTTAATGGAAAGTAAAGATTTTAAGATTGAAGTTATTTTGGCAACATCTGTAAAATTTTCGTTTAGTGGAGATCTCAATGTACTATTATAGTTAGATAGAGAATGGCTTATGTTATCTGAATATATCACTTAAAATTGATATTTGCGTTGAAATATTAATACGTAGTTGCATTTTGAAATGATATCTCCAACATTTGTCAAGGAGGATTTGTCAATATTTTATGTAATATTGAAACTTTTGAAGTAGTTTAATGGTTGTGTGTTATCTCCCTTCACTTAACATAAATGTCTAAGCCTCAGGAATTCTGCCATAATAATACTCATGGAATGGTCCCCATGTTTGAATCTGTCCATATTTCTACATGATCATAATGTCCAATCTCACTCAAATCTGAGGACATCCTATTACAGGTCTTGTCAGAACAACCTTTCAACTGACCAATCAGAGTGTTGCTTACGAGATCACAAAAGTGGAAGACCGAATGTATTTTCCACCTCGGAAACTTGAACAAGAGGCATTCCAAATGACAGTTACAGGCTGTATGAATGATTTCAAATGCCACACATTGTCTATATATCACTTCAATGAGATAAACATTTTAAAAGAAAGAGACTATGACTAGTCAAGTACTGCCATAAAACTTGGCCATCTATTAGACATTCCAGAATTTTCTTTTGTTCAGTTTTCAAATTTTAAATCAACAACTTTGTCAAAACATGACATGGAATGGAAATGCCATTTTGAACTAGTGCCGTAAAGCTCGAGAAAGCTGCTTTCTGATTGGCTAATGTCAACATCCTGGTCAGTCAAAGTTTGCGAAAGGTATTTCTGATCTGACCTGTAATGATAACCTCAGATCTTTGGTGCAACGAACACCAAGATTTGATTTTAATGAGATTGTCATAATGTCAGAATGTCACACACAACGTTTAGTGGAGAAGTTTGAATATTTGTTTGTTTATTTTCTAGTCGTATACTAAACAAACAGGGTAATATATCAAGTACCCAGTAATTCTATTGTATTTCATATCTATGGTATTAACATATTGTATGGGCTATTATATCAGACATGTTTTTATATATGTCTTGTAAACATGAATCTCGGGCATCTACATCGGACTCCATATGGAAGCCGGTTTAAACCATTGATGGCTTCTGCCTGTTGTTTGATATATCTTGTACTTCTAAGCCAGTGTTTCCTGAACAGTTTTGTGTTGTAGTTTGACTGTATTTATAGATGACCTGCTTTATGCTTGCCTTTGTTTGAGTTGCTTAGTAAATAGCGTAAGCTTGCCCCACTGGTGGTCCAGGTTTGAATCCTGTGGTTGGCCAAAATGTCTGTTTCTGCTCTGTATGGGCATACAGCTTCAAACTCATACAAACTTTATTGTTTCCAGTTGTTATTCGATTTCTAACATTTTTGGTGGGATGGACTTCAAAGGCAAGGGAATGAAATAATTGTAGGCAAACATAATTTAATAACCTACAGCTCATGAGCATGTAGCATTCATATAACTGTTGACTCTTGGTTGAAGCATAATCAGCACTGCTTGAAGCACTCATAAAATCTTCAACATCAGCGAGTATCTCCATACAGTAAGCAGATAGCCCTTGTGTCTCTCATTTGTTGACGGTTGTGTTTAAGATAGAAAACTTACAATTCAATATTATACCCACAAATAGCACCAGTCACTTGCTAAAAATCAAGTCACAGTTGATTTGTTTGTGAAGATCTGATGGCTTTTTGTCTGTTTTTCACCATTACATTTTTATTATGCTAATTGATTAACATTTGTCAGTGAAAATGGTGGTAATGTTTATAGAAAAATCGGTCCAGTCTCAAATGTTTTGTATACATTTTCTATTGTTTAATGTGCAATACCATGTTGATTACATTTTATATAACATGTATGTTCAGTTAATACAGGACTAAGAACACTGATATTTCCAGCAAATTCAGAAGAATAAATATAACCAGTAACTTACATATAAGTTCAAATAAAATTGATGTTTTTTTGCTATTTATACAAACTAAGATATAATTTTGCTAAAATGTTAAGAGTGGTTGGATGCAGCCATTAAATCAGCTGTTTCAGTGGTGATTATTGTGATTTGAAACCTCTGACTGACATATCTGAGTATTTCCTAAAGCTTCGCTAGAATTCTGACTGTGTTGCTTGCTACTGATCGATAGTTAACAGTGCTCAGCCATTCTACAAGTTTTGCCAGATGCTTTATCAGATCCTCATACTTATTTTACATGCATTTTAATCCAAATGCATGTTAATGCAAGATATTGTTTTTATTGATCACTTGGTCTGGTCAGATTTACCCCCTAATTGAAGGGGAATCATAAATTAAAAAAATTGTCTTTTCTATCTTGAGTGTTACTTCCCCACTCATATTGAACTGCTTTGAATTTAAAAAAAAACTAAAATAAGATTACAGACAGAGCTCGAAGAAAAGAAAGAAAATTGTACAAAATCCACATTTGTAAACCAAGTAAAAAATAAAACATCTAAGATTGGCAAGAAAATGTTTTACCATACTTCAACGTTTCATCCATATCTATATAAATAGTCACAAGGGCCTGGCTAACTTCATACTTGGAGTGAGGGGCGGTCGGGTAGCCTAGTGGTTAAAGCGTTCGCTCGTCACGCCGAAGACCAGGGTTTGATTCCCGACATGGGTACAATGTGTGAAGCCCATTTCTGGTGTCCCCCGCCGTGATATTGCTGGAATATTGCTAAAAGCGGCGTAAAACCATACTCACTCACTCACTCATACTTGGAGTGACTGACCAGTAGAGGTCACATGGTACTATAGCGCCATGGTTGAATCTAGTCTCCAGAAGTTGAATTGTGTTTGGTTGAGAATTCAGTTGTTTAGTATGTTACATGATCTGAAGAACACAAACAGGTGACTTAGAATTAGGGGACTCAAGAATTATGCAAGCTTTTGTGCCATATATTTATTATTAGACGTAGATTCAGCAATTACTTTTTTAGCGTGCCATCACAGTAACCTATAGGTATTATTTACAACTACAGGTGAGATATCACTGTAAGGTATTGGTCATTTAGTATTGTACTTATCACAGTATGGTTTGATTTATGGCTTGTTATGTTTGATGCTTTATTATCTGTTCTTTTTTTGTTTTGCAAAACCACATTAGAATAATTAATGGCAGCTTTTAAATTTTGTAGATAGGATGTTTTGAAATAGTTCTCAGGTCTAGACAGGCACTTTTCACTGTTTTGTTTGTGCATTGCCATTAATCTGTCGGAGTTATCTCCCCTGGTCTTTCAGTCTGAAATGATGGATCATAGTGCACGCTTTATGCTGATTGGCTAAAATATTGCTCAGGCAGCAGAAAAGTCATGTTGACTCCATGTTTTCTCAGATATTGCTTTGTAGTAGTGTCATACTAGAAGAGGTTTTGGTTCAGGGCTTACTTGTACACAGCAATTGGACATGACGGTTGTGGCACCTATACTGTAACATAGATTTACAATAGATGGGCAAAGATCACTTCGTGCATTTTGGTCATGGTCACAATTCACATTGATTTAGTTTTTTGCAAGATAGATGCACACTATTTGAAGTCATACCCTCTCATTACAATTAAGTGAAGCAAAACTACCCGGTAGTACAGTCTTTTACCAGTATCAAATCTAATCTTAGATATATCATTGCTCAGTGGTGAATGACCAGCGATTTACTATTCTGGAGGTCTGGAATATTTATTTCGAACGCATCCAGAATGTCCAGTGAACAATTGGTATATTTGCCTGATGCAAATTATGATTCTCCAATTTTTTCTGGATAAAACTGCTTAATTTTTGTTAAAAAATGGTTGTTAAAGATATACAGAAGGTGCTGACATAGAGCAGTGCTCTGAGGGCCTGCAATGTTGACTGCAATAATGCCATATTTGCCATCAATGCCTTTATACTTTACATGATATGACTGTTCATGACAGGGTTCACCTTTACAATTCAGATGAATATGTTAGATTCTAGGCACTATAATTCTTTACTACTTTATGTATTTCTGTGATTATTCTTGCAAGAAATAAAATCCTACACCTAGTTATTGTTTTGGTTTTCACAGTTTTGTCATGGAGGTTATAGTTATGGCCTAATCAAGTTTTTGATTGCCTAAGTATTTAAAGGCAGCCATCAAGGGGTACCCAAAGACTGGTAGACTTGTGACTTGATACCAGGAATTCCTTTTCTGCATAGAGAGTACTACGGGAGCGTCTGTCAGATAACATTTATCTTACAAGTTGAAAGTAAATAGTATCTGACAGGCACCAGTGCAGTAATCTGTCCCTCACACACTCTAAAATTGCCACATTTTTGTTCAAATTGATGCATATTTGGTCTATTCTCATTACCACAGTGATGCACTAATACATAACCCAACGGTCATTTGTGACGTTATCTGGCTTACAGCTTACTACTCATACCTTGTGATACCCTCCCCAAAAACGTTTCTGACATATCTGTGGATTATCAAGGCGATGATGATAATGTCAACTATATATGACCTGAGAACATTTATTAACACTCTAACACCATAAAGTTTGACACATATGCAGGTGAATTTGACCGGGGAATAACTTATTAATGAATTACAATCAGGATTGTAGTCTTTCATAATCTGACCTTAGGCCATCAGCATGGAGTAGCAAATCACAGACCTGGAAATCATTTTGTACATATATTTGATACCAGTTATCTAAAATGGGTTTATCACCCACAGGTGTGTAGGAAATAGGGCTGGGACGAGTCCAAATTTACTACCCGGGGAACCCATCCCCCTATTACCCGACGCTACCGGGTACCCACTGTAGGTCTCAGGAGAGAGAAAGTATTTAGATACATGTTTGAAACAATCGGGTCATTCATACACTGAAGCTGAATTAGGTTATATCTTTATTCAACCATATGAAAAATCAGAAGGAATGGTTGCATAGTCAGAAAGCGAACATTAGTGACTTGTGTGACTCACATTAGTGTAACAATAGAGTTCCAGATAATTTTTGTCATTAAACAATATATCACGTGACTAACCATGGGTCCGGGTAGTTCTGTGGGAACCCGGGTCCTAATCAGTACCCACCCGACCCGGGTACCCGAGTTACCCGTCCCAGCCCTAGTAGGAAAGTGTAATCCTCCTTCTTGGATAACGCAGCGCTTTGCCTGAGCACTTGATGACTACCTTTAATTTGGTTCGACCAGTTTGACATTATAGTACCCCACTTTCCTCATGGCACCAACTGTCTTATAATCTTTGCCTTAGTTTGAAAGTCTGGTACAAATCGGTCTTGCCGACCCCTTGTGAAAAGTGAAATTCAAGGTATTCAAATATTAGTGGCCACGATTGATCTTAGTTACCTTTGTGCAAGGGGACACTGGTCAAGGAATATTCCATGCTCCAAGTCATGGGCTTCAAGTCCTTCCGGGTTTAGAGGGTTTACAGGGTTTACAGGAGGGTTCTTTTCTATATATATAGGCATTGACCTTTTTAGAGAAAATTAAAAAAACGTGGGAAATGTCAGCCCCACACAGAAACTTCACTGAAGGCAGCCTTTTGTTCATGGCGTCATGAACAATGGATGTTGTCATCGTATTTTCTCAACAATGAAGCACTGTGATGCCATATACTGACGAATCAGAAGTCAGAATCTGTAAAATACACTTGTGAAATCTGCCAACGGGAGCGCAGGCTTGAACGTGAAAATGACTATTTCGACATTTCCCTTTTTTTTCAAGGGTAGTTGGCAAGGAAACTGAAAGGTTTCCATTTGACAAAAGAACATTTACTCTGGTATCTTCAACAAGAAACAACTCACTTTCACCAACGGTATTCATATTGCTGCTATAACACACTTAAATTGGGAATAACGACACTTTTTAGAATGGAAGGCGTTCCGCTTGGTATGGTGCTGACAAACCTAGAAACATTATCGGGGCGAACTGGGATTCAACACCCACAATCATAGGTTTCTGGTGTGCCCAAGGGACGCAACTCTTCACAGTAAATCGTGGCGCCTTAGACGACTGGACCATCCGTGCTCCCCATCCATATTTTAAAGACCTGGATCTGAGACATAAACTTCTTACAAAAATATTAACTTCACGATCGATGTCGAATGCACACACGCATGAACACGTCATGAATGCTACCAATGCATTGCAATTACTGCCCTTAAACAACATACACTTTGAAGCAACAAATAATGCATAAAATGTAGATTTAAACACGGAAAGATATACAACATGAGTGGGAAACTGTTCTTTCCCATTACAATCTATAAAATATTATTGATAAATATTTCTGTTTAATGCATTAGGCAATTCATGAGTTATTCCTTGTTATCTCACCAATGTATTATACAATTAATCCGACATAATTATTGAGTTTGTTGTCTTTATTTTGTGTGTGTGGCCCTTTTCACCTTTTTAGTTTAGGCCCTTATTACTTTTTTCTGTGGCCGTTTTGACTTTAACGTTTTAGGGCCATCCATGACCTGCTCTTTTGTCAATAGATGCGTTTTAGTCTTTTGGGTTTAAACAGAGACCATATAATAGATCTATTATATGGTCTCTGGTTTAAATTATGAACCCATGACTGTGTTTATTTTCTGATGACTCCTTAGGGAAAGAAAACGTGAATCATGAATAAGACTGATTTCAAGGTTATGTGAAACCTTGTCTGTGACATAAAACACAGAAAAACACGTTTGAATATTTCATAAAATCAGAACAAGGTTGTCGCTCATCGTGGATTACGTCCCTTGGTTAACTCTTCTTCACAAAAGGTAACTTAGGTAGCAACTTCCGGATTGGTGTATCCAACGATGCTGCAGGTGAAAAATCAATAATCTTACTGTTTCTGTGGCCCGTGTATAAATGTTAGACGTGACAGGTCACTACCTGTTTAGATGTTAACCAGAGGCATGATTATCACCTGACTTGGTGTAACCTTCACGGAGTGCTTTACTGAGAAGAGGTGACCGTGATGAGACTGGTTCACGCAACCGAATTATTCCCAGCTTTCTTGAAACGGGGGTGAACGACCGGTCATCTTTCTGGTTCCTTGAGCGTGTAGTACTTTTTGCCACGACTGTGTTTGTTTTTGATGCGCCCAATGAAGTCGTGCCCAGTGTCAAATTGATCAATTCTATAACATGATAAGTAAGAATACCTTGTATTGTTCTCACTTGAATCGGCGTTATATGTGGTAGTATTCGACATAGCAGTATCAGCTTTAGAGATGATAACGGACTCTTCACTGGCTTTACAGGCTTATAGAAAGTGTGGCTCACTAGCTCCAATGAATAGGAACTAGCCATTACTTTGTTGGTTGAATGGAAGCAGGTAAAGTTTTCTCATCTTTGGAGTAAATAATACTCACCATTCTCATTAAGCATGATAAACTAACATAATCATTACTAATTGATGAATCACAATTTATTTGTTAAATGGTTCTTGGTCTTGTCATCATGGTCATTCAGGAGAAATATTGTCCTTTGTTTGAGATTGAAATATCCAGAAGTAATGGTATAAATTCTACTACCCTTTTGAAACTATAATGTATCTTGATGAAGTGGCGAACCAATGTTTTACTTAGCCTTGTGTGGTACATGTTGTAAAAAGGTATGTCTTGAAAAAGCCCAATCATGATTACTTGGATAACCAGTTACGGTTTGGTTAGAATTCCTAACCAGTTGAAAAATGTGCTAACCTGTGTTCGTTAACCATGTTAACCAAGTTAAATATTATTAATAATCATTTGCAGTTACATTTATGAAATTATCAATTATGATATTATCACAATCTGATATATTCACATTAAAATAGTTAAAAAAAGATAATGGATTCACTGTTTGCAACAGTCTATCACTGATGTAATAGCATGAGGCCTTGCGACACAGGGAACAATGTAATTAATGACCATCAGGAAAAATTGTTGAGTGAATTGGTCTGTTTGGACTCTTGTACATTGCACTGTAAATATTGTGAATATTTTGATGTCATGAAGATGGTCAATCGGATATAAAACGGTTTCAGGAAGAAGAATAACCAGTTCAATATTTTTCAGTCAATTAGTTTGCTATTTTGACCTTAAGATATTCAGTATTGACAATGTGTATATGGTGTAGCTTCAACAAATACTGTATTAGGGTTCCCAAGCTGCAAGATGGGGCTGTAGAAGTGTCAAAAATTGGATAAGTTTATGAAAACATTATGAATACCAGTGTTCATTCTGAAACTTGCATACACTTTTATGTGCATTATGGTAGATGCATTCTGTAGTGTTATAGCGTCCATTTCACATTTGTATGCATACAGGATGCACAATTTTGAGTTCCAGTAAACCCCAGAACCTGTAAATCTAGAAAAATTCCCTCCCTTCCTGATTATTGTTGTAATGAACATCAATATAAACAATAAAACTTGGAGACATACCAAGAACATTTGATAAATAATTTTTCAAGGAAATTGGTTAATCATGATGATTTCTTTGGCAACAGGACAGTACAAACTTATTTAAATCATATCTGTTATTCTGAATCATCAAGTGAACTTTTACATCAGCCAGTCAGCATGGGGGCATCTAAATCCCCTGTGTTAGCTAGCAAAGTATTCAGAGCAATGGCATCTGTATCTCGAAAGAAAATAAACGTTTACTAAGAGAAAAGAATTTCATTTATCAGTGGTTGCTTTTCACCTACACCAGACATTAGTAAACCCACCTTTGATTTTAATGAGACTGCAGTAAAGTACTTTCTTGATTAACAGGGTTTGGTTGTATTTGAAGTGGTACAGTCTTGATTAACAGGGTTCCACTGTATTTGAAGTGGTAGTGTCTTGATTGGCAGGGTTTAGTTGTATTTGAAGTGATACCGTCTTGATTAACATGGTTTTCTCTGTATTGAAGTGGTACTGTCTTGATTAGCAGGGTTTTCGCTGTATTGAAGTGGTACTGTCTTGATTAACACTTATAACAGGGTTTTACTCTGTATTGAAGTGGTACTGTCTTGATTAGCAGGGTTTAACTGTATTTGAAATGGTACAATTGGAGTACACAATCATGGCCTTTTCAATAAGACTGGATGATTGATAACTGATCAGTAATCATGGTCACAGATGATAGAAAAATCTTTCTTGTAAGATATTTTTGTCGGTTAGCAAACGTAAGTGAAACTGGTTTTCAATAAATCTGGCAAATCAAAAACACATGAAAAACATATCATGCCTTTCGAAATATGTGGTAAACATTTTCAAGTCTCACAAAACATTTTGCAGGGTACACTGAATCGTCTATGAATGTACAGGCTTGTGTTTTCTAGTATGAACAAATAATTATTAACCAAGAAATGCCCATCCAGCACATGAAGAAAACTCCCCATATTTAAGAAACCCAGCATAAATTTACCGGGTGTACAGTGAGGTCCCAGCAGTTTTCAACATAGTTGTTTGGTTATGAAATATAACAAATTATAAGTCCACCTACCCTATGCTTTGTGGCTGCCTTATTTGTGATTTATTAATATTCTCCTTCATGGAAACAAACTTCTGGAACAAATCACCTGTATGTTTGTATATATGTTGACAGGATGACAAAAAACAACAAAAGTGCTGCTACCATCCGAAGAAGAAAGCTACGGCCTAAACAAGATGACCTTCAGAGGGTGCGAGAAAGTAACCAGAGTTCCCCGATTCAGAGTGAGGATGAAGGACGAGAGGAAGATGACTGTCACATGTTTGATGATGAAGTGCTAGGACCCAACATCATCAAAAAGATCATGGCATCAGAGCGGACTCTATTCCTGGGACTGCTGGCTCTGCGCATCACCAACTCTCTGCTCATACAGACGTTCTTTGTTCCGGATGAGTACTGGCAGTCCCTGGAAGTAGCCCACAACATGGTCTTCCAGTATCCTTGGCTCAGTTCACATTTCTTTGTTGTTCATTATGTCCAGTGCCCTGTGGGGATTCCAGGTTAGAATTGGTCCTCAGCAATAATGCTGGCATCTTCCTGATACTGGCTACCAATAAATACTGTCGTCCCCAGATGTAGCTCGGTCACTTGCTTGGTCAGGTCAAAGGTTCCTGAAGCAGAATACAGTTCATTGTCAGGAAATCTGTCAGTTACGTTGACAAACAATATTCTTACACAGAGGGTAACTTAATCAGTCAATGTCTGGTCATGATGCAGTCTTATCATTGTCATATTTTCAAATTCGTCTGTATCATCAGTTTTGGTCATGTTCGTAAATTAGGTCAGTATGTCGGTTTGTCTGTCCCTTTATTGTGACCTAGAAAACGTCAGTTGTGTTCTTCATGTGACCGTAGCTCAAGTCAAGAGCTTGTAGTATCCTACTAACTATACCTATCATATCAAATATGTCCTGTAAAAACGTGGTCATGAATCTAAACTTGTATGTCATCAACTGCCGTAGTGGGGAGTCTGCCATGATGTTCGTGTCTCTAGTGTCTTGTAACATGGTAATAAGTGTAGGCAGTGATTTGGAACGGTTGTCAATAGCTATGATCATTGAAAGCCACCTGACCTTGTGGACCTCTGAAGGGAGCGCGTGGGGTTCATCCAGCATGTCATGCCACATTTGTAAGTTGGATAAATTTTTCGGCAAGAGATGAAAATAAAACGACAAAGTGTTCAAGATAGATTCATAGTAAGTAACTTCCTTGACAGTCTTGGCAACATCCACACATGCTAGAGCCAATCTGTGTGGACCAATGTCCAATCTCATTAAAATCAGATCTTTGTACTCGCTACCGCTAAACAAAGATCTGAGGACATCCCATTAGGGGTCACGTCAGAACAACCTTTCATCCGACCAATCAGAGCGTCGCTTACCAGAACATGAAAGTGACAGTCGGAATGTGTTCTAATTATGCAACCACGATATATTTAACAGGGGGTATTCCGAACGACAGTTACGGGTTTTATGATTATATCCATACAATCTAGGCCATCTATAAGCCATTCAAGAGTGTTCTTCTTATCAGTTTAAATTTTTTTAATCGAGAATACGTCAAAATATGTTTCGAAGCGTAGTCGCCAGTTTGAAACTAGTGTCCTAAAGCTCGAGAAAGCTGCCTTTTGATTGGCTAATGTCGATTTCTTGTCAGTCATTTCATTGGTCGGTCAAAATTCGCGAAAAGTCGTTCTGACGTGACCCGTAATTGGATGTCCTCAGATCTTTGTTTAGCGGTAGCGAGAACTAAGATCTGATTTTAATGAGATTGGACAAATGTCTTTCATATCTGCAGCAACCCCTGCATTACCTAACATGACAGCAGACCATACACTTTCCCAAGAGAAAGCCTAACGCTCTTTTAATATGCTAACAATGACAAAGTAATCGTTTATGCATTCGCAGCATGGACACGAAGTATCTTGTTGAATTTAATTTTCAGACAACCTTCACTTAAGTAACAAAATATTTATTCCTATTCTTTTCACTGGACAAGTCTGTGCTCTCGTCTAAGACAAAGCAAACTGCTGGGCTGGCAACAAGTGCTTTCACAATTTCGTCATCAATTTGCTCCGATATGAGTTGGAAGTGGCGGTGTCGTCTCTGTACAGCGTTGATGTTATATTAGAGCTCTCCGTTTAGCTCGGTCAAGACATTCAAAGACTCATACTTGTCAATGGCAATGCACTCTTCTGAAATGAAGTACACATTCTGTAGAAGTGTGCACATTGTGTCAAGGGCTTGTTGAGAAACATATTCAATGAAAATCTGTAAGGGTTTTGCGTTGGTTAAGTCTCTGATGCAGTGGCCACAGTGTTCTTTTTTTCACAAGCATGGTCTGATAGGGAGGTGTTTCTGAAGTTCTTCAACTCCTTTGTGAAGAAAAATTATAAAGTAAAATTTTTCATAGAACTCATTAATATTAATGATATGATAATATAACATTGATAGTTGAGGAAACCCTTTGGTATGAGATTAATTTTCTTTTTTGTATATCGTGATGTAATAGGCTGTCATCTAGCTAATGTTTCTTGTCAGAGGTGATGTATAGCAACATTGTGATTGTTAAGTGTTTAAGAGGTTGCCTTCTGCCTTAGCATGGCTGACTCCATGATTCAAGGTATTTATTGCCAAGTGCTGACAAGCTTCACTCACACAACATTTGCTCAATTTATTTAATCCTTGAGCTCTAATCCAGTATTACCGGGGTGCTGGGCTTGATGATAGCCTTCTACCCAAGTAATGAACTCTTTCCACACTCTAGTCATGGGGGTGATGTCTTAGGGGTGATGTAGCTCACACAAATCATAACTCAGGGTTGTAGTTCGATTCCATTTATCATAGAATACGTTTTTCACCCAATAGATCCTCAGATATGTTCTTGTTGCCTGACTAATATATTCACGATAACACAACCCTCATCTGCATGATGTATTGAAGTAGTATTCTATTTGAATATGAAGTTATCACTTTGTAACCAAGAATAGTGGTTAGGACCTTTCATAGAGAACCTCTCAGGTCAGTGGGGAGACTCCAAAACTGGAGCTCCACTCTCAGACAACTAACAAACTACTATCATCCTAATTCTTTCTCTTTGTCTTTCTCTGTTTTAACCAGTAACAAAGCCGAAAAGAGTCTTATCTCTTTGCCTCTTTGTTTCAGTAGTTGCAGCTGTGAAAATGAGTCAAAAGTCTAGTCTCTTATTTGCATGTTGTTATGGTTGAGTGAGTGAGTGAGTGAGTGAGTTGGGTCTAACACGTTTTAACAGTATTCCAGTTATATCGCGGCATGTCAGCTTAATGTGGGAGGAAAGCCCGAAGTGATGCAGGTCTCAGATGTTATGGTTGAGATTCATACAATACTACCATGCTTTTCCTGATGAACCTGCTCCCATTAGAAATCTGATTAATCTTGCTTTCTAAACGTATCAGGAAATTTCTAGACTTTTTGGTGCCTGAAATATATTAAAAAAATATCATTAGTCAGCTACCAATTAATGGCAGACCATTCCCTCTCTGACCCCTGGTGATAATTTGCAATAACTTAAGTATTTTCACTGAACCTGTAAAAGCTTGGAATAGCATTATTCATGACCTACTAATGAGACCCTTGCTACGCCATTTAACTGATGCCTGCTTACAACATACAAACACAAAAAATTATGATGAAACAAAAGAATGATTTTTATTCATCAGGAGTCTGAATTTTTTAAATAACATATAAAACGTATCCTTTCGGCACGAAACTTTTTAAATGCTCTTAAATCTGGCAAACATTGCACTGTGGTTAGCCAAGTTCCAGGATATGTCCAGCAGTATCAAGGAATGCCAGTGGAGTCTGCTGTGTTGTTATACTGAATGAGGTTATGATGCTGAGCCGGGGCACGGGTGGTCCAATCCTCGTAAGGTACCGCAATTCACTGTGCAGAGTTGCGTTTCATGGACACACCAGAAACCTATCGTGGGTTGAATTCCTGATTATGTTGCTAGGTTTGTCAGCACCATACCTGAGATCGTGGGTTTCACCAATGTGGTAAACGTCTGAGACCTGCATCACTTCAGGTTTTGCTCTCACATTAAGCTGACACACCTTGATATAACTTGAATACTGTTAAAAGCGATGTTAAACCCAACACACTCATGCACTATGATGCTAAGCTTGTGATATGTTCATTACCAGCTGGGCCTGCCGGAAACAAGAATAATTAGCTTCCGAAAGTTTTTACTTCTACTTTCAATTTTCTCAAATACTAATTCAACTTCCAAAACTCAAGTTCACCACCAGTTTTATCTTGTATATATTTATACAATAAGTACAATTAATATACAATATTTATGCAATGTATCATTATCTTTAACATGTTCAAGGTTTGTTTTTTATTGCTTTTGGTGCCGACAGTTTAGTGATGGAAAACCAATTTCGTGGGATAATAAGCATGATAAGTACTATTTTAAATCATTACTTATGTTGAATGTTCCTTGACCGACCCAGCTATGGCCACCTGACGTGGGAGTGGCGGGAGGGGATCCGGGGCTACACCTACCCCCTCTCCTTCGCCCTGCTTTACAAGTTCCTGCACATCTTAGGCCTGGACAACAGGGTGCTTCTGGTGAGATGACCCCACAATGTCTGCCTCTTTAAGTTCATGTTAATATCTATGTGCAGTAAATCTGACATGACAGTATACTCCAATATGCCCAGAGGGGCGGTCAGGTAGCCTAGTGGTTAAAGTGTTTGCTCGTCATGCCGAAGACCCGGGATTGATTCCTGACATGGGTAAAATGTGTGTCCCCAGCTGTGATATTGCTGGAATATTGCTAAAGGCGGCGTAAAACCATGCTCACTCGCCCAATATGCCCAGAAAATAATTTGTCACTTTATTAAAGCAAGGGGGAAGCAATTCAGCAAATTTCCTGTTCATGAAAAAATCTGTGTTTAATATAAGTTATCATAGCGATATTTAAAGAAGGGTAGCAACTCTGCATATTACCACTTTTTCTGTTATAAGGTTGTATTAAACTTTTTGTCCTGGGGATGTTCTGGAGAAAGTACCTCCTTCAGTTCCACATAGATTTCTATATCATTTTAGTCATTAAACAATATTACATGACTAACCATGGGTCCGGGTAGTCCTGTGGGTACCTGGATCCTACTCCGTACCCACCCAACCCGAGTACCCGAGATACCCGTCCCAGCCCTAATAGGAAACACTGACAATAATATGGATATCCTGGTATTGATGACAATTCAAAGTGAACATAAGCATCTTACTTTATCTTTTTCTCCCAACCAGATAAAGCTACCGAGGATGTTGCAGGGCGTCATAGCTGCCTGTGGAGATCTGTACTTGTATCGGCTGTCTCGCATGCTGTGCGACCGCCCAACAGCACAGTGGACCCTGCTGTGCCAGACGCTGTCATGGTTCACCCTATACTGCGCTACACGCACACTCACTAACTCCACCGAGGCAGTGCTGGTTACCATGGCGCTGTATTACTATCCCTGGCCAAAAAGCCCTCAGTAAGTTGTCAGCAGTTTCTGCCCATGTTTTACATGAATACTGAACTGCTTACGTTACTATGTAATATCATTATTTATCATGTTTAAACAAGAACTGTTATTGTCTTAAATACTCATGTTTTCATGATTAATAAAGTGGTTAAATGAATGATGATCTTCTTTAAAAAACACACAATTAATGAGCTTTATAAATAAATATAACATTCCTTGTTTTGTGATGTGCATGTAAGTCAGTTAATTGTTTTTGCTCATTCGACGAATAGTTTTTTCCTTGTCTTATGTAAGATCTTACTCTTAATGTTTTAATATTTAAAAAGGAAGCAGTAAAAATTTTGAATGGGAAAACATTTTTTTGTTTTATTTTATGGTTTATTTCTAAATTTAAAATATGCCCAAATCAAGTGAAACATGTTTTTGTTCTCTTTAGTCTTTCCTTTTTTGGCATGTTGACCTTCTTGAAAAACAAAACAAGAAATGGATTGTTGGATCTTGAATATTGTTAATGGCCTATAATATGAACATTTTCAGCTGTAAGAACTACAGTATGTCATGTGTTCAGTTTGGTTTGGTTTGCTCTCAGAGATTTGACCATATTCAAGACTAAACATGTATTCTGTTTTGCAGAAAGTCCTCTCTGAGTAAGTTCTTAGTGCTGGCTGCACTGTCTGTGATAGTGCGGCCCACGGCAGCCATCTTGTGGGTCCTGCTGTGCTGCTGGCATCTTCAGTTGAACCGAGCATCGTTGCCGACGCTCATCAAACAGTACATACAAATAGGGTGAGCTGGGTCTGACATAGCGACTCTGGGTTTTGATTCCCAAGATTGATAGAGTTCATGATTTGAGGATTGTAGTACATGCACAAGGCTTTGACAGACATTGTTAGTTTCCGCTTTTAGCAATACCCTTTCTTTAAAACACTGCCAATATTGTATTCATCAGAAATAGTCTCTGCAGCAAATGGGTACACAACATGATGAGGTAATGTAAATTCATGCATTTTTAGCTTGGGTTGTGTCTCCGGGAACTGAGAATGTAATTTGAATTCTCAGACTAATGCAATAGTGATTATTATTATATTCTATCCATCTGTCAGTCCGTCCATCCAATCACCCACCCATCCATCTGTCCGTCCATCTGTCTGTCTGTCCGTCCATCCATCCATCCATCCATCCATCCATCCATCACTTGTTGTCTGTATTGCCTCATGTCTTCCATTCCAGACTAGCAGTGCTAGGCTTTGCGACAATGATCGATCACATCTTCTATGATCGCTGGGTATTTGTACAGCTCAAGTTCCTGCAGTTCAACGTACTCAAAGGGGGAAGTGCATTCTACGGCTCGCATCCCTGGCACTGGTACCTTACACAGGGCTATCCAGTCGTCATGGCAACACATATACTTCCTTTCTTGCTAGGCGCGTGGAAGGCAAAAAACAAAGTGTTGCTTTTTGTGATATTATGGACATTATTTATATACAGGTACGTGGTCAGTTGAGACAAGCTCCATATCAGTCCATATGTGGATGTGCGAGATCTCCTTTGATTAAAACTGTTGCATATTATAGGGATTTACATGATGCTATTTTCCTGAAATACTTGCTGAAGTGTTTGATATTAATCAAACTGAATAAATTCTCTAAGGAACTCAAAATTCAGACTGAGTATTTACAATATTTATTAAAAAAAAATACTAACTGCTACTCCTCAAATTGTTTAAAACAAAATTAATCTACTTTCATAAAATAAAAACATGGAATTTCCATTTCTAGATCGCTGTCATAATGCATAACTAGTATTACTGCACACCAGCTAATCAGTTGCGAGTATTTCTGTTAAGTGGTTACTGCAGTCACAGCATGGCCGGGCCTGTCATGACACAGTGCAGTCTTGGGTCATATCTTGTGTAAAGAACATCATGACTCCCAAATTAAGAAAACGGCCCCTGCCCCCACCCCAACCTAAATATGTGGTGAGTCATGATGACTCGGAACCCATGAAGATTCCGGGGTAGAATAGGTCTTCAGCAACCCATGCTTGCCGTAAAAGGTGACTCTGCTTGTCGTAAAAGGCGACTAACGGGGTTGGGTGGTCAGGCTCGCTGACTTGGTTGATGCATGTCATCAATCCCAATTGCGTGGAACGATGCTCATGATATTAATCACTGGATTGTCTGGTCCAGACCGCCATCATATAGCTGGAATATTGCTGAGTGCGGCGTTAAACAACAAACCAACCAACCATGATGGCTCCGATTTTTACAAGGCCATGTAACCCTGTTATCACGAGATCAGGGACACGCTATTCTTACAAAATGGCCTCAAATATGTAGCAGACGTGGAAAGACCCTGCAAAAGTTGTCTGCACATGGCTTGACTCTCATCCTGTCAATAACCGGCTGGTACTTTGTGTACTCATCAAGATGTCACCATGATATTCTTGATGATGAGTTTGACAGTGGCCAGTTTGTTCTTTGATGTGTCCTTTGTCATGTAAACATTGAATGGAGTGGAACATCCAGTATTCAAACATGACAGGGATTCTTGGACAGTGGGGACCCTGGGTATAGGATGTACATAACCTGGTACAGTCAGGGTGACCTCTTGTTTATACAGCTTTGAGGGGTCAGTTTCAGTAACTCTGTGTTGGAATTCAAATAGAATATTAAGACCTGTTTTAAAACATTTTATGCCCATTTGTTATCAAAGAAGAAATGAATATTCATATATTCATGGTAATTGTTTTTTTCATTTTGTAAAAAGATAAGAGTAAGCAGGAACCAGTAAAGTGCTCACATTCTGGTGAAACCAATACACATGGCATGCATAGTCATTGAAAGTGCACTTGGTCAAAATGGCTGCTTCATGTGGATATTACATGGCTTGACAACAGTGCTGACCCATATTCAAGTTTGAATCAAGTTTATCGGTTTGTGACCTATCGAGCGGAGGGTTCCGGTGATGTTGATCATATCAACCACTGGTTCCCCATTCGTGATCACCACTCAGGTCACTGTGATGCAGCTGAAATATTGCAAACACCATTCATTAAGGAATGAGGGGAAATCTGGTGGTTTAAGAATTCACTGTTGAAGATTCTGTTTATTTAAATGAATTTGTCATGATCCCTACCAGTAAATGGGTAAAACCCACAGTCAGTGTCCTAATACAATGGGAAATAAATAACTTAGGTCTTTGACCTCTGTCCTTGAATAATTAACAACTGTCGTCAGTGACCTCTGTCCTTGAATAATTAACAACTGTCGTCAGTGACCACTGTCCTTGAATAATTAACAACTGTCCTCAGTGACCACTGTCCTTGAATAATTAACAACTGTCGTCAGTGACCTCTGTCCTTGAATAATTAACAACTGTCATCAGTAACCTCTGTCCTTGAATACTTAACAACTGTTGTCAGTGACCTCTGTCCTTGAATAATTAACAACTGTCGTCAGTGACTTCTGTCCTTGAATAATTAACAACTGTCGTCAGTGACCTCTGTCACTGAAAAATTAACTGTCGTCAGTAACCTCTGTCCTTGAATAATTAACAACTGTCGTCAGTGACCTCTGTCCTTGAATAATTAACAACTGTCATCAGTGACCTCTGTCACTGAATAATTAACAACTTTCGTCAGTGACCTCTGTCACTGAATAATTAACATCTTACAGCCATGACCTCTGTCAATGAAAAATTACCAGCTGTTGTCAGTGACCTCTGTCATTGAATAATAAACAACTGTCATCAGTGACCTCTGTCCTTGAATAATTAACAACTGTGATCAGTGACCTCTGTCCTTGAATAATTAACAACTGTCGTCAGTGACCTCTGTCCTTGAATAATTAACAACTGTCAGCAGTGACCTCTGTCACTGAATAATTAACAATTGTCGTCAGTGACCTCTGTCCTTGAATAATTAACAACTGTCGTCAATGACCTCTGTCACTGAATAATTAACAACTGTCGTCAGTAACCTCTGTCCTTGAATAATTAACAACTGTCGTCAGTGGCCTCTGTCACTGAATAATTAACAACTTTCATCAGTGACCTCTGTCACTGAATAATTAACATCTTACAGCCATGACCTCTGTCAATGAAAAATTACCAGCTGTTGTCAGTGACCTCTGTCATTGAATAATTACCAACTTTTGTCAGTGACCTCATCAATGAATAATGAACAAGTTATGTCTCTTGAATACACATCAACAGCTGATGTCCATGACCTTTGTCAAAGAATAATTAAAACTTACATCTGTGACCTCTGTGTTGCAGTTTCCTGTCTCACAAGGAGTTCCGCTTCCTGCTGCCGATTCTCCCCATTTCCATGCACTACTGTGGAGTGTACTTTCAGTCTCTATGCAAACGACCAAACCTCAAAAAAAGAAAATCAAAGAAGAGCAGGCAGGGAGGGGATGAGGATTTGAACGAAAGCTTTAACAGCAGCACCAGCATGTCGGACACAATGGACAACCAGTCGCTGCTGCAGCCAGAAAAACAACCTTCACCTTCCAAACCTGCCGACCTTGACCCAGAGGTCAGGAGGGCACAGCAGCACAGGGCTAACCTGTCAAAGGCCAAGATTATTGTACTGATCCTCATTGTGACGAACATTCCGGTGGCTCTGTATTTCTGCCTCATTCACCAGCGGGGGACGGTGGATGTCATGAAGTTTGTCCATGACGCCAGTATAGAGAAGAGTGTGGATGTCCTGTTCCTTATGCCGTGCCATTCCACCCCATATTACAGGTAAGTGAGTTGCAGTGGAAGTCCACCCAATCTTACAGGTGAGCGAGTCGTTAGTGTAACTCCACCCAATCTTACATCCTGGTTGAGTGAATAGAGCATTTGGCTCGATCCCTGGCAGTGTACAAAATAATAAAAGATGGTACTTGTTGTTACCCTGCCTTGTGTTTGGCAATTGGGGGATAAAACAGGGACTGTATGGCTTGGAGTCAGTGTACTGTGTCTGAGTTGGGTATTCACGTATTCTCAGTGGGAAAGCACTATAAAACCAGCATATGTCTGGACTAGTTCAAGCAGCCACACTCACATGTACATGCACGTCACTGTATAAGTGCAGTAATTTTGAACGTGACCCCATTTCACCTCTTCATAATCGTAACTGACCCAAAATGTGTTCTTTTGTATCATTAAGCTTTTTTTAAATAATATTCGCTGTCAAATTCAAATTTGATTTATGATTAGCAAATATCTCAAATCTTCAAATAAGCCACATGGACTCATAGTTTTTTTGTTGTCACACGTATCACTCACACACTCACTTATGTCTGCAGCTACATCCACCGCAACATCTCCATGAGGTTCCTGACGTGTGAGCCCAACTTGCAACAACGCGACAACTACAGGGATGAAGCGGAGGTGTTTTTCCACGACCCAGTGAGATGGCTGAAGAACGAGTACTCTGGCACCCGCCTCCCGTGGCCATCACACATCATCTACTTCAGCCCACTTCAGCCTACAGTGGGCACACTGCTGAATCAAAACGGCTACAAGCAATGTGCTCGATACTTTCATACACATCTCCCAGAAGGGCGAGTGGGGTCACATGTTCTGGTCAGTTGTAGGTGATGAATTGGAATTGGACCTTGTGGCTGTTTTGAGTTCTATATGAGATTTCATCTTGTATTGATGTAGAGGAGATAAATGCCGTATTGTCATGTATGGGACATAAACGATGTACTGGCTCATATGTAGGTTGAACATATGCATTGGCCCAGGAAAACACAGCTGCATTGAGTTGAAGTATAAGTCCTTCCTTTATTCCGTGATTCCTTGGTCACAGATTTTTTTGCAGAAATACCCACTTGGCGCAGAAATGTACCTGTCCTGTAGAAAATTACATTTTGTTCAGAACTCATGCAGAATTTTGCATTTTTCTACTGCAGAATTTCGTCAAATACACTGCAGAATTTTAACATGCAAGTCTAAAGCTGGTTTTAAACGTGTAAAAGTTGCATCGGTTTACTGAAATGAACAGTCAATATTTGAATTGTGAATTGTATTAGTTAAATCATTCTAAATAATTATTTGAGGTGTTCGTGTTGAATGGAATTTTGAAAAAGAAATGTTTTTACGAACGATCTTTTAAGCACTTTATGTTTTGAGAAATGGTTAATGAAAACGATACCCTGATTTTGTTTTGAAGTTATGTTTTTCGTATTATTGCTTACTGAAAGTGCATGTCTGTATTTACACTAGTGATTACCAGATTCAGTTCACTAAGCTATTCTAGCTGTGGATATGTTTATCAGAAAATGTTTATCTAAAAATGGCTGCCCTTAGTTCAACAGGTGCAAAACTATGAAATTCATGAAAAAAAAGCTTAAAAGTTTACAGAATTGTGTGCAGAATTATCATAAATTGATTATAGAATATACAATTGTTGACTGCAGAATTATGATTGTTATTAGCCACAAAACACAGCTGGGACTGAAGTATGGGAGATAACTGCTGTATTGAGTCCAGTATGGGAGATAACTGCTGTATTGAGTCAAGTTTGGGGGAAAAATGCTGTATTGAATCCAGTATAGGTGATAACTACTGTATTGAGTCAAGTATGGGAGATAACTGCTGTATTAAGTAAGAGTATGGGAGATAACTGCTGTATTGAGTAAAGTATGGGAGATAACTGCTGTATTGAGTCAAGTATGGGAGATAACTACTGTATTGAATCAAGTATGATGGATACGGTAACGGCACTATTGAGTCGAGTAAGGGAGATTATTGCTGTATTTAATCATGTATGAGAAATAACTGCTGCATTGAACCATTTGAGGGAGATAGCTGCGGAGGAAATAACGTCTGTATGGGGGTCATGTATGGTAGTTTTCTGCTGTATTGAACCATATATGGGAGATAACTTCTATATTGAACCATATAAGGGAGATAACTTCTGTATGGTGGTCATGTATGGTAGTTTACTGCTGTATTGAACCATATATGGGAAATAACTGCTATAGTGAACAATATAAGGGAGATAACTTCTGTATGGGGGTCATGTATGGTAGTTTACTGCTGTATTGAACCATATATGGGAGATAACTTCTATTTTGAACCATATAAAAAGAGATGACTTCTGTATGGGGGTCATGTATGGAAGTTTACTGCTGTACTGAACCATATAAGGGAGATAACTTCTGTATGGGGTTCATGTATGGTAGTTTACTGCTGTATTGAACCATATATGGGAGATAACTTCTATAGTGAACCATATAAGGGAGATAACTTCTGTATGGGGGTTATGTATGGTAGTTTACTGCTGTATTGAACCATATATGGAAGATACCAGCTGTATTGAACCATATAAGGGAGATAATGTCTGTATGGTGTCATGTCAGGGTCAAGGTTGGCACGTTTAGAAGGTGAAGGTTGTGTTTCTGGCTTGAGATTTTACACATGATCAATATTACTTAGTCATTAGAGAGACCATATACCGGTATATAGTCCCTGGTCATTAGCATAGATTGTCTGTGTAACACCAAATCAATGCTATTATAGTGTCATGTTAATGTCATCTGGTCATGATGGATGATAAATAGATGCTAAATTTATGGATGAGGAGATAATGATCACATATTAAACAAAATGCTAACCAAGGTCATGAAAATGCATAATTATTCTAGATATCTTTCGGGGTGAGTTTCAGGGACATTTTTTATAATACTTCCAATTTTGTCATTCAGGATTTTCTAAGGAGTTCTAGGTTTGTCAGCACCATACCTGTGCTGGTGGGTTTCACCAAAGTGGTAAATGTCTGAGACCTGCATCACTTCGGGTTTTCCTCCCACATAAAGCTGACTATCAGAACTGTGGAAATGGTAACTCAATAAATGATTTTGATATTGACCTGTCACTGCAGGGTTTTATCTGGGCCTGCTCATAGGTTGATATTCGGCCCTAAGTCTGCAGCAAATGTCAGTAAAAATTCCTAAATTGTAATAAAAAAAATTCCAATTCATGTTAATATATATAAAACTAATAACTAATATTATTGCTTCGTAGACATAACCTGCATTTCACTGATAACTATTATCATCATTATCATTAACCTCTTTATTTGTTCTGTTATCAGTGAAATGAGCACAGAGAGATGGTTACCACAGCTAGGTTTATCTCTGACGACTCATTTTGTTCCATTGTACATGTGATCTCGAGATAACAGTATGACAGTTGGAGAACGTGGACAGCATCACTACTGATGGTCGCTGATCAGTATGGGGACTAGATGACAGTATGACAGTTGAGAACGTGGACAGCATCACTACTGATGGTCGCTGATCAGTATGGGGACTAGATGACAGTATGACAGTGGAGAACGTGGACAGCATCACTACTGATGGTTGCTGACCAGTATTGGGACTAGATGACAGTATGACAGTGGAGAACGTGGACAGCATCACTACTGATGGTCGCTGATCAGTATTGGGACTAGATGACAGTATGACAGTGGAGAACGTGGACAGCATCACTACTGATGGTCGCTGATCAGTATGGGGACTAGATGACAGTATGACAGTGGAGAACGTGGACAGCATCACTACTGATGGTCGCTGATCAGTATGGGGACTAGATGACAGTATGACAGTGGAGAACGTGGACAGCATCACTACTGATGGTCGCTGACCAGTATGGGGACTAGATGACAGTATGACAGTGGAGAACGTGGACAGCATCACTACTGATGGTCGCTGATCAGTATGGGGACTAGATGACAGTATGACAGTTGAGAACGTGGACAGCATCACTACTGATGGTCGCTGATCAGTATGGAGACTAGATGACAGTATGACAGTGGAGAACGTGGACAGCATCACTACTGATGGTCGCTGATCAGTATGGGGACTAGATGACAGTATGACAGTTGAGAACGTGGACAGCATCACTACTGATGGTCGCCGATCAGTATGGGGACTAGATGACAGTATGACAGTGGAGAACGTGGACAGCATCACTACTGATGGTCGCTGATCAGTATGGGGACTAGATGACAGTATGACAGTAGAGAACGTGGACAGCATCACTACTGATGGTCGCTGATCAGTATGGGGACTAAATGACAGTATGACAGTGGAGAACGTGGACAGCATCACTACTGATGGTCGCTGATCAGTATGGGGACTAGATGACAGTATGACAGTGGAGAACGTGGACAGCATCACTACTGATGGTCGCTGATCAGTATTGGGACTAGATGACAGTATGACAGTAGAGAACGTGGACAGCATCACTACTGATGGTCGCTGATCAGTATGGGGACTAGATGACAGTATGACAGTGGAGAACGTGGACAGCATCACTACTGATGGTCGCTGATCAGTATTGGGACTAGATGACAGTATGACAGTGGAGAACGTGGACAGCATCACTACTGATGGTCGCTGATCAGTATGGGGACTAGATGACAGTATGACAGTTGAGAACGTGGACAGCATCACTACTGATGGTCGCTGATCAGTATGGGGACTAGATGACAGTATGACAGTGGAGAACGTGGACAGCATCACTACTGATGGTCGCTGATCAGTATGGGGACTAGATGACAGTATGACAGTGGAGAACGTGGACAGCATCACTACTGATGGTCGCTGATCAGTATGGGGACTAGATGACAGTATGACAGTGGAGAACGTGGACAGCATCACTACTGATGGTCGCTGATCAGTATGGGGACTAGATGACAGTATGACAGTGGAGAACGTGGACAGCATCACTACTGATGGTCGCTGATCAGTATGGGGACTAGATGACAGTATGACAGTAGAGAACGTGGACAGCATCACTACTGATGGTCGCTGATCAGTATTGGGACTAGATGACAGTATGACAGTGGAGAACGTGGACAGCATCACTACTGATGGTCGCTGATCAGTATGGGGACTAGATGACAGTATGACAGTTGAGAACGTGGACAGCATCACTACTGATGGTCGCTGATCAGTATGGGGACTAGATGACAGTATGACAGTGGAGAACGTGGACAGCATCACTACTGATGGTCGCTGATCAGTATGGGGACTAGATGACAGTATGACAGTGGAGAACGTGGACAGCATCACTACTGATGGTCGCTGATCAGTATTGGGACTAGATGACAGTATGACAGTGGAGAACGTGGACAGCATCACTACTGATGGTCGCTGATCAGTATGGGGACTAGATGACAGTATGACAGTGGAGAACGTGGACAGCATCACTACTGATGGTCGCTGATCAGTATGGGGACTAGATGACAGTATAGCAGTCTGAGAACTTGAACAGCATCACAACTGATGGTCGCTGATCAGTATTGTGACTATGGCAGCTTATTTCTCGAGGAAATATCTCTGATGGCATTGATTATTACACCAATTACTGTACTTGTTGTTAAAGTGAAAATATATTTTTTCTTTATGTTAATCTATTGTGCAGAGGAGACAGCTATAAGATGTATGAGATGGCAAACGTATCGTGTGTAGTGTTTGATGATGTCTAATTGTTGTTAGTTTTCTGAATTTATTTGTTTGTGTAGAAGACTGAGTCAACAAGGTACATTTATCAAACTCAGTGGGTGGAGGGTTCAATTAGATTATGGGGGGGGCAGGGGTGGCCCAGTCGTCTAAGGCATCGCAATGCGCTGTGCAGTGTTGCGTCCCTTGGGCACGCCAAAAACCTATAATTGTGGGTTCGATTCCCGGTTCGCCCCGATTATGTTTCTAGGTTTGTCAGCACCATACCCATGCTGGTGGGTTTCACTGAAGTGGTAAACGTCTGAGACCTGCATCACTTCGGGCTTTCCTCCCACACTAAGCTGACACGCCGTGATATAACTGGAATAATGTTAAAAGCAGCGTTAAACCCAACTCACTCACTCATTCAATTAGATGATGTGTCAGGCAAGAAATATTGTCATGACAAAAATATTCAACTTGTGACATAGTTTCATACTGATCTCATAGGGGATTGGGTTGCCCAGATGTTAAATTAAAGTGTTAGATCGTCATGCTGAAAACCTGGGTTCGATTCCCCACATGGGTACAATGTGTGAAGTCCATTTATGGTGTCCCTGCCATGATATAGCTGGAATATTGCTATAAGTGGTAGAACTATACTCACTCACTCCTTCCCTCACTGATCTTTGTGATCTTCTGACAACCAGGGCAGACTGAAAGTAGTTCCGGCATGAAATGTTGCTTCAAGTGAAATGTATTAATTTTATATTTTTGGATAAGCACTAAATGCTAAAAAAAATTGCGTGTATGATACAATACATGTGACCGAATTATATTTAAAATTGTAATGCTTGTATGGGCCCTGGGTGGCTTGTTAAACATGTTACATCATGCTAAACCAACTTACCATGTTAAACCAGTTTAACTGGAAAGTTGTGTATAGATTTCCTATGATCATTCATCACTGTAAAATATGTGGCTGTTTTCCATGATAAGGAGAGATACATTTGTGTTTGGTCTGTGTTCAGATGTGCAAAAGCTGTGTGATGGTACTGGTTAGCGTCCTCCATATTTGATGGTGCAGTGGAATCTCTCAAAATAAACTGTGACAAATTTTGATATCTGTCAATACTGGATCAAATTTACGGTGCCAATCTTACGTTAATTTATCAAGTAAAATCTGTCTCATCTGGGCTGAGTAAAATGGAATGGAGATTTATCAATGACACGTTGGGATTCTCCTTTAAATTATTTTGTAAACACTGTGGATATATACAAGGAACGGATTTTGTATAATTTCAAATAAATTTTGTTTGACTTTGCATGTACGCCACTTGACAACAAGGGACGTAACTCCTGCTAAACTTTACTAAAACTTACCTCCGTGCAATCCAGACTAACCTGTCAGTCCCACACAAGTCAGGTCTAGACAGATTTCACTTCATGTCAATAAATGCACCCTGGCTTCTGACATCGTTCAAAACTAAATTATAGGGGTACTAACTATTTTGTCAACATATGGTGTTTATTGCATGTTTAGGGGTTAACATGTCTTTTTCGCTATGCTGGTTTTAGTGAGTGTTACAGAAAATACGGAAATACGCAAATCTGAAAACACAGAATATTGATTGATGTAAAAAAATACAAAAGTTATCAGTCATTTTCTGTAGCATACCCTTTGTATGTGAACTCTCACAGTTGTGAGGGGCGGTCCGCAAGTCTAGTGGTTAAAGCATTCGCTTGCCCGCCGAAGACACGGGTTTGATTCCCAACATGGGTTCAATGTGTGAAGCCCATTTCTGGTTCCCCGCCGTGATATTGCTGGAATATTGCTAAAAGCGGCGTAAAACCATTCTCACTCACTCACTCACATGACACTCAGGAATGTGATGGTGTTAGAGATAATGGATTAAGTTGCATGCTTCCTTGGAAGGCAGCATGTGGAAAAATCATCCTAAATCAAAATATATAATGGGTGTGGTATTCTTATTGCCATGACGAGTGGCGCATTTTTCATACTTGAGGTATGATACTTATTAGGAAAACTATTCACCCACAGTAAATAGTCTAGATTTCCTGGCTTTGAATCCTACATGATACCGTTTTTCAACCAATCAGGTTGCAGCACACACTCACATTTATGTACAGTTGTGTTTTATAAAAAGGTTATATTTGTTCCAGGACAATCTCTTTGCATGTTAATGTTGAATGCTTTACAATTAGGACTTGTACCTCACTTTTAATCAGTAAGTTTTCAATGTCTTTTCTATGGTATTAATGGTGCATGTTGAAAGGACATTTTCTTAGATTTCCTTGTTCTGTATTTGATGTATTCTGTATTCTTCAGACATTCTGTCATTGTTATACAAGCCACTCACTTGTTGGTATAAAAGAATGGTTGTCTTTTGTGATTACAAGTGAATATAATAACAATTTATTTACCAGTACATAGCGCTGAGTTCCAGCTAGACTGGTCACAGACACTTGTGCTAGATGTAAGTGCAAGATGAATGTAAATAATCCTTACAGCAATTGACACAGTCGTCTTATGTCTTGGAATCATATCACCAACTGAACTAGTTATGTTGTGATTTGTTTACATGTAGTCCACCAGATCACCTATACACCTGCCAAATGTATGAATGATTTATGCCTTCGGGGAGGGCTGGAATGAGTCCAAATTTATGACCTGGGAACTAGACCCCCCTATAACCTCACCCTACCGGATACCTTCCGTAGGCCTCAAGAGTTGGGTACGCAACGTCCGATTGGGAATTAATTTACAGCAGCCCTGGCAAATACTGTTTACATACAAGTACAAAATGATCAGATTATGCATACACTGAAGTCGACTGAAGTTATACCTTAAGTCATGTATGCATTGTCAGAAGAAATGCAAACATAAGCGACTTTTATTGTTATTGTCATTGAAAAATATGTCACGTGACTAACCACCATGGGTACACGGGTCCTACTCCAGACCCACCTGACCCGAGTACCAGAGTTACCTGTCCCTGCCCTACCACCTGGATCAGCGGTGGTGATGACAGTTTTAGAAGCACTGTGACATATTGATCAAAGTGTCATAAAATCATTTCATTACTGCTAAATTACCCAGGCAGTACAAAGCCGTATCTAGTGCTTTTTTGAGGCATTGTGTATTTACCAACATTTTATCATGGGGTATTTATGTTTTTCATAAAATAGTTGGGTAATTGTAAATTTGTGTATTTTACCATATTTATGTAGATATGTTGATCATTATTGCTGGTAATATAAGGCACTGGTTTGTAGGCTCCAGGCTTGATTATTTACTGGTATCTATCATAAAGGTGACTGTAAAACCACAAACAACGAATCAATCTGATAACATGGCCTGTACAATGTCAGCCATTGTGTGTGTGTTAATACACACTCACTCTTCCTCCAAGCACAGGGATAATTACATGTGACAATGTCATTATATATTAATTATCTGACCAGTTGCGGCTACCTGGTCCAAGACTGTAATGGATTGGACAAATCCTCAGCAGCTGTCATTCCTCAGGGATTAATATGATAAATATATGTGAAAACATCTGACAGTACTCATGACAAATATATTGGATAGGAGAAAAATATTTTCATTTTGTGGTCTAAATTAGGGTTGTTTTTTTCCTTGTTTTTAATAACCGTTTTTATTGAAAGTGTTAATATTCTCATTCATCATGTACTGTCAGCCTCATCTTTGAGATGACTTTTATAAACATGTAAGTTTACAAGGAACTGGAACAAAAGTTGCCACCCTATCTGAAATAAATACTTGCCACTATTTTGATAGTAATCACCCAACAGTTTTATTGGCCTTAGTCTTAGTTTTAGATCACCTGAAAGGCTAACTGAGCTTCTGTCATCCGTCATGGTGGTGTGTTTCCATAAATGTTGGGGGTGGTCGGGTAGCCTAGTGGTTAAAGTGTTAGCTCGTCACGCCGAAGACCCGGGTTCGATGCCCGACATGGGTACAATGTGTGAAGCCCATTTCTGGTGTCCCCCGCCGTGATATTGATGGAATATTGCTAAAAGCGGCGTAAAACCATACTCACACAATCAATAAATGTTGACTGTTCAACTTCTTCTCTGAAATGGATTCTGCTGAAATTTTGTGGTGTTTGTTACTATAACAGGCATCAGTATTGGAATTTCAATATGGCCACCAGGTAGCCATCTTTGATCTTCTCCAAAACATCTAGGGTCAGATGCCTGGATCTTGTTTGGTGAGATGGTCAACATGTGTAGTGGCATCATGACTGGAAATCAATAGCAGTCATCCGGCATAAACATCTTCTCAGAAACAGCAATACCAGTGGAGCTGCACCTCCATCTACTAGTTCCCACCAATTATCACACCGAATGGGTACAAGAGGTTTGAATCCAATGCCATGACAGCCTTATTGACAATAGCTATTTATTGCCATTACGCAGCCATTTTTTAAAAATATAATGAAATTTGGTATATGGTTTGTCATCGGACTCAAAACTTATGACACAATTTATTAATTTCATGCTTTTTCATGTAGCCAGTTGTTATTCTAAAATTGAGTTTTTCTTTAACCTACAGTGTTTCATGGC